TATACTTATAGCTCGATCAGAATATTGCAAAATGCCGACCGCACAGCACGAACACACCCGAGACGGCGGTTGCTACAGCCACACCCCTGGATCAGAAGAGGCAAAAAAGATCGGAGCGAGAGCAGATTCCACCCCCTTTACAATCAGATCTTTTCGGCGACGTTTTTATTTTTATTTTTTATATTTATGTTGTCTTTTGTCGCTCTTTATTAGTTGTCTGGTGCTGTGCGACCAAGCTGACGACGTGTCTCGTGCCCTGTAACCCCCATACCTCGACTGCGATCGTCGCAGCCAATACAGGGCTGTCTCTCGCATCGGGGGTCTGGTGAACGAAATACAAAGCGTCACGATCGGCCAAAAAATAAAATAAAATAATAGATCAACAACATAACCTGTCTCTAGGACAAGTGGCGAAGTTACAATGGCGGGACTGCTGAGGGTAGCAGGCAGGGTAGTGCAAAGAACTGTGGAACTGTGCCTACGGCAGGCATCCTATCGATGGAGGCCGTGAATTGTGGCTTTGTTGCGTGTGCATCAGAGCATCCCGTAAGAAACTAGTCACAACAGGATACAATGGCTCATCTACTCAGGCATTGCGCTGTAAACTGCACCTAAATTGGGCAAGGAATGCTATTTTGAGACGGTTCTCACGGGTTTTATGTCAGAAGTCTGAGCCCAGGGCTTCTTAAGACAAAATTGCACATTGCGAAATATTTGATATGTATTCTGTATGTCGGCCCAATATTTACTCTGGTGTGGAACAAGAAAAGCAAGAAAAGGAACAAATAGGCAAAGCTTTACGAAAGTGAAAGGGATACACGTAATTGGGTCTGATTTGCTGACAAGTTTGCTTCCTTGTCCAACGGATTTACTGACCGCCTCTTTTGTCAATAAACACCAGTGCCTTCAAGTCCATCTATTATCCCATGAATGTAAGCCGATGCTCTTGTGCTGGGCAAGTCCGGTGGTGTAGTGGCAGTGTTTGATAATCCGTCTTCTCTTCGCGCTGCTCGTGTTCGCTTCCACCTTGCAACACGCTCGTCAACATGACCTGCATGCCTTGTCGAGTCGTGCACATGGATAGTTTCCAAGGACGTCTCGTTCGGCTCCAGTCAACGTCGATCGTCAAGATTGAAATGAATTCATCGTATGTTTTTTTTTTTTCAGTTCCAGCATCCGTCTCTGCCCCACCGCGACGTATTCTCCTCGGCGGAGAACATGTAGTACACACCGCATGTTTTGCCTGCCTGATGATGGCAAGACATCCAGTCTACGAAGCCGACCGATCTGCTGGTCTTTTTTTGTTGCTGGGTCTCCCTTCTTTGGACAGGAAAGATCACCGCTGTCATTGAAGGTTGGGTGTGCAGGAAGACCACACAAAATCCAACGGGTACGACAGTACGACATACATCATGCCGCATTTGAGACACACATCAACTGTTCCAACGTTGACCTCTCGTTTACGTACAGCAGCTCGCTGTCTCGGCTGGCCTGTCCATCGCAACGGACGATCGGAAGGCTGCCAAGCCGAGCAAGGGACTGATGAGTTTACAAGTAAAACAGAACGCAGGGCGTTCCAACTCTGTAGAGGGGCTAGATGTTGTCGGTTTCACAAGCAAAGTGGCCGGAACGCATCTGACCATCACGAGCCAGATAACCCCGAACCGGTGTTTGACTCTGAGTGGCCTCCCTTGTGCGTTATAATTGTCTTGTGAAACAACGATTGCAACTCCTTCCTTGCTCTCACGGTACTTTTTGAGCGTGCAGCAATACACAATGTGGCTCAGCATCATCTATCGTGCACTCCGATCCTGTCTTGTGCACATGCCGTCGTCGACAAGTGGAGATGTTGACGTAGACACGCCGGGAAGGTTGTTGGCTGCACATGCGTGCTACATGTAGACTTTACGTATTTGCCGGCTCCGCTCACCGACTGTTTGTTTACAACTTGTCACCGTACAATATAGGGTCACCTGGTAAACACAACGCATACTCGCTTTTACTTGCCGTGGATGTGTCACCGTCAACAAGGGTCTTGTATGTTTTCTAAACTACCTCTCGACTGTTTACGTGTTGCTGCCTTCTTCATGCTTGTCATGAAAAAGTATATGTCCGTTCTCATTATTTTTACAAAATAAACCCCCACGGGCCATTGTTTCTAGATAGACGTCAGTTGCATGCACCATGCAGCCGAGGGCCATTATCTGGCTGTGACGACCCTTGTGTGAACTTTACAATTCTGGATAACAGAGCGCCTTTTTAAAAGCAGCAAAAATACTGCCTGCAGTTTTATTTATTTCCTCGACCATAAAAGTTTCCAAACCAGAGGTCAGTTGCATCAGGTGCATCAAGCTTCCTTGTCACCGTGTTTACAAAGTACACTTTATGCCACGGCGTCATTCGTACAACCTTGCTTGTATTTTGTTCACATATCCTTTGCCAGCCCTTGATTTTTGGTTTCTGATTTTGATTTAAGTCGCAGTTCCCTTTCTTTCTAGCCCCACTCCCTTTCAATCTGTCCGGTTGTCAGCCATCTCCTCTTCTCGCCACGCCAGTTTATACCGTACCACCAAGATTGAGCAACACTGCATAAACACGCACACATTCACAAAGACACACAGGCACACTTGCATACAAAGTACGCGTGCCACAAAATAGATTTGTTTCGTACACCCGCTCTTGTGTATATTTTGTGTATATATGGGACACACAATTTTAATATCGCATCCACGTTTGTCGGAGCTGACGGGGGGTCGGGGCCGGGGAAGAGGGGGATAAGAGAGTGTGAGTCTCGAGGGGTGTGTACGACGTAATATGTGACGGCTGTTTCTGGTGTATCTGGTCTGTGGAAGCAAAGAAGAGTCTGTGCAGCCTCGTACGGCCTTATTACAACCTGACAATATACTTACTGGATTGTTACCCGAGAACAGAGCTCTTTTGTGCCGCTGGGACGAGAACATATCAAAACCGGCTGCGAGAAACCAACGACGGGTCTATATACAGGAGGCGGGTTTTTTAATATGACGTTCGCTTTTCCAGCCTCCTGTGCCTTGCACGTAAATTGACAAGTGTAGAGGGTTTTGTATGCACCGAAGAGTTTCCGTGATACAAAAAGCCGCCTGTCATGCATGGGGACGAGCCCCAACACCGTTTTCGAGACATTAAGCCAGCCCAGTCCTGAGTTTGCTTGTGTCTAATTAATTTACCTATCCTTTTCTTTCCTCTAGTATGTCTCCTCGCTCCTTCCTGTTTCCATGCTCCTTCCCGTTTCTGCATCGGCGTCCCACGAAGTTAATCAAGATGAGAATATATGGAGGAAAGGAACATGGAGAAGGAGCGACTAATATGCCCCTTTCGGCAGGCGTTCTATTTTCCTAGTTTCCGTAGTTGTGTTAAGCCGGTACCCTTTAATTACTCCTAGGTCGTCAAGTATCACAGACCAAGTTACCCGTTTTCTGCGTTGGCTTTCCTGGCTTACGAGTCATTTATTTACTGGCAGCCCATGGCTCCTTCCCTCGGCAACTTGCCCGTTGCTTTCCGCGTTCTGAACTCTTAGTGCGGTTGCCTCGTCCCCTCCTAGTGCGGTTGCCTCGTCCCCTCCTCTCCAACACCCCTCCTTCTCCATCGCGCCTTCCGCGTTCACAACCTAGTTTGGTGCCTTCTCACCGCCTCTTTGCCAGAATGCCTGACTTGCCACCAAAACAAACGACCACTCTCGGTCGCGCGTCGTACTTTAGAACTTGCTCGCGGCTGCACGCCCCTCCTTTCCTCTCCCCTTGCATCATCACCTTTTCCCTACCCGTCGCGTCCCACACCTCCTCAGCCCCTCCATTGCTGACTTCTGTGTTCTCGGCTTTTGTTCTCCTTGCCCCGTGCGCACCCGGTGCTCTGCATACAAGGCACTCCATCGCCAAGATGAGGCAAAAAGAAGATTAATTCCTGAGAAATAAACAGGACTCCATTCGCGTACATGTCCATATCCATCGCTGTCTCACGTCCTTCCAGCTACTGCACGAGCGAACACGACTGTCCCAGTATGGAGCACGGGAGTATGAACGAGACATGGCCTGAGAGCAGAGAAACGCTGTTGGGCTCGCTTGCCATTTCCGCTTTGTCGTTTCCCCTTCTCGCCCCCTCTTCTTTCATGCAAGTAACAGGCGCATTAGCCTTTCCGCGAGAACGACGGTCGATTATTACGTCTGCGATGACGGCCTGGATCTGTTGCCTGGTGGGGACGTAAGGAAAGACGACAGAGAGGCCCCTCAAGCCCTCTCAAAGGAACGGCCGGTGCACAGTCGGGCTCGGTCCCGGAAACTCTGTTGTCTCTAGCGACTGGCATCTAGCCGGTCAGCTCGTCCGTCTGTCGTCTTTACCTGGTGCCTTATTGTAGTATTATGGCGGGCTGGTTTCGACGGTACCAGTGTTGATATTGCTTCCAGACCAGGAAAGCGGACAACGCCACCGGTCTTCTCTACTCCCACTCCCACACGACAACATTATGGCTGCGGGTCAATACAGTTCGTTATGCCGTCTCGACCCTATATTTGGTGACTGTGTCCCTGAATCAAGCGCATTCGTCCGACCTCCTCTTCACAGGCTGCCTCCTTAGCACATTGCTTCTTGATATGACGGCAATGAGCGGTTGGTAAACAAGGCATTTTATCTGTCGGCTAGCCCGTAGTTATTGTCACTGTGTGTTTGTGCGTTGGAACTACTCCCCAAGCTTCTACCTGTGCTGGGTATATTTGCTCGAGATATATCGACAAAGTATGAAAATGCCAGGGGTATGAGGGAGACCAGTCTCTTACCCCCAGTGCTTTCCATGACTACGACCCGCGGCTTTGTTGACAGCAGAGGAGTGAAGTATGAGCACGCCGCCTTCATGTCTTTTGTGTGTAGGCTTTGATATTATTTGTATTATATTTTCGTATGGTAATCTTTTGCATCTCGAGCTTTGTTTTGCCCGAGCTGATCTGTACCATGATATCCATGTCCAGTGCTCATGTCCGGTAGTCGCCGTTGATCGTCCTGTCCGAGTTAGTACCATGCGTAGTAGAGTCAAAATGAGAAAGAAAGAAGAAAGCAAAAAGCGGCGCCAACTTACACATATTCGTGGCTAAAGTCGCATGTCCAGTACGTCGCCTCCTCCTTGCCGGTCCCCAGCCGCACCAGGATCTCCAGATCCTCCAGCTCCAGGATCTCGGCGGCGCGCGTCTCGTCGACCGCCTCGGGCTCGCCGTTCACCAGCAGCTTGAGCTCCGCCGAGCCGTCCGTGGGCAGGAAGGACACGTTGGTCTGGTTGGGCGCAATGGACGGCGTGGTGCTCACCTCGTCGGCGCCCGGCTCGCTGATCAGCGCGTAGCCCGTCGCGCACAGGATGCGGCCCCAGTTGGCATCCTTGCCGTACAGCGCCGTCTTGACAAGCGGCGACCGCGCAATGGTGCTGGCAATGCGGCGGGCGTCGGCCGCCGAGGCGGCCTCGGTCACGCGGACGGTGACAAACTTGGTGGCGCCCTCGCCGTCGCGGACGACGAGCTGGGCGAGCTCGGCCGCAAAGTCGGTCAGCACGGCCTGGACGGCCTGGTAATCGGGCGAGGCCGGGTCGTTGGCGACGGTGGGGCCCCCCGCGGCGCCGTTGGCCAGCAGCGCCACGGTGTCGTTGGTCGAGGTGTCGCCGTCAATGGTGATGCTGTTGAACGAGCGGTCGATGGCGTGCTTGAGCAGCGACGGCAGGGCGGCCTGCGAGAGGGGCGCGTCCGTGGCCAGCACGCCGAGCAGCGTGGCCATGTTGGGGTGGATCATGCCGGCGCCCTTGGTCATGCCGGCAATGCGGTACTCGACGCCGGCGGGGGCCGACGGCAGCGTAAACGTGCGCGACAGCAGCTTGGGGAACGTGTCGGTCGTGCAGATGGCCCTGGCGGCTGTCAGCCAGTGGTCGTGGGAGTCGCCGAGGCTGCGAAACACCTTGGGCACGCCGTCGACAATCTTTTGGATCGGCAGCCGCTGGCCGATGACGCCCGTGCTCATGACAATCGTGCCCGAGCTCGAGCTGGCGCCAGTGCCTGTGCCTGTGCAGGCGTCCGACGCCTTCGCCATGGCTTCCGCGTCCTCGAGACCGCCCTTGCCCGTCACGGCGTTGGCGCAGCCCGAGTTGATCAGCACAGACTGCACCGTCGGCTTGTCGGCGGCCGCTGCTTTGCGCAGCAGCTCGCGGCTGAACGTCACCGGCGCCGCCTGGAACCGGTTCTTGGTGAAGACGGCCGCGGCGGCGCAGGGCACGTCGGACACGATCATGGCCAGGTCGGGCTTCGTCGTGTTGTTGGGCTTGACGCCGACGACGACGCCGCCGGCCTTGAAGCCCTGTGGGTACGTGCCGTGCGAGGGCACATACTTCTTCTTGGCGGCGGGGACGGCGTTGCCAACAGGCGCCGAGTAGGAGCGGGTGAAGGAGGTGGACGGACCAGTCGGGGCGGCTGTTGTGGCCGCCCGCTTGGCCAGGCCGAGAACCGGAGCCGCAGCCCGGGGGGCCATGCCATGCACAGCCATGGGAGGTAGACGCGAGCTGAGTTGCTGGGTGGTTGGTACAAAGGTCTTGTCGACAACTGAGGCAATTGGCTTCAACTCGTGTCGGAATCGTGGTTAATTGAGATCAAAGGAGAGCTTAATTGAGGTTCAATGAGCTTCTTATCAAGAAGGGACGTTGACGGGCCTCCAGCATTTGGTGAGTCAAAGTGGGTCCCTTCCGCGTGGGGAGAAAATTGAGGAAAAAATCGTCAGAGGCAGGAGTGTATGCAAAAAATCGAGGAAAGAGCCAGTGGCATCGGCACATAACGTGAGGCACCAAGATACATCTCTGTCGAATATATTTACTAAATGTATTTTATTTCTGTTAAAATCCTAAGATGTAATATGTACACCTCGATATTTGAGATTTTGGATGTGATTCGGTAAAGTAAAAACGTCGTGTCGACGACACTGTCATGGTTGGCCCTTCTTACAGCGCATTCTCGCCCAACGTTAGCGCACAAAACACGTGAAATTTTAGATTCACAGCGCACTTCAACTCACATCGAGCTTCACGACTTTACAGCCTTACGGCGACTGGCAACACGACAGCCTTATTTTATACTTCTTCTCATCGCCGGTTGCGTTACTCGGCAGGGAAGATCATGGTCCAGTACATCTTTACGCCGTGGCGCGACCGCCGCGAACTGCTCGCCGTCCGCCGCCAATTCTATCCCGCCCTCGACGGCGAGACCAGGGCAGGATCAAGCGCGGCGGCCCGGGACGTCGAGGCCGCTCAGCATGCGGCTGTTGCGCGGGTTGCCGTATGGATGCAGCGGGGGCACTGTCCACACATGGTGGAGTCGACGGCGTTGTTGATGGCGGCCGTGTTGGCTGATGCGCCTTGCGCGTCGGCAGAGGCCTCGGCAGGCTCGAGGACGGGCGCGGTGGCGGGCTCAGCTGCCTACGCCGCCCGCGCCACCTACGCCGCCGCCTTCTCCCGCTTCGTCACCGGCCTCCTCGACGGGCAGCAGGACCGCGCCCGCAAGCTCTCCATGCACGGCCTCGCGCAGGCCATCGGCCTGCCGCCCGGCTTCGTCGAGCTCCGCCACCAGGCGACGCACGAGGCACTGCCAGCGTTGCGGCGGCTGCGGGTGGCGGCTCGACAGGCCTTGGCGTGGATCTGGGGGTACTACTGGGCGCACATGGAGGACGAATCTGACGTTGGTGGAGCCAGAGCCGTGTCGGCGGCGGCAGTGACAGAGGCGACCACGGACACTGAAACCTCTCTCCACACAACGCTGCTCGCATACGTCGACAACGACGACCCCGACACTGCCATTCCTGCCTCGCTGGTCGAGACGTGGGGCGAGGCGGAGGTTCTGGCGGCCTTGGCAGTGATTGGTGCCGAAGGCGACGGCAAGGAGGGCGACAATGAAGCTCACACAAAGAGCCGCGCACTGCGGTGTATACGATTGTCACGGAGGCTTCTTCGTCGAGACGACGACAAGAAGAGTGCGGCAGCTACAGATACAGGGCCGAGGACGACACGGGCAGAGGCAAAGGACAATGCAGAAGAGACTTTACAGCCAGCAAGTGCACATCTGGCAAGCCTGGCAACGGCAGCGCGTGCAACAAAGCCGTCGGCTGGCCCGGCTGGCCCGGCTTGCTGGACAACGGGAAATCTCAACTTGGAGGCCATGCGGGCAGCCATGGCTCAAAGTCGGCAGGCTTTGTACGAAGGGGGTGATGAGGGGGATGTGGTGGGCCAGGAGAACGACGGAAATATGGCAGAGCCTGGAGCCGACGAGGAAGATGAACCGCCAGAGGAAGCCCGCGACGAAGAAGCGGCAGAGAATGAAGTGGTCATGGCTGAGGACGACGACAGGGCGGCAGCACCTGAGCCTGAATTTGCATCACGCAATCCACGGTGGACACGATACTCTGGCGAGTGGACACCACGGCCGATTGGCGTTGTATAAGTGGCACACGAGAGTATGGGAGGAGCCCTGGTGGTTGCGAGCAGAAGAAGAAGAAATTCACGTGCGAAGAACACATTGAGATACCAATACAGCAACTGGCAACTGTTTCGTCAAGGAATTCATGTTTCTGTGCGAGCAGCAAGTCGAGCTAGACCTGGGACATGAGAAACACGAACATACCAAGTAGGAAGATCAAGACGGCAACAGAACGCAGGTCCAGGTCCGGCACGACTCACCTTGCCCATTTCCCATTCCCCATCTGCCTCGTCTTTCTTCCCCAGGTTGCTGCGTCCACCGACGGAGACTGCTTTTTCCGCCCCAGATTTTGAGGAGAGCCGAGGACGCCACCACGTCCAACGACCATCTGATTTGCGCCGCACGAGTTTGTCCACCAATCTGCGTCCATCTACCCGTACCCCGGACGACGCACGCCATCACCAGACGCTATCGACAGACGCCAACGTCAGAGCCAATCTCTTCGTCCTGGGGAAAAGACTGGGCCTAGGGAAGTGTGGTGGCGAGGCTGGCGATGGGGCGTGGGGATTTGGAGGGGAAGCGCGTCGGAGTATTCAAAGTACGTACAAACACGCGTCGTCGATGCAATACGCATGAGATCCACGAGGCCGTTGGTGTCTCTCCTCGGAGTGCCGTGTGGTGGTATCGTCAAACCCCACTGCGCTAACAAACCCTAAAGTTAGCAGCCGAGCCCCTGATCCGTCGGGCATGCAGCGCCGATGCCCGCTGTCAGTGCTGAGCGGGCAAGCGCTCTACCGAACCGCCGCTGCGTCGCACTTTCCGTTCGTTCGCCTTCTTCTTGTCCACTTCGCTGCTCGGTTTGGTGGCTGCCGGTCGTTCTTGCCTGCACGCCGTCCTGGCTCTCCCCAGCAGCCTGGTTCTTTCCCCTCCTTCTGGACTTCGCTTCACGCCCCTCTCTGCCCTGTTCTCCATAATTTGGACGTCGTCCTTTTGATTGATGATGGAGATTTGACCCTTTTCGTTTCTTTACCCCAGATTCTCCACGCCGATCCATGTGGCGATGTGGATGTTTCGGTGCGTTTGTTTCGTTCTGCCGCGGTTCTGTTTACATCACCACCACATTGCGATCGCTGTTCACACGCCCCCTCCCTCCATCTCTCTGCATCTCTTCGTCTCCTCATCTGAATCTTCCGTCTTCTGTCCTTGTTCTGTCCACCCCCTTCGACGGCTTACGGGACAATGCTTCACCTGGCTGGCAAAGGCCGTGCATGCGCGAAAGGGTGACCAATAGCCAGGGCCGGCAGTCTTGGTGTTGTCGTTGTGTGGGCGATCACGAAACAGCCGCACTGCAGGCCACAACCCAAACCCCAAACCCCCAAAGCCAAGCCACAGATACGGCGACGGCGGAAATCTATACGGAGTGCGGCAACGCCTCACGCATACCACCTAAAGAGTGGGTGCACATATGTGTGAGCAACGCGCGTGGTTGGCTTGACCAGCTGCATCGTGCTTTGTGAGCATACGGGGGCTGAGCGATCTGGGCATTCGGATACGAGCATTGAATATCTATAAGTCGGGCATTAACCGTCGTCCGATGTCTTCATTTTTTTTGTTTGACGTTGATATCAGGCATGACAAACGAGTCGCTCATCACGAGCAATATCTCTTCTTGATGCCTTAACTCTGGCAACTCTTCTTTCCTCTTTTTGCATCTCACCCACGTCCTCCATCACCACACCCTCCGCACAGCATGTTCCACGTCGACAAGACAGCCGTCCGTGGCGTCCACGGCGACGGCGTTGTCTTGCGCGACACTGACACCCGCGACCGCTTCTGGTGGCACTACCCCAACCTGCGCATGCTCAACATCTTGCTGCTGGGCTGCATCGTCTGCGACATCACCAACGGCTACGATGGCTCCATGCTCAACGGCTTGCAAAGCCTCGAGAGCTGGCAGGACGCCATGGGCCACCCCAAGGGCACTCGTCTCGGCACCATCACGAGCGGCACCCGCTACGGCCAGCTCGGCGCTCTGGTGATTGCCGCGCCGCTCATGCAGCGCTACGGCCGCCGCTGGCCCATTGTCATCGGCTCGTCTATTTTGTTGGTGGGCGTCGCCCTGCAGGCCGCCGCCGTCAACTACCCCATGTTCGTCGTCGCCCGCGTTCTTATCGGCTTCGGCAACACCATCCAGAACACCGCCTGCCCTGTGCTCGCATCCGAGCTCGCCCACCCCACCCAGCGCACCACCGTCATTGGCGTGCAGAACTCCACGGGCTCGCTCGGCCAGATCATGGCCGCCTGGATTACCTATGGCACTGCTTTTCTGGGCATGTCCTCGTGGTCCTGGCGCCTGCCGTCGCTGCTGCAGGCCCTCTCGTCCACCTTCCAGCTCTGCATGGCCTTTGTGATGCCCGAGTCGCCCCGCTGGCTCGTGCACCAGGGCCGCACCCAGGAAGCCTACCAGATCCTGGCCAAGTACCACGCCGAGGGCGACGAGTCGTCGCGCCTGCTGCAGTACGAAATGGCCGAGATCGAGGCCGCCATCGAGGCCGAGCGCGCCCAGTCCACGTCCGCCTGGTCCGAGTGGATCCGCACCGCCGCCAACCGCTACCGGCTGTTCATCGTCGTGACGTCCGGCTTCATCATCCAGTGGTGCGGAAACGCGCTGCTCAGTTACTATATTCATCTAGTCTTTAATTCCATCGGCATCACGAACCCCAAGACGCAGCTCGAGCTCAACGGCGGCATCACCATCAACGGCTGGGTCTGGGGCAACTTTTTCAGCCTGTTTGTCGACCGCATCGGCCGCCGCCCCATGTGGCTCGTGGGCCTCGGCGGCATGTTTGTTGCGTTCCTGCTCCTGACCGTCTGCACCGGCGTCAACACGGGCATCAACTACGCCAACGACGCCCTGAGCCGCACGACGCTGTTTGCCACCTTCTTGTTTGGCTTCTTCTACAAGATGCCCGGCTGCATGCTCAACTCGTACGTCGCCGAGGTCGCGCCCTTTGAGCTGCGCGCCAAGGCCTTTGTGCTCTCGAGCCTGTGCGACGCCGCCGCCAACATCTTTAGCAGCTACACGAACCCCGTCGGCCTCGCCGCCATCGGCTGGCGCTACTACATTGTCTGGTGCGCCGTGCTCGTCAGCAACTTTGCCATTGTCTTCTTCTTCTACCCGGAGACCAAGAACCTGAGCCTCGAGGAGGTCGCCCAGCTCTTTGACGGCGCCGCGCTGGCGCCCGGCGACGGCAAGCTGCGCGAAGACGATGCGCGAGGGGAAGCAGAGGTGGTCGAGGTGGCAGAAGCAGCAGACGTGGCCGAGGTGGGCGCCCCTGCGTCCAAGGAGGCCAAGGAGACTACCCACCCCTGAAAGACGAATGATAGTTACCACAGGCGTTGGAAGAAGTAAACGGACGAAGCGCAGCGTTTTGTGTTCTGTACTCTTTGGTGCTCTTGAATTTTGGCTGTTTTGATTTATGAGCGTCTCTCAAGTAGCCATCTTTAACGACTCAGAAGCATTGACATCGTTTATACATTTTGATATATTGTAAAGACATATAAACACACCCCGTAACAGTCCACGCTGGCTAGCCTCGGATCGGGCGCGCCGGCCGCTCCTCTTTTGGCAGATAGCACTGTGCGTCACAGTACCAGAACATGACGTGCGGGACAACCTGCGGCATCTGATCGAGCTGGGCTGGAACCCAGGGATTTGCCTTGTTGAGCGAGCGGTTCGCGACGTCGACGATACACTGTGTGGGTGCCGCAATGGTGCTCCTCTCCCAGTACCTGTTGCGCACCCACGGGTCCCAGTCGTTGGAGCCCGTCCAGACGCTGTCCTCATCCGACTTGGGCATCTCGTCAGCCTCGTTGATGGCGACGTAGGAGTTCAGCCGCGCCATGATGCCCTTGCCGATGAGGTTCAGCTCTCCACGGCAATGCATTTTCATACCGTCTAGCAGATTCTTGCGCGTGATGCTGTCGAGCAAAGCCTTGTTATCGGCGACAGTCCGGCCCATATCAATGCTGTCGTACGGCGTGTCGTCGGGCTTGGTCGGTGGGCGCCAGCACCTCGGTCCAGGGACAGCTTCATCGTGCCGAGGCGGGCCCAATGGCCACACCGCCCACCACCGCATCTCTAGGGATCTCGTTGACGCGGCCTGCGATTGGCAGTTTACCACTCTATCACAACGCAAGCTTTGCCTGTTTCCGAAGCCCAGAGTTCTAACAAAGAATTACATCCCGTAGATAAGCTGGTAAACAACCCGTACTCCGTCTGTGTACTCGGGACTCCTCAGTAACGAACCCCCGGCATAACTCCAATACGAGAATACCATTTCTGGAAAGGTCAGGCTTGCGCAGGATCAGCAAACCCCGGATGCGACAATGTTTCTTTGGACTTTGGAGTATTGGGGTGCTGTGGAGAGACTAACGTTGTATTGGCGCTTTGAACTTCGCTCTTTCCGCGCAAAGGATTCCGCCCGCCACGCTTTGAGGAAACACTGGGGGAAGCCGCGACTAGCGGGCTGCACGCCTCGTTCTGCGGCACACCCGCGATCGCTCTTTCCTCGTCGCCAATTTGAGGTGCAATTGCCTTTTTTTCCTGTCCCGTCATCGTTCCTGCCTTCTGTCTCTCAGCTGTCCCTCGCATTTTGACCATTTCCACCAGGCGCCACTCCTTTGCCCCGCCGGGCGTCATTCTCCCGTTGACAACCTCGTCGTCCCCTTTTCCTTTTCTCTCCTCACCCTCTCCCGTCCCCCATTTCCCCATGGACGCACCCCCCCAGCCGCTTACTAGCGGCACCGGTGTGCGCCCGGCCGACCCGCCCGACGACGACTCTCCGCCGCCCGACGACCTGCCGGCCTGTCTGTCTTGCCGGAAACGCAAGTCGCGATGTTCTCGCGAGACGCCCAGCTGTGCGCAATGCATTCGACTAGGTGGGTGCTCGTCGGTGGCCATGAGGTGAAGCTCATGCATCGCATCCGATAGACCGTCCCCAGCTCCCGCCAAGTTCGCCACTTGGTCGTATCGGGCCCAAACAGCCTCTTACACAGAGCCCCGACTGACTTGCATAGGCTGCGAATGTCTCTATGTCTCCAAACAGAAGCCCGGGCTCAAGGCCGGTGTCGTCGACACCTTGAGCCGCCGGTTGGGTGAGCCGTTTTGCACTCTTGGTGACTGTGGTTTTTGTGCCCAGACTCACAGCTCACATTGACAGAATTCCTTGAGAGGCTCTTCCTGGACAGCACCGGCAACAAGAAGCCGCACTTGGCCTTTCTCGACCTCGACATCGGCCAGCTGCCGTCGCCCTTTACGCCGGGACTCGCCGGCGCCGGTGGCCCCTCTTCTGGTCATGCCAGGTTGAGTGCATACGCACATGCAGGCGGTGTGTCGGGCGGTGCAGGAGCCAATGGCAATGGCAACAGCAGTGCCTCTTCGCCCGAGTCGTCGGCCAGTAACCACGGACGGTCACGGCAGCGGTCCGGCGTGTCACAGTCGCGCAAGCGCCGTCGTCTCGATCAGAACGGGAGCGGCGGTGACGACGCGGATGGCGATGACGACGATGACGACGATGACGACAACGAAAACCACCAGGGTGCGAGCCGCGCTGGCCACGGCCGCCCGCAGTACCTCTTCCTCGACGACCCGCCATACCACCACCGGAGGCGCGCCCGGAGGAACGGCGACCACGACATCTCCGACGACGACGATTCCAACGCCTCCTCGTCCTCGCTTGACCACGCTTGGATACCCCCTCTACCTGCCCTTCCTCTACTCAAAGCCATTGTCGAGGCCCATTTTCAGACCGTCCACCACTGGGTCCCCATCCTCCACCCGACGCGCTTTCGCGCTCTCCTCGACGACCCCCGCGAACGCCGCCGCCGCGCCGTCTTGATCCATGCCATCATTGCCATGTCCATCAAGTACGTCGATTTTGGCCCCTTTGGCCTCAAAAGCCGCCACGTCGCCCGCCAGATCCGCCTCTCCCGCCGCGCCGTCCAGCTCAATGCCCTCGACGGCCTGTCCTTTATCAACACCCAGGCCCTCATCTTTCTCGCCTTTGACTATGTACGTTGTTGTTCTTTTTGTCCTCGTTACGATCTTTTCGTTCCCCCTTGTTCTGTTGCTAACTCTTGACTCTAGATGGGCAGTGGCCTGATTGCCAAGGCGTGGCCCATTGTGGCTGCCTTGACGCGGGAGGTCGTCTTTCTCCAGCTGACTGTCGAGCCAGACGACGCCTTTGCTCGTCCAACGCCGCTCGTCAAGCCAGGTGCTCTCTTTGACGGTGCCCGTGACTGGACGGAAGCCGAGGAGCGTCGGCGAATCTTCTGGGGCGTCTTTTTCCTGGACCGTATCTCGTCCATCTCTGCAGGGTAAGCGTCCTCTTTTTTAGGCTTCAAAAATTGTGTATTTATGAGCATAACTCTGACACATTTATCCCGTCTACCAGATGGCTACCGAATCTCACGGCAACCGATGCACACAGGCGCCTCCCCTGCAGTGGCGGTTTCTGGGCCCGCGAAGAGACTGTCACGACACCGTACTTTGCCCTCTGGGACAGCCGAGAAAACGAGGGCGGCGGCAAAGCGATAGGAAGCATGGCCGCCCCATCCACGATCACCACCGCCTTCCACCAATCCCCAGAATACTACTACGGCAACACACACCATCCCATGGCAAGCCCCGTGACCGCCCGCGACGGCACGACGTCCTCGGGTCCGTCTGCCACATCTGGCGGCGGCGGCGGCGGCGGCAGCTCTTCTTCGGCACCGGCCGCCAACACCAACAAACTTGGCGCTCTCGCATATTGTATCGAGGCAACAGAGCACCTGAGCCATGTCTCGGCGTTTTATGCACGGCAACCGCCGCCGGCGCCTTCCTTGGGCGAAACTGTTACTGCTTCAGGGGCAGGGGCAGGTGTGGGCGCCGAAGACCGCGCCGCCATGAACGCCTGGCTGACCCGCTTCAAGGAGCTCGATCTGCGCCTTGTGCACTGGAAGATGCACCTACCGCCACAGTGGTCGGACTGGCACGTCTCGCTCAAAATCGACCCAAATTTGACTCTGAGCCACCTGAGCCACCTCGCCAGCATGATCCTCCTCCACCAGCACATCGCCTACCCACCGCCGCAATGGTCCAGCCTTGTCCGCCCGAGCCTGCCCAGCGTCTGCAGTGCCGAAACGTGTGAGCAGGCTGTGGCCGACATGGTGGCCATCTCGCAAAAGTACCTGCGCTATGTCGGCGGACTGGCCTGTGGGCAATTTGCGTTCTGCCTCTTTGTGGCTGCACGGTTTGTCCTCGTACACGGCCACATCAGCAGGACGGCCTTGCCTGGCGGCGGTGGCGGCACGACGACATCGGGCGTGCCCACCTTGTCCTCAACATCGTCTTCGTCGGCAGACGACACCCCGCCCTCCTTCTTTGCGCTCCTCGAAAGTCTCGACAACATATCGGTGCGGTGGAATGGGTACTGCGTTCCGGACGAGGAGGAGAGTGGCGACAGCATGAACAATATGACTGGCGAGCAAAGCAGAGACAACGATGGTGCGCCGCCTCCTGCTGATGAGACCAAGCGCTGGCGGCAGCCGCTCGACCTCGCCGCCCTGTACGCCGCCCGGCTGCGGTCGCTGCACCAAAAGGCAACGGCCATTGGTGCCGACATCAACACCCCCTTGTTGGCCGTGGACGAGATGATTGCGCTGCTGTCGACATCCACAATGGAGGGTCTTTTCAAGATAAAGCCGTCTCCTAATGCGCATGATGCGCTAGACACCGCCGCTGCGGTGGGGGTTGCAGCGTCGACCTCGACGCCCTCGGGTCTTTCGTCCTCGGCGGCCTCCCACCTGCGCAGCCCCAGCGTGATACATGGCGGCGGTGTCGAGATTGCGAGCATCCTGCAAAACCCTGTTCCAGCGTCTGTGGCAAGTCGGACGCCCGCCATGACGCCGATGCCGGCCATGACGTCCGCTGGCCCGTTGACGTCGCCAGTGAACAACGGCCCAGATGCCAGCATCATGGGCTACGGAAGTATGCGCGGCGGACCCGTGTCGGCCAATGTGTCGAATGTGCGGATGGTGCCTGGGACACCGGCGACAGCTGCCAACGTATTCAACATGGACATGGTGGCACAGCAGCATCCCCACCACCAACATCCTCTACACCACCAGCACCAGCAGCAACAGCAACACCCACATCAGCAACATCAACACCAACCACCCCCACAGCATCCGCACCAACACCCACCGCAACCTCCACCCCCTCAATACCCACAGCACCCGCAACATACACAGCAACCACAGCAGCATCAACAACAACAACAACCTGGAATAGACGAGGAGGACGAGTTTGCGGCCATGTCGCACCTGCTGCTGGGCAACCAGTTTTTGGATATGGAGCGTGTGATGATGCGCAACGACGCCAGTTTTTTACTGCGATAATCTACGAGACCGGGGGCCTCATAATGTATATAATGAATAATTTTTTGACGACTACAAACCATGAAGCATTGGCACTTTTTGACTGTTTTCTTTTGGACAATTGGATCTCTCAGGACTTGGTATTTTTTTGTTTTGTTATTTGAACACGAAAAAGCCATCGCATCTTGGCACCGGCGTTGCTTCTTCTCCCGACCAAAGTCTCATCTACCTAGGCGCGACCTGGAGTCCCATCCGCAGCAGTTGATTGCCAAACTCGAGGAAGTAGTAGTCGGCATACACCAGACCCGTATCAGAGTACCGCACCAAGGCATATCGGTTGTTGTTGGCGGTCGAGTGGCGCAAGATGGCGTCCCACGAGCCGGCTGGAACATGAATGGCGCCCGTGGCGCTGTCGACCGTGAATGCAGCCGCATCCTCGCGGTCCAGCGAGTAGCCCAGCGTGTCGTGCGCGATCCGCAGCGCCGCCACGAGATACCGGCCGTCGTACTCACGCTTGGCATCCTTGGCACCCTTCCTTTCGCGCTCAGCACCGTCCCGCTCCAGCGCCTGGTGCAGCAGCAACAGCCCGTTGGCGGCAACCATGCCGGCCGACGTGTCCCGCAGCGGCTGGCCGTTGCTGTCCTGCTGGTCCGCGTCGTCGGCCACGGGCGCGTCAAAGTCCCACAGCGGCACATACGTGTGCGACGCCGCCGGCGACGCGTCCAGCCGCTGCAGAAAACAATCCGCCACGCGCCGCGTCGCCGCCAAAAACTCGGGCAGCGCCGTCCACCCGTACGTCTGCGCGAACCCCAGCACCGCCCACGCCTGGCCCCGCGACCACGTCGACCCGTCCGCGTACCCCTGGTGCGTCATCCGGTACTGCACGACGCCGCCCGCCAGCGCCGGGTCCAGGTTGGCCACGTGCCACGTCGAGCCGTCCTCCGGCCGCACGAGCGTCCGCAGCACGGTGCGCGCGTGCTGTGTGGCTAGGGCCGCGAGCTGCGGGTTGTTGGTGTGCCGGGCCGCATAGAACAGCAGGTCCATGTTGCACATGCTGTCGACAATGACCAAAAAGTTGCGGTCTGGATTGGCAATCTCATATCGCTTGGAGACGGCGCGGTCCCAGCTGCGGATGGCACCGACGAGGGGGTCGAAGCGGGTGGCCAGGCTGGCGGCGGCGGTCGCGTAGCCGCGCAGACTGACCAGATCGCCCGTCAGCTCCCAGTCCATCCGCAGGGCACGCACGATGAAGCCGAGGTCGTGGGTGTTGGTGCGCGTGGTCTGGGCGTGCAGCGGGGCGGTCCAGCGGCGGCCGAGGGCCAGGAGCTGGGACACAAATTGGTCGGTGGGCATGTTGTTGGTGGAGCCGCCGGGGACGCCGTACTTTATGACTCGTTCGAGGATGCAATACAGACTTGCCGGAAAGAACCCACACGTCCAAAATGCGGCCGGTTTCGGCTGGTAGTGACCAGTGTTCTCGCCCGAGGAAGGAATGTATTCGGGGTAAGTGGAGAGGGTCGGCTCAGCCGCGAGATACGACTCGGCGACACGCCAGATCTTGGCGGCCACATTTTCGGAGTAGAGGCCAGCCAGAAAATCCGACGACAGTGACGATATGGATGTGGAGAACGGAGGCGAGGGCAACACCGTGTTCGCTGTCTCTGGAGACGCTTCTCTGGGAATCTTGAAGTCGACTTGGACGGACGCTGGCAATGGCGTCGAGGCCAGCGGCGGCGAAGACGTGGCGGTCGACAGCGGAGTCGTCAAAATGCCAGAGGCAGAGCTTGAAGAAGATGCTGTTGCCGTGGCCACGATGGGAGCGCTTGTGGCCATGATTGGTGATGTTTTTGGCTGGATGTTGGTGGTAAGTGAGGGGGGTTTGACAAGAAAAGGGGCTTGTCAACAAAGAATAGGTCAGTGTTTTATTGCACTACCGAAGGACAGTGAACAATCTCAGTGAACTACCGTCCTTTTTGGCATTCCGCCGTCTCGACAGCGCCTTTCTTCTCTTCTTCCAACTCTCGGCGTCCGGGCGCAGCGGACGGACGCTGTACAAAGTGCGACGCGAGACGCACAAAGGCGACTAGCAGCCTGTCTCTTGCACTTGTTGCTGTCTCCTATGTCTATTTTCAACCAGTGTTTTGGTCTTTTGTCGTCTGTCACCTGCGTCGCCAGCCCTGCGCCATTCTTTGGGCTTCACCTTGCTTCGTGTCTCTCCTCGTCATGCGGCGCTCCTCATTAATACTCGGTGTTATTCGGTCTTCCTGTTCGTTGTCCGCCAGCCGCAGTCTGTTGTCTGCTGCTGGTTCTCCTCACGTATGCCTCAATCCACGCTCACTTGCTCCTCAAAGTCCGTTCTTGCTATTGAACTAGTTGCCCCATCTTTCATACACCCTCCGTCCCCTCAAGCGCCAAACGGACTGTGGAGCGCCGGGAGAACATTGTCCTTTTGCCTCGGGGTTGATCAGTCTTACGTCTGGATCCATTTTACACATCTTAAAACATCGGACACGCCAAAGCCGCGGGCGGTGATGTGGCCCACTTGGACACAAACGTACGATGGTTACGCACGCCGCACACGGTCCCATAATGTCAATGCAGCCACGGAATGTGAAAATGAGGATCGTTACTGTCAGAAAGAGGAGGCAAACGAAATTCAGATCCTGGAGGAGCTTGACCGAGGAAGTGGGTGTTGCGTGGTCGCCACTTGGACGGCTTACACGCCATGGGTGGATATAGAATATGTTCTTGATATGTTCATAAACATGTTCCTTATATCAGGCGGTGGTGGATTGGGCCGATGGACCGGGCTATTTTGTGGGGCATCGGCGGGCGTGGCCGATAGGCTCCGACACACCTCCAACCGTTCCTAATTGGCAGGTGCGCCAATCTCCAACTACTCCGCTTCGCACCTTCCCGGTAAGCAGCCACCTCTCTACCTTCGTCAAACTTTCCCACCAGTGAGAGTCGTTGGTAGACGTCCTTGCAGTTTGTGTCCCACTTTGTCACAGAAAGGCCGACGCGAAGGAAAGCAACAAAATGACAGAAGAGACGAAGTGTATCGACGGGCCGTCTCACAGGCCGTGACAACGTCCACCGGCCGGATGTCGGCGAACTTCCGCCTGTCGACGGCAGTGTTGCGATGATCAAAAAGGGAAACACCTGCGGAAGGTAGCTCCTTCCTCGCCTGGCCAGCCCATCGACCAGTTCCTTTCCCCGATATCATCGGCAACTTCTTCTCCACCGCCGTTGACTCTCGATACCTCAACTGTCCCATCTACACTGCGACGTATTTTCGATCATGGCCGCCTACATACCCCAAACGGTCACCCTCGACGGCCGGGAGCTGGCCGCCATCAAGGCCCACCTTCACGACGACAACAAGAACGACAGCAACACAGCCCTCCGTGTGGCCCTGGATCAACTGACCACTGAGGCAGACGGCTGGTTGACCCAAGGGCCGTGGTCCGTCGTCGACAAAGCCAAGGCTGGCCCGAGCGGCAACCTCCACGACTACGTCAGCCAAGCACCGTACTACTGGCCCGACCCGGCGCGTGCCAGCGAAGGCGGCTTGCCCTACATCCAGCGCGACGGCCAGAAGAACCCCGAAGTCCTGACCTACACCGACCGCGTCTACGTCGAAAAAGTCTTTCGCTCGGCCTACGTGCTCGCTCTCGCCTCGTTTTACACCGGCAATGCCAAGTATGCCATACACGCGGCGCGCGTGCTGCGCACCTGGTTCGTGGCCCCAGCCACGGCCATGCGCCCCAACCTGGATCATGCACAGCTGATCCCGGGCGTCAACACGGGCCGCGCGATTGGCATCATTGACTTTTCGCAGGCGTACGCCAGCGTCTTGGATGCGGCCATCCTGCTGCGCGAGCAGAGCACAAAAGGCACAAAAGGCACAGAAGACGGGTGGACGGACGAGGACGACGCCGGCTTCCGGGATTGGAACCGCTCGTTCCTCGCGTGGCTGGTCGACGGCGCGTTTGGACAGACCGAGCACGCCGAGCGCAGCAACCACGGCAGCTTTGCGGCCATGCTGGTGGCGACGATTGCTGCGTACGTCGGCGACACGGACCAGGTCGCCCAGGAAGTAGCCCATGCCGCGCACACGCACATCCCGGCAACCATCGAGGCGGACGGGCGGCAGCCGGCCGAGCTGGCGCGGACACGCAGCTGGCACTACTCGACCTTTAACCTGCTGGCCCTGACACGACTGGCCATGGTGGCAGACCGGCACGAAGGCGGGGAACGACTGTGGCCCAGCTTGTTTCCGGCTGTTGAGTACGTGCTGCCGGCCGCGACGGGCGGCCGCGACAAGTGGCCGCACCCCGACCTGCAGTTTGAGCAGTTTGCGGCCGCCGACGTTGTGCGTGCCGCTGCGGCCGCCGGCCACGCCGCGTCGCAGGCGGCCGTACCGTTGCTGGCGCTGCCGCCCGACGGTGACATGTGGCCGTTGCGTCCAGCACCAGAGCAGCTGGACCCGGTCAGGGCGCCAGGACAGACGCCGGGAGCAGCCAAGCCGGGGCAGTAAGGGCAACAAGAGTGTACATAGCAGGAAGACGCGCTACGGTCAACGTAAACATAAAGAGTGAAGAGAGTTAGAAATTAGGAACAGAGGGAATAGATGTCTCCGCGGGCCGGTCTTGCCAGCTATGAGAAAAGACGGCGGTTCGACCCAGACGGAGGCCTTCAAAGAAGAGTAAAGACCCAGCGTTTTCATCTTGCTTCACTGTCCACACTTGCACGCTGTGGGGGCGAATCGGTGATTCTGTCTTAAACGGCAAGCTCTAGCTATTTTAGAAGCGGGTGTACGAAGGTGTGTAGTTGTGATGAGAGAAGAGGAAGTAAAACGAAGAACAAAAGAACAAAAAAACCAAAAAAAAAACCAGACAATACATAATGAGCATATGCCTCCTTACCTTGTGTTGCCGCTGCCATCATGAGAGTCATTACAAACAACTCGTTGGCAACGGCAACGTCAACGTCAACGCGTGGGATAGTTTACAACACACCCAAGAAACCGAACGTGTTTGGTCGTTGAAAGAGGAAGAAGAGATTTTTTGCAGTGGACACTGCAAAATTTCAAACCATTTAATCTGCCTGCAGAATTAGATAATCATCTGGCACGTGATGGCGTGTTGCCGTTCTCGGCTCCACTCTTTGATTTGCGCGTCACCCCATCCTTTGCCTACCTTCGTAACTTGTCACTTAACCTGCACCCTTGACACTCCAACACCAGCCATGGTACGTATGCTGCCAGGATCCTGCGCATGCCCACGATCGATGCTGACTGATACCCTCCCTCTCCAGCCTCCCAAACGCAAAGCCTCGGCGTCTGCCGCTTCCTCTTCAGCGACCGCCGCCGACAAGGACAAAGCCCCTCGCCCTTCCAAACTCGCCCGTGAGAACAACATCTCCGCGCAGGAAGAGGCCGAGATTCGTGAGGCCTTTGGCCTTTTTGCCGAGCCCATGGACGGCGAAAAGGACGGCGTCCTCCCGATTGGCGATCTGCGCCGCGCCCTCATCGCCCTTGGCATCCCGCCTGCCTCGCGCGCCGAGCTCAGCGAGTTTGTCGGCATCCTCGACCCGGACGACGAAGGGTTTGCCGTCTACCCGTCCTTTGTGGCCATCTGCGCCCTGCAGATGCGCGCGCGCGCCGACCGGACGTCGCGGGCCGAGCAGGCCCAGGAAGTGGACGAGGCGTTCAATCTCTTTGTGGGCCACGGCCAGTCGGCGGCGGCGACGGCGACGGCGGCGACGACAGGTGACATAATTACTGTAGCGCACCTGCGACGGATCGCGGCGACGCTCAAAGAGGAGGTGGCCGACGATGTGCTGCGCGACATGGTGCTGGAGGCCAACGGCGGAGCGGGCGTGACGGCCGGCGTGGACCGGGACGCCTTTGAGAACGTGATGCGACGTGCGGGTGTCTGGCGATGAGGCATGTCTAGAAGCGGGGAATGAAAGACAAACCCGTGAAGCGACAATCCTGTCTCTGTCGAAGACAATGGCAACGGACGATCGCGCATGGCGTGCGAAAAAGCTGCGTCGACAACGCGACCCGGCAGCGGCAGAAGGTGCCATGCTGGGCGACGAACAGACCATCGTCTCACTGCATCGGGTGGATTGATAGGGACGGCCTATCTGAAGACAGGCCTACGAACCCGACGTCACCTCGACATACAGCACCGCGCCAAGTTGAGGACGCACAAACACACTGGTGTAGGCATTCCTGACGTTGCCTACCACGTGGCTGTTAGCACAAGACATCCGGTCGCAAAGACTGGATGGCTGATGGAGGCAAAGAGCAAAGGTGCGAGGAAACATCACTCCATTGTCGTGACAGACTGGGAGAAAACCAAAGGCAAAAAGTAACGCCATGAATGTATGCTAGGAAATAATGACATAACGAGAACTGGTAAAGTGGGCAACAAACAAGAAGCTGCTCCGGCGTATATAGTGAATAATGCAGAAATGACAAAGATCTAACGAATGTCCCAAGTGTATATACCTCGCCTCGCCCGCTTTGGTGCCATCTGTTGTGAGAGCCCTACGCCTCGGCGGCGGCCGCTGCCTCCTTGGCCGCTGCCGCCTCCTTGGCTGCCGCCGCCGCCATTTCGTCGCGCTTCTTCTGCGAGTCGAGCACAGCCTGCAGCTCGGGCGGGGCCTTGAAGCCGGCGTGGTCCGAGTGCTTCTTGTAAAAGTAGCCGTCGGCCTTGGGCCTCAGCTCGGCCGGCAGCTCCTCGAGCACGCACGCGAGCAGGTTGTCGACGGATTTCTGCTTGGACGACTCGCGGTGCCAGATGGAAATGAGGTGCGAGTTGAACCGCACAGACAAGCCCACGCCGCAGATTGTGTCGCCTGGGTGGAAGAGCAGTCAGCCGGGTGTAAACACAAGGAAAGAATACGGTATGGGCCATGGCTGGGGGAGGCTCACCCTCGTCCAGCACGCTCTGTAGCTTCTCACCAATCGCCAGCAGCTGGATGCGCGTCCAGACGTCCGGGCCGATGCTCTTGGGCACGCGGAACGTCCAGCTGCCGCCGTTGATGTTGCGGCGGTCTTCCCAGATGGGGCGGAACCCAGACTTGAACAGGTAGATGGACTCGCGCATCTTGATCTGGTCGACGGGCGTGTTGTTGGCATAGCGCCAAAAGTCCTGGACAGACTCGATCTGGGCGCCCAGCTGCTCGAGCTGGGCCTGGTAGTTTTCTTTCCTCTCGTCCTCCTTGTTTCCATTCTTGCCCTCCCCGGCGCCCGCCTCCTTGCCTGGCCGGTCAAAGTAGACATTCCAATAGTGCTGGGTGGGCAGCGCGCGCATCGTCTTGAGAAAGTTGCGCTTGGCATCGTCGCGCTGCTCAGAGGGCGTCGTGACGCCACCCGGCGAGTTGGGGTCGGCGGAGGAGCTCTTGGAGAGCGAGGAGAGGCCGCGGGTGAAGAGGGTCGGACGGGCTGCCATTGTGAGTGTGCGATGGGGTTGCGGTCGGTAAGTATGACGAGGGAGGTCGGGTCAAGATGAGGGAATCGAGTACGAAAAGAAAATAAATTAAAGAAATAAAAAAGTGAGAAGTCTGTAGTCTCCGAAATAGGCGCCGTAGATGGAGGGGTTACAAAAGGAGACCGATGCGCAAGGCACTCGCTTCTGGTTGGACAGGGCGGACAGGGTTCGGGCGGAAAGGAGGCTGGCCGAGAGACAAAGGACGAGATGGTGAGACGAGAAGAAAGAGAAAAAGAAAGAAGGTCAAAGTGAAGGTGAAAAAAGGAGAGAAAGGAGATAGCTATGACGAACGTTTTAGGCAAGACCAAAAATACCAAAGAAGGAAACCGCAGCCATTCGCATCCGCGCGCACCTGCCTCGTCACTCCTCTCCGTCCGTCCCTGCCCCTGTCAACATCCCATGCCCCGAGCTGCGTCGCTCCTTCCTTACTTCAAGGTACAGTACCTAAACGCGGATCTCGGAATGAAACCTCAAACCAGATGAAAAGGACATAATGCTCGCTCGCCATACATATCGTTAGGCCGAAGCTCTGCTGAGCTTGCGACAGTCCACCAGCTCGGGGGGCTCTGAAACAGAGGGGCCGACCCGCCCATATCACTTCTGTTGACGAGGGGTCCAAGACATCGCGATTCAACCACTGCAAAAGGTGCAGCGAAGCGCTGTGGAATGGCACTAAAACGGCGAAATGGGGGACCAAACAGCGCTAGACAGGGCGCTAGCTGGAGAACACGCGCTGGGCCGCTGCAACTAACTCGAAAAAGTCGAGGAAAGAGCGCTGGAATTCAGAGAGGCCACAACGACTGGCTAGGAGCATTCCCCACGGCACCCTGAAAGCCCCACTGAGGGGATTCTCCACTGTCTGTCGCATCGTGTTTCGGGACGACAGTCGTGTAAGCCGTGGTGGGCACGTGACTCTAACGGCACATTACCAACTTCATCGCATCACGAAAGAGAGAGAGATGATGGCACGGGAATACAGGGCATGAACCTAATTTTCTCGTGGATCGTTATGCAGCTATATAACTAATGATTTTGTATTTATGTACTCTTCTTTCACTTTTTTGGTGGTAAGTTTTGTTTTATTTTTGTTTTTTATAAAAAAAAAATATTGTTTCGATACATCTAACCTCTTTTGGTATTTTCTTCACCATTTTCTTACATTTTTTGCCTCACGGACATTTAGTATTTTATAAAATCAAGCCAGGTCTCCTTTCCTTCTAGAAAAACGAGACAAACCTATCCAAAAAGGAAATTAAACCAAAGTAAATCAAAGTAAACCAAAGTAAACCAAAGTAAACCAAAGTAAACCAAAGTAAACAAAACTAAACCGAAGTAAACCGAAGTAAACTAACGTAAACAAAAGTAAAGAAAGTAAAGAAAGTAAAGAAAGTAAAGAAAGTAAAGAAAGTAAAGAAAGTAAAGAAAGTAAAGAAAGTAAAGAAAGTAAAGAAAAGTAACGAGTAACAAAATTGACAGAAGTAGCAAGTAACAAGTAACAAAAGTAAAGAAAGTAAAAAGTAACAAAAGTAAACAAAGTAAACAAAAGTAACAAAAAAACATTCGCCGCATCAAGGGCGGGAGCCAGAATACTGAGCAAGAAGCTTCTTTTGGTCTCGAATCTCCTTGCGCTTGTCACGCTCACTAGGTACAGGCTTTGGCGGGTCCCTGGGACGACCAACGCCGGCCATTGCAACAATTCCGATATAGTCGTCGTCCGACGAGTCGGAGTCGTCGCCAAACATACTGGACGAAGGCGCCTTTTTCGCAGGCTTTTTCGTAGGCGTTTCCTCGGAGGGCTTCTCAGGGGCCTCCTTCGAAGTCTCCCGAGAGAGCGTCTTGGGAGTCTCCTTTGACGTCACCACAACCACCGGGTCAGGAACCTCCTTTGACGCACTCTTTGCATTCGCCGAAAAAGCCTCCGACGCTTTCATAGGCGATGACAGCTTTGGCGCCTTCCGGAACGTCTCCTGGCAGGACTTCTTGGAAGCCTCCGAGGAAGAATCTTTGTAAGAACCGTGGAACGGCTTCGTCGGACGACCCTCGAACAGCTTCGCATGCGGGTGCTCTGGCGCCTCCTTCTTCACCATTACACTGTCCTCAGTGCGCTGTGTTTTCACGCGTGCCGTCTTGGCCATATCTGGCCCCAAACAAGCCGCTGGCTTAGTAACAAGCGACAGCCTAGGCTTTTTGGCGAGCGGAGCACCATGGGGCGTCTTCTCGTCCTCCACCATAGCGTCCCGACCACAAGGGCGCTTGGTTGAGGTAAAACGTGACGCTTGGCGGAGGACGGGGTTGGTCAGCCCCGTCAGGCGGTAGAAGTGGTTCAGAAGCGCGCGCGTCATGCGCATTTCGGCCGTTCTCCGCTCTTCTGGGGCGGTGCCTTCGTCATCCACACTCGCCCTGTAGTGCTCGTACGAGGCGCACCGCTCGTACATCCAGCCGTCCAGTATGCCCTCCAGGCCAGGCGCGTGGATCATGCGCGCATACCGAGCGAGGTCGGCGGCGTGGCCCATGCGGTTTTCGCAGCAGGCATGTGCCACGACCATGCGGCAAAGCATGACGTGCAGGTCTTCCAGACCGGCGCGCATGTGCTGAGGAAGCTGGGCAAACGCCAAGACGACCTTTCTCTCCGAGCAGACCACGTCCCGTGAGCACGCAAAGTCCCTGTACAAGAAGCTCTCGAGGAGTTGGCGCTCAACGATGGCCTCGGAGGCGTTCTGAACACGTGAGTCGATCATCTTGCGTGCACAGACAGGCAGCGTAGACACTGTCTTCCGGCTGGGTGGCGGGATGTACAGGTTTGAGGACGCCGGCGGATCCCACCACCACTTGGGATACAGCCGGGGATGTGTGTTCATCAACATAATGGGAGGCATGATGACGAATCTGTGAATTTGTTAGTCAAGTAATCAACTGTGGGGGATGATCGATGTCGAGGACGAGATGAGAGCAGTAAATCAATAAAGTGCAAAAAGGGCAGAAGAGAAAGTGGACAAGAATGGAAGACGGGAAGATGGGGTGAGGATGTGTGTAGGAAAAGAAAAACGTACTGTTTGTTTTGAGTTCTTTGCTGAACAAGAAAGAATGTGAGGGTTTGCAAAAGTGCGATTGAGTAACACTTTGAAAGCGAAGATGTGAAAATACTCTTGGGAGCAAACTTTGTTCTCAAGAAGACTGAGCATGCGGATGAAGGAGGAGACGAAGACTGCAGAGACGAGAGGAAGAGGCCGGCCTTTTATGCACAAAAAGATTGGCGAGAGAAGGTGAAAGAAGGAAACAGAGCGGATGACTCCTTTGGTATGTGTAAGGCCCTGTTGGTGACGATGTCTGGCTGTATTTTATGTACTTTTGCAAGGAAAAGGGCTTTGAAGCTACTCGATGAGACTTGCGAGAGCTGGTGACGCGTTGTGCACACTTGTGATAGAAAGTAGAGCGTAAGCACTCCTTACTTTTACTATAAACGTACATGTGTCGTCATATACAGTCAGGCTGTCTGCTGCTGGATTCTCTTCGAGTCATTTGACGCCGCAGATCGGAGCACGAGTGCGAATCAGGACGATGGCCCGTAATCAAAACACACCCCTTTTGTTCTCTGTGCTTCCAAGGATGACAAGCAACCAGCTGTAGATAGTTATGCCTTTGATTCTTAGTAGGAGACGAGAAACGAGCCGCGTGCATCGTGCCTTCCTCGTGCACATGTGCAGTTGCCGCTTTTCGTTTTGGCACTAGGCTGACATCGTGAACCAAACAAATTACCCGATTAGGAAATGGCCTTGTAAGCCAACAACGCGCACACGGCAAGCTCATTGGCTCATTGGCTCATTGGCTCATTGGCTCATTGGCCCGCCACTCCAAGGGCGAGAACACTTTGCCACGATCGTTTTGCAGACAGATTCATGTGAAGGTTTGGAAGAACATGTCGAACTTGTCGAAGAAAAACGGCATCTTCATCTTGTGCATTTCACACATTCTCAAAGTAAACAAAGAAGACCGTTTGATTTCGTTATGCGCCCAAAAGCCGTACGCTGTAGAACAATGTAAAAGAAAAACACAGAAACGAGGAGAGAACAAAATAAAACCAATGACAAACTCAAAAGAAAACCTTGGCCGTGATCCATGCAGTCCCCAGTCCTTCCATGCTTCATGCTCGTCGCCTCACGCGCACTCGCTGCTACACATTCACCCTCGGCGCCAGGGGAGGCCGCCCCGCAGTCGTCCCCAGGCCAGGCTCGGCAGAGATGAAGCGCTGCTTGTCGTCGCCAATCTTGCGGCGGAAATTGCCCAAGTCGGACAGCAGCGACTGCATGTACTCTTCCATGTCGTCGCCGTAGTCGTAGTCGTCGCCGTCGCCGTCCTCTTCGCCAACGTCCTGTTCGTCGTCCTCGTCATAGTAGGCCTCGTCCACCAGATTCTCCTTGTCGGCCGTCTTCTTGGGCGAGCCCTTTGCCGTCTCGTACCCATCGCCCTCGCCGCCTGCCTCCAGCCGCTCCTCGACAAGCAGGCCGCCCGGGTCGAGCGACATGCGCAGCCGCCGTCCCCCGGCACCGCTGCGCCGCCGGTCGGCGCCATGGGCGTCTTGGAAGAGACTGCTGCGCCGGCGCGAGTCGTCTGGATCGATGCCCACGTGGGCCAGGGACGGCGACGGCGTGACCGCCGGGATCGGGTTCTTGAGCGAGTCGACGGCCAGCTTGAGGTGCAGGCGCAGGGCCTCGTTCTCGGTCTGCAGCCGGCGGATCTTGCCCTCGGCCACCAGCGCCTTCTCCTCCATCATGCGCTGCATCGTGGCGACGCGCGTCTGGTACGCCTCGAGCCGGGCCTCGCGGGCGGCGTCGCGTGCTTCGCGGGCCTCGTGCTGCTGGGCGTGCTGGGCGGCCTGGGCGGCGTCGCGCTCCCAGCGCTGCGAGTAGTCCGACACCGACAGCTGCAGGCGGCGAATCTCCTCGGCCATGGCCGCCATCTGGGCGTCGCGCTCGGCCGTCGACATGCTGTCCTGGTTGACCACGGCGCGCGTGCGGATGCGCTTGGCCTGGTCGGCGTAGCGCAGCGTCGACAGCGTCTCGTCGTAGTCGCCCGGCGCAATGCAGGCAATCATGGCCGTCTTGGAGTTGCCGCCCAGCGAGTCCTTGAGCAGCCACGTCAGGATGGAGTCGCGGTACGGCACGATCTGGTCGACGCTGCCGGCGCGTGTGCCGCGCGCCGGCTGCCGCGTCTTGCCCTTCGCGGCGGGGCCCCCGCCCTTGCGCGGGGTGCCGCTCTTGGGATCGGCCAGCGCCGCAATCACACGGCCCAGCGTCGTGAGCGACTTGTTGATGTTGCTGCCCTCCCGCAGCCGCTGGCCGGTCGCCTCCGTGGCCTTGGCCCGCTCGCTGCCCGCCAGATCGACCAGCCGGATGCGCGAGCTGCGCTCCGTCGTCTCGTCCGTCTCCATGTCGTGGTGGATCTGGCGCAGCAGAATGGTAAACACGGCGTGGCTGCGGCTGGACGTGTCGTTCATCTTCGTAGAGGCCACGGTGCGGGACCGGTCGCCCATCTGCATATAGCGCAGGATCTCGTCGAGGCTGCGCACGGGCACCTCGGTCAGGTCCTTGACGTACGGGCCCTCGGTCGGCGACTCGCGGATCTTGAGGTAGTACGACGGCTGCGCGGGCGCGACGGGGACCAGCAGATCCCGCACGTGCTCGTTGTACACCTCAAAGTAGGACACCCGCACGTTGTAGGCAATGTTGGGCGTCTCGCTCTGCGCGGCGGCGATGCGCTGGAACAGATCCTCGCAGGTGCGCGGGATCAGGCCGGGCTCGCTGGGCGTGCCCATCATGGTGTAGCTCTTGCCGGAGCCCGTCTGCCCGTAGGCGAAAATGCACGTGTGGTAGCCCTCGAAGTTGTGGTCGAGAAACTCTTCGCCCAGGCTGTTGTACACGTCTGCCTGCTCTGCATAGTGCTCGTCGTCGCGCGAGTGGCTCCAGAACGAGTTGTCAAATGTAAAGGAGCGGTCTTCGAGGTTGGCCCGGCGGCTGGCGGCTTTGGCGAATCCGGCGGTGGGCGTTTCGGCGCGCTCGGCGGATGCTGGGGCCAGAAGCGTCGTGGCCTGGGTCATGGGGTTCATTTGGATGAGGCATGGTGTGTTTTTCTCGATTTCTGCAGGGCGTCTGGCGTTAGTCACGATCAAATCACAGTGCGGAGAAGAGGGCACAAAAAAACGCACCGCGCGGGAGAAAGGCGCGGACGCGGACGACCACGCGCACATTGCCGCCGGGATCCATCCGGGCGTGTGGCGGCACGGTGCCGTCGCGCGAGCGCAGGGAAGGCGTCGAGGCCGAGGAGCGGACGGCGCGCACGGGTGTCGCAGAGGCCATGGCGATACTGGTGGTGGTGTTGATGTTGTTGTTGGTTGTGTGGCTGCTGGTACGAATGGTGTCGTCGTCTGCCTTCACGTCAATCTCTGCAGGCGGCACGGCAGCGGCGCCGGGCATCAGGCGGGGCTCGGCGGAAATGCCAATCAGCGTGTCGACAATGTCGTTGGCAACGTCTCGAAACCGCAGCTGGCGCGATGAATGCATCGAGGGGAGGAGAGAAGAGGCGGAGACAGCAAACGACAGGACTTGGAAAATAAAAGCATATTCCGTCGTGGGAGAATGGCGCCAACGAAGCCCACTTCTTGCTCGAAGAGGAAAGAAACGTCGTCACTCGGCAGCAGATGGAGCAAAAAGTGGCTCTTCGCTGGCGAGATAAAGTGGCGAGCAGGCATGGATAGGCGGCGCACTGGAGTGTAGATGGATTAGCTGGTGGTGCGTGCATCGCCCGCCGTATCCACATGTGGTTTATTGACATCCGTTGCTAGGGTGAATGGATTATGTAATGGTGGTTGTGACACGCTCATTGTGATTGGCTGTTTGTTTGTCTTAGTTGGATCATAATAAGTGGGTGCGTCCCGCGCCGTCGCCAGCCCGCTGTAGCCCACTGTAGCCTGCTGTACCCACTATATCTGCCACTGTGCGTTCCAGATCGAAATGCTCGTCGTCTTCATCTCGATTCACCGTCTGCGAACATCGGCGAGAACAATGTTGCATTCGGAATGTATATGCGTCTTCGAGAAGACACTTGGGGGATCCATCGCCTCCACAGTACCTTGACCTGGAGGCGCGTCGCAGCCAAGAAGAAGCTGCCTCAGATTCTACCTGCCGGACTTTGTCACTTGTCGCTTTTCACATAGCGTCTCATTGGCCGTCTCCTTTTTCTCTCTTTACATTTGTTTCTGAGTGTTCTTGGCTGTGTTGCGGCCTGTCGCGGGCGCCGCGGTTCTTGGCCGGCAGTTTGATCAGCCGCCTGTCGATGAAATGTCTTGGAGGGCCCTCTTGGCTGGGCAAATGGGGTCCAAGCCATGCAGCGAATAGGGCGCTGGGCAGTTAAATGTTCGCGGAGACGGCTGTTGCGAGATAAGAGACGCCAGAGCCGAGAGTATGACTGAAGAAATGACACAGGAAAAAGGAGGGTGTGTATGCACATTGTAATTCTCCGAGAACGAGTCGATCTGGATCTCGAACGGTTGTGGCAGTCGAACGCTCCTTTTGTGTGGGTGTGGTGGTTACTAAGATTTACATCGATATCACCACTGGACCGGTTTGCTTCTCTCCTTCTCGCCGTCTATTAATTCTTCCCTCACTTTCTTCACTTCTTGTCCGCTTTTCACTCAATATTTTATTTCCCCATGACTGTTCCTCATAACTGTTGATTGTGCTTTTCCATTCCCATTTATCTCAAGTCTTTTGCCAGACTCTCTCGTAACCCCAAAACGCTTGGCGCAGGGCTTGGCCTAGGGCTTGGCTGAGTCTCAGAGACGTCTCTTATCCACGTCTTGTTTTACGGCAAACGGTCTCTACCACGCTGCTCTTCACCTAATTTTTTTTATTTTTATTTTTTATTTTTATTTATTTTTATTTTCGTTTCTCACCTCTCTGACAATGACCCACCGAAACCAACTACCAACGCCCATCAATCAGGAGGGTTCAGAAAACGGCCAAAAAAGGAGAAAGAGAATGCGGGAACAGCGAGGTTACAGAACGAAGACAGGGTACGAGAGCGGTCGAGGCCGTTTGACAAGGCAGAGCCAAGAGATAGACAGGCCAAGTGGATGTGTATTTTGTCGTTTCCCAGCCTCGACCTAGCCAAGCTGTCGACTGCGTTATGCCGTCTCTTGTCCCCTTTGCTTATCTCTGTTATGCCTTTTGGCTTCTCCTCTTGGCCAACTCTTGTTTGTTTCCAAGACAAAATAGTAAAAGAATTAAGAAAATCGAAAAAAGGAGACGTGGGTGAGGACCGCAAAGCCCTCGCCGTAAAAGAGACAGCGCCTGCCAAGAACGAGCGACGAGACCTGACCCATGCACAAAATGTCGTCGAACCTCTCTTGGCAGTGTCTTGAAGCAGGATGCTCTGTGCCTGATGCGCGGTCTGGATGGGCACCGGTTCACAGCGTGAGCCTCTCTCTGAACCCTTGTACTGGCCCTGGTGCCTAATATTTGTCAACGGGAGACGGTGTTGGTCTAGCCCTCTGTGTTTCGGGAGTTTCCACACGAGCAGAGGGAGGAGGGAGACGAAGAGAACACACGCCAAGACGGTCACGTACATCGTACGCAGTATTCTAGACGCTGTAGAGCTTGGCGATGCTTCAAGACTGGAGAATGCACTGGCACCGTTGCTGGCCTCGAAGCAGGCAGTCTGGCGCACATCCGTCTTGGCTTAAACAGCAGAAACGCACCGGCCTGTGGACTCGGCCCCTTTTGCTCGACTCCATGGCTCAGTGGTTTTGCGTCTCAAAGATACAAGGCCAAGAGGTAGGAGGTAGAGAGTCTCGTCGGGCAGAAATAGAATCCTTGCCCATCGCAATGAAGGTATATAGGGAGGTTGACCCATCGTTTGTCTTCATTTTCCTCCTTTTCTTTTCTTCACCAGCTGTGCTCGTCCAGACATTCTACTCTCTACCATTCTTTTTCATTCTCTTTTCTCTTTTCTTCACTTCTTCAGTCGCTGGTCGTCACCTTTTTAACTGTTTTATTATTTCCACTTTTGTTTCCTTTAGTCGTTTACATTTTGTCAATTCTTTTGCAGACACACACACACACATATCTCATTCATATTCGTCCACTCTCACATCCCTCCTCCCGCATCATGGTTCGCTACGCGTACGCATTTGTCGCCATGGCCGGCCTGGCCTCGGCCCTGCCCCTCAACATCAACCTCGGTGCCTACTCGCCCGCACTGGTGGTCGGTGATGGTGAGATTAGCTTCGGCGGCGAGCAGGACGTGTCGAAACTGATGAACGTTCTCGAGGGTGCTGCTGTCAACACGGCCGCCACCGTCGCCAACAACGCCGCCAACAACGCCGCCAACGGAAACACTGCCACCTCCACCACGGTCAACAACGAAGTGCCCGTCCCGTCGGCTGCAGGCACCACAAACGCCGCCGCCTCGGATCCCCTCGTCGAGCAGGTACGTCGTTGTGTACCACAGGGGATACAAGTGGCCAATGCCTCTGCTCTTTGTATCCCGCTAACAAGAATTAGGCCCAGCAGATTGCTAACCTCCAGGGTCTCGGCAACAAGAAGGAGATTGCTCCGCGCATGCAACTGGTCGATGCCGCCGACGACGAGGACGACGACGGCGACGACGCCGCCGCGGTCGAGAAGCGTGACCTGGCCGGCTTCGACCGCGCCCTGACCTATGCCGAGGCGGCCCTCACCAAGGGCCCCAAGGTCCAGCTCGGCACCGGCAAAGAGGGCTCGGGTGTCGGCATCATCGTCGACAACACCCCTTCCACGGCGACGGCCGCCAAAGCCGCAAAGCGCGATGTCGATGGCGACGCCTCCCCGAAGCGGGTACGCGCCAAGGTGACCACCATGTACGTCCGCTCTGGCATTCCGGCTTGTGAGTCATGACCTTTTAGAGGCGCATGGAAACCCCCTCGGCAAATTGCTGACTTGCGTCGTTCATACAGCCCTTCAGAGTAAGCGCGATGAGACGGTCCCCCGGTCTGTCTCTGGCATTGTTGTTCCGCCAACTGCTGCTTCCGTGTCCCGTCGTGATGCCATTGATGCCGTCAACCTGAACGTTGATGGTGACCAGGGTCTGACCATGACCTTTGTCGAGACGGTCGAGGACGACGACGAGTAAAGAGTCCGCAGTAGAAATTAGAACGGACGGAGGTCCCAGGGAATAGGACGTAGATATGATTTAGGCGTTAATTGTGTGTCATGTGCTCGCGTTTTCGTTTGCGTTTGCGGTTTGTTTGTGTTTTTTTTGTTTCTGCTTTTTGCTTATAACAGTTTCGGATTGTTCCGATAGAATGAAACAAGGGCCAATGGAGTATGGATTGGACGGGTTCTAGAAATCAAATTGGTTAGCAATTCGAAAAGGGGAAAACCCACAGAGCCCATTTTCACCGCCCATAACATGAAAGAAACGGGTTCAGACTTGTGCTGTCTGATCCGAGGTCTGGGCGGGACTTGGCAGATCTCGGACGATTAATGCAGCGTGTGGGCGACGTACACTGTGCGAATCCAAGAAAATTCAAAACCAATCGCCCTCTGATTCGACGTACACAGCCGACACAACCAGCATTGTAAAACATGTTTGTGATTATACCGCATAATGCAAATATATCGCCCAGAAATGGAAATAAGAAAAGAAGAAAAACAGAAAAGGAAGAGAAAAGAAGAAGAAAAGACATGGAAACAGGCAGATGACAAAAGTATTACACAAACGCCAAGAGCATGCAAACTTTACAAACCCACCCCATGCCTTCATTTGTCCCACTCCTTGTAGACTTTTTGCTTCTGCCGCGTGTTCCAGCCCAGCTTCCCGCTGATGCTGTTGACCCAGTCCTCGCTGCGCCGCCCGGGCGCCTGCACCGACGCAAAGGGGAACCGGCTCGCGCTGATGGTGACATAGTCGCCCGGCTTCATCTCGACGCGCTCGCGGCCGTCGAAGCTGGCCCACGAGCTGGTGCGCGCGTCGTACGGCACGCCCACGCGCAGCACAATCGTGTCCGGCAGGATAATGGGGCGGAACGACAGCGTGTGCGCGCAAATGGACGTGACGAGCATCACCGGGTTCTCGGGGTGGCACAGCGAGCCGCCGGCCGCCAGGTTGTACGCGGTCGATCCGGTCGGCGTGGACACGCAGATGCCGTCGGCGAGCACGGAGGTGAAGTGCTCGTCGTCGCCAAAGATTTCCGTGTAGGACATGGTCGGGTTGGGCCCGCGGTCGACGACGATTTCGTTTAGGATCTCGTAGGTGCCGTCCGGACGGTGCGTGTGCTCGTCGTCCTTCTCCTCGCCAATGAGCTCCTCGACCAGGTCGCGCCGCCGCTGGCGGCGCTGTGCTTCATCTTCCTCACTCGTAGCAGGCGCGTCGGGCTCACCCGGCGGCGAGGAGCGCTCCTCGCCCAGCGCCTTGGCGCTCTCCCCAGACGAATTCCCGCCCGCGATTCGTCCGGGGTGCGCGCTGGGCGCAAGCGGGCTGCTGCGCATAATAGTGGCCTCGAAGCGCAAACGCAGGCCGACAGTCACGCCCTGCGAAAAGGCCCGCGTCAGCATGCTCTGGTAGTCTTCAAAGTCAAACTTGGTGAGGAACCCGAGGCTGCCGAGCGAGAAGCTCAGCACAGGCGGCACGATGCGCTGGAACAGCCAGCTCGCGTACAGCACGGTGCCGTCGCCGCCCAGCGTGATGACAAAGTCAAAGGTGTGTGGGCGCACGCGGCACATGCCCTCGTCCCAGAAGCGCAGCCTCCGTGCAATGTCGTCGGGTCCGTTGCCGGCTGCCGCTGCTGCTGCCGCACCGCCCTCGCCAGCGGCTGCCACGTACAGGCCGTGCACCTCTCGCAGCAAGCCGGGCACGTCGAAGAGCTTGTTGCCCCGCAGGGACCGCTCCACGTACACGGTGTAGCGGATCTCGCGCTCCGGTGACATCAACCAGAGGGTCAGGTCGCGTGTCTTGGGCAGCAGGTCTTCGTCGTAAATCTTGGTCAACAGGAAAATGGTCTTGACCCGGAACCGCAGGCGCAGGCTGCCCAGGCGCCGACTCAGCTCGCGCACGCCCCAGGCCATCTCGCTCAGCTGCTTCTTGGTGAGAAGGCGGCTGTGCAGAATGTCACTGTTGATGCTGTCGGGGCCCCCTGGGCCCCCGTCGGACCCAACGCGGTCCAGCGGGCTGCCGCCAATGGGCGAACCAAGCTCAATGGACTTTTGTGACTTTTGGGAGTTTTTGGTTACGAGGCGGGGGGCGGATGTGGGCGTCTGCTGCGGCTTTGGTGTCGGTGTCTGTGTCCGTTGCTGCTGCTGCTGCTGCTGCTGCTGCTGCTGATGCTGCTGATGCTGCCGTGGTGGTTCGCGGTCTGTGTCATCCATCGCGTCGGCCGTGTCCAGCGGCAGCTGCGTGATGCCGCTCGCCCACTCGTGCTCGTCGACCTGGCCGGCTTCGCTGTCGCTGGTCACAGGCTCAACGATCGTATGCCGGCGACCTCGGGGCAGTGGGTGCTCGAGGGCCTCAATGTCGTCGCGGCTGCTGTTGTTGCTGCTGCTGATACCGTCCACGCCGCCATGTCTTCCGCCGCTGCCCTTGGGCTCAACCACCCGGTCCAGTCCCCGCTCAGCCGAGGCATCAAACACGCCGTGTCCGCTCGGGTCGCTTGCTGGGACAGCGGCCGTTCCTGTTGTGGCAGCTACTGACTTGGACACATCGATGCTATGGTGCACGCCGCCATTCTTGGCCCTCTGATGCGGCTCTTCGTCAGCATAGTCTTCCTCGTCCACGTCGTCGATGACGTCCCTCTGGTCGTGGGTGTTGAATGCGCGGTGTGGATGTTTGTGCAGATGCGGTAGCGATATGTGGTGCCTACCGCCGCTGCCGCCGCTGCCGCCGCCGCCGCCGCCGCCGCCGCCACTGTTACCACTGTTGCCACTGTTGCCCACATCCCGCTGGGCCTCGATCAGGTGGTGCACGATGCACTGCGCCTTGTCTGTGGATGGCGCCGGCGGTGGGTTCCTCCGCAGCCGTGGCGGCACGGCCTCGGAACTAACGAGGGAGCTCTTGCGGCGGTAAGGATTGGACGGATCAAAGACGACTTCGACTGCATTGTGGTCTTCGTCGCTGGCGCTTGACTGGCCGTCATGGAGGTCGTGGCCGTCGGGCCCGTCCTCGAAGGTAATGTGCTTGCTCAGGTCCGGCATGGTGCAGTCTGCGGGGGTGTCTGGGTTCGTGGATGGTGGTAGTGAGAGTGCTGGCGATAGAGGAGAAAGGAGAAAGAAAGGAGGCTTCTGCGGGGACGTTGTGCTCCCGGCACTCCCTTCCGAGTCGGTCCTTCCTTTCTCGGTTGCTTATGAAAGGCGTTTCGGCTTGGACGGGTCACGTGGAAACGCGGTCCTCGCGTGGTGTTATGGCGCCGAGACAGCGGCGCAAGCCATCCAAAATGATACGAAGTGACCGGTTCGTGTTGAAGAGCCGTAGGGTACGTCTGCGTTCGATTGAACTGTCCAAAGAAAAGATCTTTGATAAGAGGCTTTTTTCTATGCTGAAGCTTTGGTGATGTGGGGCATTATGACGCAGTAACAACTGGTTTTTGGAAGGTCCGCTCTTCTTTGTTCTTTTGGGCCAACCCAATCAGAATTGCTTATGTAATGCTTCCACGCGCTTTGGCGTCTTTTGGCGTTGTAGGGCAGGAGCTCAATTTCCAGGGCACTTGTCAGGCAAGCGCGTCTGGTCGCGTAAAGTGCCTTTTCGTCAGATTGCTAGTCAATGGCAGCGCCTCACGACAACGACGACAGCCCTCACACCACTTTTGCATTTCGGGCGACATAGCGAGCATCCACGTTGCGGCACGATTTCTTTGGCATTATTTTCGTCCTTTTTCCATACCGGCGCACACAATGCCTATTGCCGCAACCCCTCTCCCCGAAACGCCGGGCGAGTCCTCGACTTCGGCAGCCAAAAAGGCGCTGGCCTCGGCAGCCAACGGCACGCCCAACTACGAGCTGCCATGGTGAGTTGGGTTGTGGATCTGGGTTCTCTCGACGTCTCGACGCAGGTCTCGTTCCATGCCGCTAACTGCTCCAGGGTCGAGAAATACCGGCCGGTTTTCCTCGACGACATCGTCGGCAACACCGAGACCATTGAACGCCTCAAGATCATCGCCAAGGACGGCAACATGCCTCACATTATCATTTCGGGCATGCCCGGCATCGGCAAGACGACCAGTGTGCTGTGCCTCGCGCGCCAGCTGCTGGGCGACGCGTACAAGGAGGCGGTGCTGGAGCTCAACGCCAGCGACGAGCGCGGCATCGACGTCGTGCGCAACCGCATCAAGGGCTTCGCGCAGAAGAAGGTCACGCTGCCGGCCGGGCGGCACAAGCTCGTGATCCTGGACGAGGCCGACAGCATGACGTCGGGTGCGCAGCAGGCGCTGCGCCGGACGATGGAGATCTACTCGAACACGACGCGGTTTGCCTTTGCGTGCAACCAGTCCAACAAGATCATTGAGCCGCTGCAGTCGCGGTGCGCGATCCTGCGGTACGCGCGGCTGACGGACGCGCAGGTCGTCAAACGGCTCCTGCAAATCATCGAGGCCGAGAACGTGCGGTACAGCGACGACGGCCTGGCGGCGCTCGTGTTCAGCGCCGAGGGCGACATGCGGCAGGCCATCAACAACCTGCAGTCGACGCACACGGGCTTTGGCTTTGTCAGCGGCGACAACGTGTTCCGCGTGGTCGACGCGCCGCACCCGATCAAGGTGCAGGCGATGCTCAAGGCGTGCCACGAGGGCAACGTGGACGCCGCGCTGGACACGCTGCGGGAGCTGTGGGACCTGGGCTACTCGAGCCACGACATCATCAGCACCATGTTCAAGGTGACCAAGACGATGCCCGGGCTCAGCGAGCACGCCAAGCTCGAGTTCATCCGGGAGATTGGGTTTACCCACATGAAGATCCTGGAGGGCGTGCAGACGCTGCTGCAGCTGAGCGGGTGCCTGGCGCGGCTGTGCAAGCTCAACATGGACCCGAAGCTGTTCCCGCCGAAGCCGTAGGGAACGATTGAACGGTGGAAGGGAAAAGAGCATGGGAAAGAAAAGGGACAAAAGGGACTGGGAGATGGACCAGCATTGCGGCGTTTCACGGAATCTAGGCGGGACTTGTTTATCCGTTGTACTTTTGTTTTTGTTTTGCGATTGTCTTCCAAACTGGTAACCGGCTGGCCATCCTTTGTGCCTATGTACATCGTAAATGCGAGAACGAACAAAATGAGATGGTATTTGTGCAGTTGTGTCGGGGTGTGACGTGATGTGGATGTATTTGTTTGTGTGGCCTCGGCTGCGCCATCTTTCCAAGTTCCAAGCATCTCTGCTTCTCTCCAGCCCCCCCATCCCGCTACTTCTCGTCGTCCTCCTCTTCCAGCGCCCGCAATCGAGCATTGTGCCGTGCAATCCGTCGCTGCTGCCGCACATTGGCTTCGTACATTCGGAGTCGGCTGTCGGCCTCGAGCATGCTGCCGAGCACCATGCCGGACATTTGTATGTATCTGGCCAGTCAGTGGACACGAAGAAGAAGACGGAAGAGGCTGCCGCTCGTGGAGACGGCCACCTACACTTTGAACTGGATCGTCAGTCCCCGGTAGATGGGCGACATGGCCTGACCAATGCCTCCCAACAAGGCCATGGCCACGCCGTATTTTGTTGCGCCGTAGACGGCGCCGCGGACGGCCTCCCAGCCGGCGGCGTTGGCCTCGTCGTCGTTCATGGACGTGCGCATGGTGGGACGCACATATGCGACGGCTTGGTAAGCTTCAAACGTGTCGCACAGCTCTTTCGTCGCAGCCTTTGCGAGTGGCCTGATGGTCGCGTGTGCCGGGCTTTGCTTTTCAGGTGCGTGAATGCCGATGCGAGGCCGCTGGAGAGGGACCGCTAACGAGCGGCTGGCGGTCTGCGTCATAGCGGGGCTTATAGTATTACTGCAAAGCATAATACGGACAGCCTTTCAGAGAACAACGGACACAGAACAGCGAAAGTGTTCAATTGGGTTTTGTTCTTCGTGACAATTGAAAATTGCTTTCGGAGTCTTGTATGGTGAGAGTTGTCATGTATTTTTCTGCCCAGCTGTTGACGAGCTGCCGATGCATTCACACTTACTCGCCTTCTCATCAAGCCGAGACATCTCCGTTCTCTGCACTTTGACTTGCTTTTTCAGTCAGAGTTGCAGGGAAAGGTACAGTCTTTGTTCTCTCTGTTGGTGTTGTTTTCTTCTATTTTGGCTCGCTCTTGATTCTATGACAACATATGTATACACCCCAGCCGCCCACCCTACTTTGTGTCCTGCTCTACGCACTCAGCGTGCCCTTGGTGCTCGGAATCTCGCCCTCCTTGCCGGCCACCTTGCTCGTCGCCAGGCGCACGGCCACGGCCAGCGCCTTGAACGCACTCTCGGCCCGGTGGTGGTCGTTGAAGCCGCGCAGGCAGTCCACGTGCAGCGTGATGCGCGCGCCCTGCGCAAAGCTCTGCAGACAGTGCGGGATCATCTCGCAGCTGAGGTCGCCAATCTTTTCGCGCTTGAGGCCGAGATCGATCACCGCGTAGGGCCGGTTGGAGATGTCGACGACGGCGCGCGACAGCGCCTCGTCGAGGGGCGCGTAGGCCGAGCCGAAGCGGGCGATGCCGGCGGCGCTGCCCAGGGCCTTGTTGAAGGCGTAGCCGAGGGCAATGCAGACGTCCTCGGCCGTGTGGTGGTCGTCGACTGCAACGACTCGTTAGAGACACATATAAGATAGATGCCGTTGTGTTATTTGGGTGTTGTCTTTGCAGGACGACGTACTGTGCAAATCACCCTTGCAGGTAATCACGAGCGACCAGCCGGCGTGCTTGGACAGGGCGTGCAGCATGTGGTCCAGAAAGCCGATGCCTGTCTGCAGCAGGATGGTCTGCGACTTGCTGGTCTGCGCGGCATGGCCGCCGCCGCCGCCGCTGCCCTCGACCAGCTTGAGCACCCGCTCGTCCGTGTCCGGCGGAAAGGCGCCGCCGTCGAGGTTGAGGGCGAGCTGGATCGACGTCTCGTTGGTGTCGCGCGCGAGGGCCGCCCACCGGGGGGCAGACGATGTTGACGAGGCCATTGTAACGTGTGCGGTGCTGCGGCGTGTGCACGATGTGTCAATGGGAGAGTGTGCGGTGCGAATCGTGGAAACGTCAAGATGGGCGTCGAAGCGGTTCTCGTCTGCGTCGCCCGTTGCCGTTCTTGCGCCGTTTTCCAAGCGCACTTTTAGCGGGCGAGTCACAGCGCTGTCATTTGCCATGCCGTGGCCACGCTTTTCAGCTTTCATGGCGCCCGCCAGGGCGATCCTGGCCTGTATTTACACCCTTTGCGCTAGCCAATAGGCATGTTCAGCCGCTAAAGAAGGACCCACTGAATTTTTCCAGGCCTCGTTCAACTTTTTTCTTATCGATAACGCTCCGGCCTCTCTCACCTGCGAAATTTCTCTGCAGATTCTGCCGCCTACACCCTCATTTCCAGCCATTTCGACTTTCGACCACGAGAGCAACAAACTACCGCAACAACTGGACGACGACAACAACAACGACGACGACGACGACATTGTCAAATCTCCACAGTTCCGTCACAATGGCGCCCACGCGGACAATAAAAAACAAGCATGCGACCAACAAGTCCGGCATCAAGAACAGCAAGTCGTCCAAGTCGGGCGGCGGCCGCAGCTCGGGCGCCGAGGGCGTCGTCAAGACCAAGCGCGACAAGGGCAAGATCCCGGCCTCGCAGCTCAACAGCGGCCGCTCCAAGATGCTCGAGCTGCTGCAGCGCCGGCGCAAGACCCGCACGTACTCCGAGAAGGAGCTCGACATTCCCAAGCTGAACACCATCACGCCGGTCGGCGTCCAGAAGCCCAAGGGCAAGAAGAAGGGCAAGGTGTTTGTCGATGACAAGGTGTGTTGCATCCTCCCCTGGCATGCCACCATTTTTCTGTGGGATTCTGTGAACTGACCCCTCCCCCTTCCCCAGGAGAGCATGACTACCATCCTGGCCATGGTGCAGGCGGAAAAGGACGGCCAGATCGAGTCGAAAATCATGAAGTCGCGGCAGATGGAGGAGATCCGCCAGGCACGTCTCGCCGAGGCCGAGAAGAAGGAGTCGGATCGGCAGGCCAAGCTGGACGAGAAGAAGCAATCGCTGCGCAAGAAGCGGAAGCGGCCGGGCAAGGAGGGCAGCGGCGGCGACGACGAGAGTGTCGGCCACCTGGCTTCGGCCGGCACCAAGGCCGGCAAGCCCAAGAAGAAGCGCGTGTCCTTTGCTGGCGCCGCCTCGGAATGAGCGGCCCTATCTGGCCGGGGACATGGCCGACGGTGTCCTTTTTCCTCCTCGATTACGCCCTGATGATCTGACGATCCCCGGACCCGACACCAAACATGAAGCGCCGCGCCGAATCACCGACATCCAGCGGCGCACAACCAGCGACAGTGCCTTGGACAGACCAATTTGCAAGTTGGGACACACGCGAAACCCACGTTCAGCCATTCCGTGTTCATACTCGCAAGTTGCGGGCTGCTCGCATAGCAGGCGAGATCAGACTGCATTCTTTCACTAGCATCCAAATGCGTATGCAGCATACAACAAGCAGAACTGCACCCTCTTCAGCCACACAGGCCTCCAGCCGTGGTCAAGAAGCCCTTCCCTCAAATTCACCGTGTATATAGATACCCAGTAATTCTAGCTTTCATAGCAGTCTATCAGTGTATATTGTCTACTCCAAACGCACGCCTTGTCGTGTGTATCTATCGTCGCTATAGTGAAATGCAATGCAAGTGTACGTTTACATGCAGCGGGAGTATATAGGAGACATCACTCCTTGTCCAGATTTATCTGCATCCTCCGACGCAGAGGCTCAAAGCTGACACCCTTGCGCTGCCTGGCATTGACATCCAGCAGATCGCGCGGGATGGCGGCGAGGTCGACGTTCTTGGCCATAGTATGCAGGAACTGGGTGACCGGCTTCGCGTGCCAGCGTCCGCCGCCCGGCTCGAACCAGGAAAGGTGGCCGCCGAGGGACGTCGTGCAGAGGACGGTATAGGGATTGTGTCTGAACTCGCCGTACGGAATGGCCTCTTCGACGGCGATCTAAGGGCGGTTAGCACGACCATGGCGATAGGCGCAGTTCCACAGATCAACGGCTTTGCCCCGGTATGACGACGTACTGGATCATCCTTGGCCTGGAGGGCCAGGAAAGGAATGCGAATGTTGAGCAACGAATCGCATGATGAGGCATCGCGGTAGTAGGCTTCTTCAGTCGGATAGCCCCACGTTGGGCATCTGTGGAGAGAAAGGGAAAAGGAGCAGTTAGCACCGCACACCACGGCAAACATCCAGTCTTTGGTCGACCGCCAGTACAGGGGATAAATCGTTGTGAACGTACTGCACTTCACGGTCAAATTCGTAGAGCGTCGTAACCTTGTTGATGCGGTCCAAGTCGAGGTCCGTGTGCTTGAGGATCGCGTCGCGGTGCAGATTAATCAGCTTCTTCATGTTGCCTGCACAGATGTCAGCCTTCTTTTCAACGCCATTCGCAGTGTCTCCGACGGTCACACTTGCAACGTCACCACTGCTGCTGCTACATGCCATCCGCTACCGCCACTTACTGCCCATAACCGTCTCGTAGACGTGGCGACCCATGAACGAGTGCTGCAGGAACTTGTTGGACACCTGCAGATCAAACGGGTTGCCGACCACCACCGCCGCCTGCAGCGGACACGCCGCGCCCTCCTCGCCGACGTAGTTGGTGAGGATGTTGGCGCCCAGCGAGAACCCCAGACCAAACAGCGGGCGGTTGGGAAACGTCTTCCGCGCCCACAGCGCCACCTGCCGCACGTCCCACGTCGCCCGCGCGTTGAACAGCACGCCGCTCGTGATGCTGCTGCCCGCACAGCCGCGCGCGTTCACCACGGCAATCTCCCACGGCAGGTCGTCGGCGTCGAGGAGCGGCGCCAGGCAGTGTCGCAGATACACCTCGTGCGAGCCGCCCGACAGCCCGTGCAGCACCAGCAGCATGGGCCGCGTGTCGTCGGAGGCCATGCCGGCAAAGGCGGCGTCGTCGGCAAAGTACGACGTGCGCGGCGGCAGGGCAGCGTCTCGCTCGAGATGCTCGTCGGCATACGGCGGCACGGCAAAATCGACGGCAAAGGTGCCCGTGTACAGCGCGTGGTCGGCGTTGAAGATGCGGCGCTTGTAGTGGATGGCGGGCGCTCTCTTCGCCACGGCCGTCCACATGGTCTGCAGGTGGCCGTTGAAGAGCAGCGGGTTGAGCTGGCAGGCCGGCGTGCTGTCGCGGCAGATCTGGGCCAAGTCCGTGGTGGCTTGTGCTGCGGTGCCATTGCTGCTGCCTTCGGCCGGGCTCGCTCCCGCTCCTGCCTTTAACGGCAGCTGTAGCGGTGAGGCTGCATGGGTGAACTCGACGCTGGCACGGCCGAACCACTCCATGACGAAACGACGAGACGAGAATCGGGGGTGAGAGTGAGACAGTCTAGACGTAGGACGTCGAAGTAGTTTGTAAACGGGCCGCTGGAAGCAGAGTAAACAAGCAAATTGTCACCAGATGATGCAGTGCAAGCCACCGCGATGGATAAAGCAAATTGTCGACAGAAGAGACAGCTCCAGGCCGTTCTTTTTTTTCCGGTATTTCTCGTGTCCGTCTATTTTTCTCCTTGAGCTCCATTCCAACGTGGCAAACCTCGCCGTTGTGGGACGACCGCGGATGTCCAAAGGGACCGACTCCGTGGTGAGTGCAACTGAGCCTCGGCACACTTGGTAGCGAATAGCTCCTATCAATCAGTTAGTGGCCTGTACGCTAGACGCTGTAGGCAGTGTTGCAGTATTCCGTGTTGCAGCGCCTGTCGCAGCCCGTCACACTGCACTAAAGTTTAATCCGATCTGCCAGGTCCCGCGCCTGCCCCACCCAAAATGCAAAATCGCTCGAAGACCCATTTTTGTCGAGGTCCTCCAACGTCAAAAATGACCTTAGTCATCCCGCGCCACATTCTGCCCAGCCACAGCGCATTGGTCGCGCCTGTGACCCCTGTTCCTTCTGATTCTGGCGCAGCACCGCCTAGAGAATAGCCCAAAGGCTCCTTCCCCCGGGTGGAGTCCTCCCCCCCGTCCGTCCCATCGTCCATTCCCAGTCCGGGCGCCTAAACAAGACACAACCACCAAACACACACACGACCTCCGTCGTCCCTCGTCTCCCCTGTCCGCGACACAACCCCGAGCGCATCCGCTTTCTCTTGTCATTCAATCCGCTCGCTTTGCGCAGACACCGTGTTCCTCGCCCTCGCGCACGGTCGCGCCGCAGTGCCTCGTCCTCTGCAGCCACCTGGCCGCCTTCGCCCATATCACAATATCACACTATCATCACCACCTCCACCCCCTCCACCACCCCATCACCACGTCCCCTTGCCACGCGCCCGGCTCGTCATCGACAGGACCCTGCGGACATCGATTGCCGCCGTCAATTGCCATTGCAGCTGTGCGCGCATCCCGTCGGGCCAGCCTCCGATCCTGATCGCGTCTCCTCTGCGCGTCTACTTTGCGCGTCGAATCTGCGCGTCCAACTTTTGCGCAGCACGACTGCGTCTTCCTGCACACCCGCCCTCCTTTGTTCTCCTCGACCGCCGTCCTCTCTATATGCAACGACCATGAGCGGCTCACTGCCCCCCGGGCAGCAGGCCTACGGCGGCCAGCACATGGTTCCCGGCGCTGTCCCCATGGGCTACTCGCTCAACGGCCCGCAAATGGCAACGAATCTGGGCAGTCCGATGGGCATGGCCAACGGCGGCGGCCTCGGCAACGGCGGTCTCGGAAGCCCCATGAGTGGGCTCGGTGGCGTCAATGGCGTTAGCGGAGTGAACGGCATGGCCGGTCTGGGCAGCCTGAACGGCATGGGCGGCCTCGGCGGCGCGGGCCAATATCAGAATCAGAATCAGAACCAGCACCAGCCGCACCAGCCGCACCAGCAACACCAGCAGCACCAGCAGCATCAGCAAGCACGCCCGCTGCCATCGCCGCAGTTCTACAACCAGGGCCTGCCGCATCCGTCACAGTACTCGAGTCCCAACCTGCTGCACTCGCCGCTCGGCCAGCTGCCGCAGCAGCATCACCACCACCAACCCCACCAACCGCACCAACAACAACAACAACAACAACAACAACAACAACAACAACATCAGCAGCCGCAGCACCAGCGCTTCCAGCCGTCGCCCCAACAGAACCACATGCAGTTCCCCGTCCCCGTCCAGCGCACGCCCTCCATGACTTCGAGCAACGGCGGCTCGTTTTCCTTCCCGCACAATGGCATGTCGGTCTCACCGAACCTGTCCGCGCCCATGTCCATCCCGGTGCCTGCGACCATGCCGTCCCCGACCGCCAACCAACTGGCGAGCCCGCTGCAGTTCCTCCCACAACAACTGCCGCAACTGGGCCAGCAGCCGCCGCCGCAGCAGCAGCAGCACCAGTCACCTCGCTATACCACCCAGCCGCAGTCGGTGCCGACCATGCAGCTGCAAATGCCCATGTTCACGGGCGCGTCGCCAGGACAGCAGTCACAACACCTGCCAAAGCAACGGCAGCAATCGCAGCCCCACCAGCAGCCGCCGCCCAAACAACCAAATTCACAACCTTTGTCACAACCTTTGTCACAACCACTGTCACAATCCATCTCACAACCCTCCATGCCACACTTTTCTCCACTCCCGCAACACATCCAGCCGTCACAGCTGCTCCAGCACCAGCCGCTCCAGTCGCCACAGATGCACCAGGTGCCGCACGCGCACAACCAACTCCAGCAGCAGCTCCAACGACCGCAGCCGTCGCCACGGCAGCAGCACACGCCGAAACCGACGAAGCCGCCCAAGGCACCGAAACCGCCAAAGCCGTCCCAGCAGGCCAAGAAGCCCATCTCGCTGCCCGACCCGTCGTCCGAGCCGATGCACACCACTCTGCCGCCACCGCCAGCAGCCGCATCGTCTGCACAGCCGCAGCGGAAACAGTCCTCCATCACACCGTCGCCCATGCCGAGTCCATTGCCGACAAATAGCCCCCGCGTGTCGCCCAAGGGTGCCGTACAGAAACCGCCCAAGTCGTCGGCTGCGGCTGTTGCTACAGCTGGTGCTGGCAAAGCGGCGAGTATTGCCGGTGGGAAGGCCGGTGCAGGAGTCAAGGCGCCACGCAAGTCGAGTGTCAGTGGTGTGGGACCTACCATGGCCAGCGTGAAGCCGACTGCCAAGCGGACGCCGGGCGAGGCAGCCGCGCTACTCGTGTGCGTGGCCGACGAGTGCCTGGCCAAGGCGCAAGCTGCGGCGCCTGCACTGGCCAAGTCTCGAAACGAGGCCCGCCTTCGAGAGTACTACAAACTGCTGGCGACCGGTCTGGGCTGCCTGGACACGGCCGTCCGCACCTTCAAGTTCCCGCCGCGCATCGAGGTCAAGATCAAGATTCGGTACGCGTCCATTCTCAGCACCGAGACGGAGAATCTGATGGAGGCCGAGACGGCGCTGCAGAGCGCCATTGCGACCTGCGAGAAGCATCGCCTGGCCGACCTCAAGATCTACGTGCAGTTCCTCTTCATGAAGGTGCTCTTCCGCCGGAAGCCCAAGGCCGCCCTCATCTCGATCCAGACGCACATTGCCGACTGCTCCGACCGCCGCCAGACCTACTGGACCTACGCCTTCCGCTTTCTCAAGGCATCCTTCTACTTGCAGAGCGGCAGCCCGGCCGATACCCACGCCCTCGAGAACCTCCACGACATTGCAGTTCTGGCCGAGCAGCGGGGCGACCACGCCGTCTACGTGCTCGCTTCGCTGCTCCAGGCCCTGTCCCTCTTCCGCACCACCGAACCCGACGTCGTCGAGCGTGTCCAGACCTGCATCGCCGCCGCCTCCAAGTACCAGCTCGACGCGTCTGTGCGCATTCCGCAGCTCGAGGTGCTGTGGCTGTTGTTGGACCTGACGTGCAGTCTCTACCAAAAGGAAAAGGCCCTGACCGACAAGCTCAACAACCTGCAGACACGGCTCGAGGAGCTGAAGGAGTCGCCACAGTGGACGTCCGATGCCAGCGAGCTGCTGCTGCCCCTGCACAAAGACACGCCGAATGCTCACACCATCAGCGCCGACACGAGCGCCGTGCTGCAGCCGGGCGAACCGAACGACTTTTTGGTGCTGACCAGTTTTAGTAAAGTGAAGGCATTCGTCTTGGGGTGAGTCCGCAACGGCACTGTGCTTTTGCTTCCCGCTACGTTTATACACGACGACAACTAACCTTTTTCTAGATTCGCATACTCTGGCTTGACACTCTCACCAAAGCAGCAGACCAGCGATCGGAAGAGCATGGACTACTGGACGGAAGCGCTGAAGATGCTGTCACAAAGTGAGTGTACCACTCTTGTCCTCTGTTCTCTTCTTACAGTGACCACCTCTAACCGTCTCTCTAGGCGCCTCGAGCAAACCATCTGCACCCGTCTTCTTGCACGAGGCCATTGACGAGTCCCGCTGGCGCGCCAACACATCGTCGTACGTGCTGGTCCTGATGGGCCTCCATGCAGCCACGCACTGCGATTGGACCAAGGTCCAGGACTGCATCAAGAAGCTCGAGACGCCCACGGCCGAAGCGAACGACGGGCCGCTCGACGTCCTGGCGCTCTACCTCAAGGGTGTCTTGAAGCAGGGCCAGGGCGAGCTCAACGACGCGCTGCATCTCTTTGAGGATGCACGGCTGGTTCTGCCGGACGTGACGGACGGATCGCCGTCCAACAATCTCTCGAGTGCCGGCCCGGCCGCCGCCGCGGCTGCTGCCGCGTCCGCTGCCGCGGCCGACGAGGGCCACATGCGCCAAGAAGTCCAGCTGTTGGCGGCCATGAACCGCCTCCTGATCATGCAGCTGCACCGCCTGCGCGATGAAGGCAAGATCAACATGCTCGTCGAGCAGCTCAAGCAGACGTGCGTCGGCCACCCGAACCCGGAAATCAAGACGGCGTACTCCCTGGTCATGGCCGCCATCACGACGGAGCCGCCACTGTCCATGCACGACGTCAAGTCGCACATCCAGCAGGGGCTCAACGGCTCCACCGTCAGCGGCAACGCCCAGTGCCTCAACATTGCGCTCAACACCATGCGCTACCGCCTCTTTGAGGGGGTCGTCGGCGAGCAGGCCCTCAAGAGCGCCAAGGCCGGGTCGACCCAGGCGAAAAAGAGCGGCAACATTCTGTGGATGAGCGTCGCGGACGGCATGCTGGCGGACACGTACGAGGTGCAGGGGCAGACGGCGCAGGCCCAGCTGGCGCGCCAGGCGGGCGTGCAGTACACCAACGAGTCGTGGGAGCGGACGCAAATATAGGCGTGAAGCGTGAAGCGTGAAGCGTGAAGCGTGACCGGCGCGTGTGTGTGCAACGACCTGAGAGATTGCTTGTTCTTGTTCTTGTTCTTATTGTTTTAAAAAAATTTCCGGGACGGGCAATGCCTTCAACGTTTGGCTCGATAGGCAGAAGCGAGGCGACGGAAGTCATGATTACGAGGCGCAAATTATTATACACACACATTTTTTTTTTTCGGGAGAGGACAAAAGAAAAGACGCCAGGCGAAAGCAAGAACCAGCCGGAGAGACGACAAAGCGAGAGGAGACGCATGATACCACGAGAGGTAGATGGGCGTGGGATCTGTATATTTTATTCGCGGGCTACTTCGGTTTTTGGGCCTTTAGTTTTGATTTTGTCGAATACCATCGTTTTCTTTCATCCATGCTCCAATCTTGCCCGATTATATTTTCGTTTCTTTACGAATATGGCTTTCTTCTGTTCTATTTGCTCATGAAAATGTTTTCTTTTCTTTCGTTTAGGACGAATTTCAGACAAAAAGTAAAGAAAGTCGTTGGACGCCATCATATCGTTATATTTGCAACTGGATAGAACCCAATGGAAAAAACCCAAAATAAAAAAAAATAAAATAAATAAAATAAAATGATACTTCTCAACATACAGCGTTGCACTTTGTACTGTGTTAATTATATCGTAAGTTAAATTTACGTCGTAAGAAGTGAACGAGGTTCGTCACTAGCGCCGTAGCTATTCCTTACTTTATATAACCACTTAAGATCGTCCTTTCTTTAACGGACCAGTGGCGCAATGGTAACGCGTCGGATTCCAGTAAAATGGTGCTTCCCGAAGATTGTCCGTTCAATTCGGGCCTGGTTCAAAATATGTTCTTTTTTGGCCTTTCGACTTTGTTTTATATTTTTATTTACGCGTTCATGAGAGTTACATTTTTACTCCTTCTTCTTCTTCTTCTTCTTTTCTACCTTTTTTTTTTTTTTATCTTCTTCTTGTATTCGCAACAACTTTCGTACCTATTCACTTCATTCTCTGACCATCCCGCAACGTCCACGTCAGTGCCTGAAACAAAAGACAAATGAAAACCCTGGAACACTGCAACCTTGGAACCCTGTCCATGATTCTTGTGACAGCTATGCGGTCGTAATGGACAACGCACACTGGAGCATTCCCGGCGTCCCCCGAGTTTATGCTCCTTCTCGGGGGCACACCTAATCTGGTCTTGTGCCTCGTCGCACCCAATTGTGGCGGATGCGCCCTATAAGCACGCTGTGAAGCAATGGAGAGGTCGCCGAAAGCTGTTGGCCATAGCTTCGTGGTATGTCGTAGGTCTTACTTCCTGCTGCACATGGCGTTGTCGGTGGCGCCTTTGATACACCTTCCGTTTAGGTCTGGCGCGGAAGCCAAGAGCCGCGGGAGAGCGCCAAAGGCCCCATTGTTGCGCCCTAAAGCGCCCTAAAGCGCCCTAGAGGCTGCTGACTCTGGGGTATTACAGGGGACCCTCCTTCGCTCTACTCTTCGAACATGATAACGACGGTGACACTCTGCGCGCCTCACATGCTCACATGTCCTCTTTCAACCGACGGTGAACCGGCTGGACTGCAGGTCTCCGTAACGTCGTCCGAACCCTTCTTTCTGCCATCTTGATCTGTTGTCGCGTGCCATTTGTCGACGCCCTTGTCCTCTTCCTCCTGATCATGAAGCCTTGAACACGCAGTAGTCGAGATCCCCGACACAGAGGCTGCGTCCACTTACTGGTCTTCGAACCGTCTCCCGCATGCCGTCGCGTTATTGTCTGCCAGCAGCGTTCGCCCTGATTTACCCGGCGCCCACGTCCTCAGCATATACGTTGACGGGCGTCTACTGCTATTCATCTCACTTGCCTCCTTCCTGATTAATCTCGGCAGGGCGCTCTTGCTGGAACGTTGTGTCTCATACTCCGCACAAGGCAGCAGCGATCGACCTGCAACGGCTCTTGTTCTTCCTTCGCCGATCACAATAGCGGCCAAATCTACATCCTGCAACTCTCCTTTGCCAACTCGTTGTACACACGATACACAACGGCGAGATGACATCCGACACGCCACACGGCGCCGGCGTCGGCCACAGCCGCGTCCAGAGCGACTCGCCGCTGTTGGGCGGCAGCCCTGCTGCAACACCTGTCGCTTCAGCAGGATTCCGTGCCCGCATCGGCTTGGCCGGCGTGGCGCGTCGGACCCTCGGCATCAGCATGCTCATGGTCACTGTTTTTCTCTGGACTGCCTCCAACTTTTTGGCAAGCGTACGTCTTCTGTTGTCTGGCGTCGGCTTGTCGTCCCTGCGCTAGGATCGCGTTCCTGCTGACAAAACCCCGCTGCAGTTCATCTTCTCCGACAATACATATAGCAAGCCGTTCTTCATGGTCTACCTCAACACGTCCGTCTTTGCCCTCTCGCTCATCCCCATGGGCCTCTCCTTTTTGCGGACACACGGCGCCCGCCACACGAGACGCGCTCTCTACAATCTGTTGGCCGAGCTGCGGCAGGACGTGCGCGACCAGGCGTCGTCTCTAGCCCGGCGGGGCTGGACGTCCGGGCGCCGAAGGGAGGAGGATGACGCCGCGAACAAGCTGCTCGAGGACGGCGAGGGCGTCGACGGCAGCGTGCGCCGACGGCACCGGGGCGCGTCCAATGCGGGCCTGCTCCGTGGCGAGGGCGAGGGCGAAGGCGAGGGCGAGGGCGGCCACGGCAGCGGCTGTGAGCACGACTCCGACTCCGACGTCGAGGCCGCGGTGGGTGCGGAACCGGAGGCCCCGCCACCGGGCATGACCGCCAGCATGATTCTGGCCGCCGGCGGCCGCTACGACAAGCTGACCGTCCGCCAGACCACCTGGCTCAGCCTCGAGTTCAGCATGCTGTGGTTCTCCGCCAACTACCTCGCCGTCGCCTGCCTCGAGCACACGAGCGTCGCCAGCGCCACCATCTTCACCTCCCTCAGCAGCATGTTCACGCTGCTCTTTTGCGCCGTCTCAGGCGTCGAGGGCTTCACGCTGCGCAAGCTCGTTGGCGTCGTCGCGTCCGTCGTCGGCATCGCGCTCGTGTCGTCCATTGATCTGTCGGGCAAGAGCGACGAGAACCGCGGCCAGTTCCCGCACAAGTCGCCCGCCGAGATCGCCGCGGGCGACGCCATGGCCCTGCTGAGCGCCGTCGTCTACGGCGCCTACGTGACCGTCATGAAGCAGCGCGTCGGCCACGAAGACCGCGTCAGCATGCCGCTCTTTTTCGGCTTTGTGGGCCTGTTCAATGTCGTGCTGCTGTGGCCCGGCTTCGTCCTACTGCATCTGACCGGCGTCGAGCCGTTCGAGCCGCCTCCGACCAACCAGGTCTGGGCCATCATCCTGCTCAACTCGCTGTCGTCCTTTGCCAGCGACCTGTCCTGGGCATACGCCATGCTGCTGACGACGCCGCTCGTCGTGACGGTCGGCCTGTCGCTGACCATCCCGCTGTCCCTGGTTGGCGAGATGATCCAGTACAGCAAGTACTCGAGCGGCCTCTACTGGGTGGGCGCCCTCGTTGTCGTGCTCTCCTTTTTGTTTGTCAACCACGAGAGCCACGAGCCAGACGAGACCCTTCTCGAGGAGGATCCAGCCACACGTTAAGTCGACGGCCTCACGTTGATTTATTTCTGATACGATTTACTTTTTTGTTTTTGTTTCTATTCTTCAGTTTCTTCAAGACTTGGACATTGCGGGCGTTCTTTTGGATGTTTTCGCCTTTTTTATTTTCGATACTCATGATAGCCATAGATATCTTGCGTTTGATGAATTTCAAAGCTTTATAAAAGTTGATCTACCATTGTATGGACGGCATGCTATATATGCTAAAAACAAATGCGCGCTCAACCATGCGCGGAAGCCGCTATGATGCAATGAATACGAACGGACATGTGGATGGGGAATATAAAATGCAACCGTATGAAATGGTAACGAGGGCGGAAAACAAAATGCCGGAAGCCGCGATCCGTTTTGCCTGGGAACCGAATAATAAAAACGGCTTCCATATGAGGAACCAAAACGCCAGAGACACAACACAAAAACGGTATAACCAAACGACAAGAAAAGAGAAAAAACGAAACAGGAAAAGCAGTGGCCAATCACTCTTCCTCGCACCATTCGTCCACATCGTCCTCCCAGTTCTCCCCCATGTCGGCCCAGCTTGACGCCCACCGGCGGCCCTCACCCTCGCCGCCACTGCGGAGAGCCGCCGCCTTCTCCTGGTCCTCGCGCCAGCAGCGAATGGCATGGTCGTCACCGACCGAGACGAGACTGCCGTCGTGTGTCCAGCACACGGCGCCGACCTCCTTGTTTTCATGGCCACGTACCAAGGCGGTGCCGTTGCGCACAATCGGAATCGTGTCGACGAGCCGGCCCGGCACACTGGACATGCTGTTGGTGCGGAAAAGGCCACCAGGTCGTCGGGGCGGGCCTGGCATGCTGGTGGTGGCTGAGGCGGCAGCAGCACCACCCCCATTGTTGTTGGCATCGCCGTCCGCCGCCACAGGACGCGGCAGCGAGCTTGCTCTGGAAAAGGGCGGCGACGTGAAGATCGGCGCCGGTGCGCTGTTGTCCAGACCGAAGACGGGGCCGCGGTCGTCGTACTGCTCGCCGTTGCCCAGAAAGTACCGCTCATCCGTCGGGAACAAAAGGGCACAGCCATCGCTGCTGCCCACGGCCAAGAGTTCGGGCCGGCCTTCCTTGGCAGGCCGCACGGCCGTCTTGACGTAAAACGACGTGGCGTGGAACTTGTCGTGTCGGAAACCGTAGAGCGGCCCGAGGCCCTCTTGCACGATGCCATTTCGGCGCCTGGGATGGTCGTTGCCCTTGGACGAGAGCTCGGGTGCGGAGCCCAGAACAAGATGCGAGGTCGAGTAGGCGTAGACCGTATTGTCTTTGCAGAGGCCGTACAGCCGAGCACCGTCGGTGCTCAGACTCATAGAGGACATGCCAAACGGCCGCCACTGCGAGTGGCTCTCCGGCGGCGCGGTAGCCGAGATCGGGTTGCTCGCTTTTTGCCGCGACGTGTGCACGCTGCGGATGTCCCAGAGCTTGATGGACGCATCGGCCTCGCAGGCTGACAGAAGTAGGTGCTCTTTGCCCGCTGGCAGGAACTGGATGGCGGTCACAGACACCTCGCCGACGCGGCCAGGCTCCTCCCACCGGGTCGTGACATCGGCTGCCACGGCGGCCTGCATGGCCTTGCGCATCTGGCGTGTCGGGCGTGTCGTCCGCGCATGGGCATCAAAGATGCTGTTGACCACACAGCCCTGGCTGATCTTCTTCGGCAGGCTGAACTGAAGACCGTGTGCTCGTTCTTCGACTGCAAATTCCTGCACCGGGCCGCCTCTGCAGCGCAGATCCCAGATCTTGACGCTGCCATCCCGGCCCGATGTTGCCAGGACGTTACCCTCGCCTCGGCCCGGCTGGAAGCGCACCTGCTTGAGCGAGGCCGTGTGGTGGTCGAGGATGGAGATGGGCGTCTGTGTCATCATATCAATGACCTTGCCGGTTTGATCGCCCGATGCAGTGGCTAGGAGATAGTCGTCACCCGAAAATGCAAGATCGATGACTGCGTTGCCGTGTGCTGGGAAGGATATGTAGATGTCGCCAAAACTGGTGGATTCCTTGCCGTAGTTTTCCGCGCTGGTGTCGAGAAGCCGAACTCTTCCTTCCTCGTCGCCGACTGCAACAAGTCCATTCGCTAGAGGGTATGTTAGTCACCTGAAAGAGAGAGAGGAGAACGCTGAGAATCAAATAAGAGAGGCTCATACTGTTGCAAGCTGCAGCACAGAATGGAATGCACCGGCCGTTCGGGACATCGTTGCTGGAACAATAGTGAAGGTCGTCGTGAGAGCTATAGAAGCTGGCAGTCTCAACTCTCCAGTCTAAAATACCATGTTAGTATACGCCTACTTGCTAACAACGCAGCAAAATATATACTCATAGACAGCGTACCTGCCACAGGCCGGGGAAGATGGTGGTTGCCAGCCCCGGATGGCATTCCATACTCCCGCTGGAGAAGCTGGCCAGCAAAGCCACGTCCAGACAGTGGCATCGTCCTCTTGAAAGACGGTCCAGAGAACGGCAGATCCGGCTCGCCGTCGTCAGACATGCTGAACTCGTCCTCGTCACATCCCGACTCGGGCTCGTCGACAAGGGCGGGCAGCGGTGACGAAGCCAGAGGGCTCAGCAGCATGGAAGCCACGGCTGTGTGCGATACGGGCTCTGGCGTGGCGGCATCGTGAAACACAGACGCGGATCGAAGAGGCGACGTCTCGGGCGTTTGATGGCCCGTCTTGCGTCTTTTCGTTGTGCGAGGCAGGGGACTAGCCTCATCGACACAGCGATTGCTCTTGTCGCGGGCTGCCAGCGGGCTCGAACCAAAGTGCAGTGGGCTGCTGGACGGATCCAGGTTCCGGTTCAGAGACCGGGCGGTGAGATCTCGGAGCGCCCGTCGAGCGGCACTGGGATCGGCTGACACGCGAGACCGAGGGGTGAAGAAGCGGCGGAACTTGCGAGGGGTGATGGACGGCTGGCGGCGTTCTTTCCCACTTGCATCGGCAAAGGACGGGGCCGCCAGCCGGGGTGGCGAGGACATCAGCGCGGCATCATCGCGAGATGTCAGGACAGGGTCGATAGCAGACGGAGATTTGTTTTCTGCCATGATCCTGCCCTGCCACAGCAGCACCACGTTGCATAAAGCTGAGGATGGAGGTAGCTGAGCACGGTCAGGGTATAGAAGTAGTCGGCAAGGTGAGAGTCTGGGGAGGCAGATGAGGATACACGATTGAGATAATGAGGTCAAGATGAAGAAAGGTTGAAGAACGAAAGATGCAGAATGGACGAAGCCGAAGAATGCAAGAAAAAGCAAGGGCGACTGGCCTGGAGCACGGCGAGCTTTCCAATTAACGCGGCCGACGCTTGGCCACCGCGGAAAGTCGTGTGGCGGGGAAGGCACGACCAGGCATGGCGCCTATGGGGCGAAGGTGGTTCTGGCAGGGAAGGAACGCGATGGACACGCGCTCACTTTACGATGTCGCGAGCACTTACAGCGTGAGCCAATGAGAAGGCGCCATTTTGACCAAGCTCCTGCCTTTTGCGGGTCGCCGCCATCGCAAGGCGTCTCCGGCCAGGGCGCTGTACTGCATGCAATCTACGATTCTGGAAAGGGAGACAAGCCCAGTGACGGCTGAAAAGAGGGAGGGCGGACAATTCCCTGCCAAAGAGCGAAAGGGCGACAAAGCAGCTCGTCGAGCGTCGAGTCAACAAGCTTAGTCATTTTCTAGGTAGCGGTCCATCGCGATTTCCCGAAACGCTGTTTGGTTTGGGCAAGCACAGTGGCACCGCGTTGCCCCACTTTTATTTCTCGCCCGCGTTTATTGGCGGTGAGCCGATAAGATAAAAAAAAAAAACTGGCAGAAGGTGCGGGAGCAAATTTTAGGTGCAACGGCCTGAAATCTAATAGCGAAAAAATAGAGGCATCACCAAGCGACAAAAGTCGGTCTTTTCACAACGACCAACGAGGTGCATTCCCACGCCCTCGCACCGACGATCACATACGAAAGCCGATACACTATATAGCGACATCCGAAGCGACTCTTCTTATCGACATATCTCACACAGCCATTCGTCGGCACTCTCGCTCCGCCCGCGGCCGCCGTCAAGATGGTTGAGAAGAAGCATGGCAAGGGCCGTCTGGACAAGTGGTACAAGCTGGCCAAGGAGAAGGGCTACCGAGCCCGTGCCGCCTTCAAGCTGATTCAGCTCAACAAGAAATATGGCTTCCTCGAGAACAGCAAGGTCGTCCTCGATCTGTGCGCTGCGCCAGGTGTATGTTTCGTCTATGCCCTGTTTGTATCATGTGCATTTGCGTTTTCTGTTTGCCTGCTAACAAAGTAGTCCTGGTGTCAAGTGGCCGTCGAGACCATGCCTGCCAACGGCATCATCATCGGTGTCGATCTGTCGCCCATCAAGCCGATCCCCAAGGTCATCACCTTCCAGAGCGACATCACGACCGAAAAGTGCCGCGCAACGATCCGGCAGCACCTCAAGAACTGGAAAGCCGACACAGTCCTCCACGACGGCGCCCCCAATGTCGGCACGGCCTGGATTCAGGACTCGTTCAACCAGTCCGAGCTGGTGCTGCAGTCGATGAAGCTGGCGACGGAGTTTCTGGTCGAGGGCGGCACCTTTGTCACCAAGGTCTTCCGCTCCAAGGACTACAACTCGCTGCTGTGGGTCTTCAACCAGCTGTTTGCCAAGGTCGAGGCCACCAAGCCGCCGTCGTCGCGCAACGTGTCGGCCGAGATTTTCGTCGTGTGCCGCGGCTTCAAGGCGCCCAAGCGCATCGACCCGCGCTTCCTCGACCCCAAGGCCGTCTTTGCCGAGCTGGCCGACCCGACGCCCAACAACGAGGCGCGCGTGTTCAACCCCGAGGTCAAGAAGCGCAAACGCGACGGCTACGAGGAGGGCAACTACACGCTGTACAAGGAGATGCCGGCGAGCGAGTTCATCCAGACAACGGACCCCATTGCCGTGCTGGGCCAGTACAACACCCTGACGTTTGACCAGCCCAAGAACGGCGACGTGGCGCTGGCCGCGCTGGCCAAAATGGTCGAGACGACGGACGAGATCCGGCGGCTGTGCACGGATCTGCGCGTGCTGAGCCGCCGGGACTTTAAGATGCTGCTCAGCTGGCGTCTGCGGGTGCGCGAGCGGTTTGGATTCCCGACGAAGAAGACGGCCGCCAAGCCGCTGTCGGAAGAGACCGCGGCCGTTGACGACATGGACGAGGAGACCAAGATCGAGAAGGACCTGCAGGAGATGCGGGACCGCGCCAACTCCAAGACGAAGCGCAAGAAGCGGCGCGACAACGAGCAGAAGCAAAAGGAGATTGTGCGCATGCAGCTCAACATGACGGCGCCCATGGACATTGGCATGGAGCAGGCCGACGCCATGGGCGAGGGCGCGCTGTTCGGCCTCAAGAAGATGGACAAGACGACGGCCCTGCAGCGGATCGCGCGCGGCAGGATGGCGACGATCAACCCTGAAAAGACGGTGACCGCGGCGGAGCACGACGACAGCGACAGCGGCATCGGCTCGTCGGCAGAGACGGACGAGGACGAGGACGACGAGGACGACGAGGAGGACCGCCTCGAGCGGGAGCTGGACGGCCAGTACGACCAGTACCAGGAGCGCCGGGCCGCAGTGGACGCCAAGCACAGGGCCAAGAAGGCACGCGAGCACGGCGACGACGCCGAGTGGGAGGGTGTTTCGGCGGGCGAGAGCGACATTGAGGACAGTGACGGCGACCTCGAAGAGGACAGCAGCGACGACGACGGCGACGAGGGCGAGACCACCGCTGCGACCAAGTCGCTCCTGACGGACCTCGACAACAGCACACCCAACAAGAGCGGTCTGTCCAAACGCGCTCAGGACTTCTTCAGCCGGTCCGAGTTCACCGATATTATGGGTGACGTAAACGAGCTTGAGGAGGAGGAGGAAGAAGAAGAAGACGACGAAGACGGGGAGGAGCAGGATGGCGAGTACGAAGAGGTACAGCATGCAGAGGAGGTGGAGGAGATTGAGATTGACGAGAACGATGAGAATGAGGATGAGGATGAGGACGAGGACGACACTATGCCTACGAAACAGGAGGTCGGCTCGGACAGCGAGGACGACGGCAACTTTGAGGTGGTCAAGCGCAGGCCGGTCGGCGACGAGGACGACTGGGAGGACGAGGACAGGCGCCGTGCTGCCGCCGACGACAGCGTCGGCGTGGACATTATCACGGCCGAGATGATGACGCTCGCGCACGATCTGGCGCTGGGCCGCAAGACCAAGCACGACGTCGTCGACGACCTGTACAACCGCCGCGCGTTCCGTGACAAGGACGGCCTGCCCGACTGGTTCCTCGACGACGAGTCCAAGCACGACAAGGTGCAGCGGCCCATTACCAAAGCGGCTGCCGACGCCATCAAGGAGAAGATGCGTATGCTGAACGCGCGCCCGATCAAGAAGGTGCGCGAGGCGCAGGCGCGCAAGAAGTTCAAGGCGGCGCAGAAGCTCGAGAAGCTCAAGAAGAAGTCGGAGATGCTGCTGGCGGACGAGGGCATGACCGAAAAGGAAAAGGGCGACTCCATCAGCAAGATGCTCAGCAAGGCCGCCAAGAAGAAGCCCCATATCCCCAAGAAGGTGGTCGTGGCGCGGGGCTCCAACCGAGGCATCCAGGGCCGACCCAAGGGCGTCAAGGGCCGCTACAAGATTGTGGACCCGCGCATGAAGAAGGACACGAGAGGTCTGAAGCGTGCGGCCCAGCGGGGCAACAAGAGACGCAAGTAGATGCGGCGCGGCCGCGTTTGTATTTGCCGGGTATCTAGATTTTCTATAGCATATGTATTCGTGCATTTTTTCGGCGTTGGCATTTTGTACTCCCCCCTTTCCCCCATAGACTCAAAAAGTTGCTTCTTGTCTCCTGCTATTCTTCTTTGCTTTGGTATACCGCCTTGACGAAGGACGTCAAAGGCAACAATGGCCCTGTGAATTCCATATCGTACCTGGCGTTGTCAGCGTGTCAGCGGGTGTTGGCCACAGTCTCGCACAACCGTTCGTGGAGAGAACCATACCAGTAGTTGACGGCAACGCAGACGCCTTCGTCGGACGCGGATTGCGACACTTTGTGGTACCACATTGCCGGAAGGTAGAGCATGTCCCCTGGATGCAGCGTCACCCGCATCGGCTCAGCCAAACTGGAATATGGCGTTGGGTTGGCGCTGGGTGCGTCTGGGTCCCAGACGGCAAACGGGACACGATTGTCAGGGCCGTCAGCCTCCTCTGGAGCCAGCGTCAGCCCGCCGTCGCTCCGCGCATAACTGTACTGCGGCAGAGACTGCTCATTGACACAGGGCTGGCACAGCGGAGGCAGCAGGACAAAGTGCTTCTGGCCGAGGATCTGCACGTAGATGTTCTCGTAGTTGTCGCGGTGCATGGCCGTGACCGAGTGTGAGTTGCCAATCCACAGATTGATGGCTTCAGGCGCACGCTGCAATGCAATCCGCGCAAACGGAATGTCCTTCTGGACGTGTGCAAAGACAGAGGCATACTCATGCCTCAGATTGTCGTTTTCTACCGCATGGCGTCAACACGGCGGGCCCCCTTGTCTGGCATGTCACATGGATCGATTCGAACGGCCGGCACTCACGAGTCTGCGCATAACGGGTCTCAGCGCCTTCCGGCAGCTGGCCCTTCTCCTGCCTTACGACATAGTCGAGAAAGTCGACAAACGTCTGGTCCTCTTCCCACGGCTTGGCAAACACGGCATCACCGTCCGGGCCGGGCGTCGGTGCATCCGCGTATCTGCAGCACGGGTCAGTACAAAGATCACAGGCGGACAGGCAGGGCACAGAGGACGGACCCATTCGGCGTCACGGCCACGTTGACTGTATGGTCGGCGAGCGTTTTGCGGAGAAACGGCACAGACCAAGTCTGCGCGGCCGGCCAGGTGGATGCGCCTCCCCGGATGACAAAGGGCGTGTTCCGGGCGACGTAGCGCATAAACTCGAGCGGGCTGGGCTCGCTGCCCCCGTCGTCGAGCTCGTCGATTAGGTTTCCATTGAGCTCAAAGTAGCTGGTGATGAGCTCGGCGACTGGATCCATGACACGGCGTTGTGTTGGGCCGTCGAGCAGGCTGTCAATCAAGGCAACAACGACGGCATGCGCTTTCCCGAATGGTAGTCAAAAATGGGAGCAAGTGCGCCCGTAGTGGGGCTGGGCATCGCGCCTGCCGCAGGAGCTTGCACAGAGCATTACCTGACGAGTAATTCGTACTTCTTCCAACGGAGATCGCTCGATGGCGTCACAACATGCTTGGCTTTCCAATGTGATTTATCTGGGTGATTGAATACTTCGTACACTGCGTCAACTCAAGGCTAGACCAGATTGCTGCTGTAAAAGAGTTGCATCGAATTTCCGACTGCCTCTGGAGCACCTTCCCTGCAACTGGGAAATGCCATTCGCACTTTCCCATCGCATTGGGATAGAAAATCGATCGGGAAGGAGTGGCATGGCTCTTTCCTGTCGCGGCACTACCGTGCGTCTGACTCGATTGTTTACCCCTGAATCCCCATCCCATCGCCCGCCTTTTGGCCCATGCTGCATTCTTGGTCTGTTTCGTATTTTACAACAGCTCCTCGTCTTCACAAGTGCTCTTTGGTCCACAACGTCCAGCGACAGCCATCTCGCTTAAACCTGCCTCTGTTCAGACTAGCAGCAAGTTCGCTCTCCGACTAGCAAGTATCGTGTCGCTCGCCACCCTTGCATAAACCATTCTGCGGATGTCGCACAGCAAAGAGACGCACGCATTGGGGCCCGTGGCAAGGACGACGACGACGACAGCTGCCCAGGGGCCGCCTGAGTTTGTTGTGGATACGACTCCTGGACACACACTGGGCGGCTGTTTCACGCTCTGCCTTGGCCGTGTTTCGTTTTGAAGTGGCTTGAGTTGAGACGAGTCTGAGCCCATCCGTCACGAGCGCCGGCGACGACTGGCAGTGCTTGCTTCTCCAGCATTCGATTGACTCTTGTGAGTTGTTCTTATTTCCTTGGACTAAATCAAGCATGTAACATATTATTTGTGGATTGCTAGGTGGATATCCTGGCTTCAAGAAGCCGCGCGTTGCCGCATTTGTCTGCCAATATATGCAGCATTCCCTCCGTTTCGTGTTTCGTGGTGTCCAGGATTGGCTCTCTTAGTGGTCAGATCCATTGTCCCGTCACACCACCCTAGTGTGCTTTGACACTATCGGGTTGTACGGTGTACCATCGAAAATTACAAAACCCCATCTTCTAAACATGGTTTTCTCTGGCCGCTGCGACGACAGCTAACGGTTCCTGCATCCATCCTGCACGACTTTGATCATCCAGCAGCAGCGGACGTCGTTCGACCACCAGCGTCGAAGCTGACACGCCGAAATCCGCCAAACACAGCCATAAGTTGCTCAAATAGCACACTTTCCCTCGTTATTGGCGTTTCCCCCTCTGTCTTGATCAAGTTGGACGACGCCAGTTCCTCATCGCCGATCACCATTAGAGCTACGCTCACGAATAGCAGGGGCTTTTGGAATTCTGTTTGGGCGTTTGTGAGCTAGCGTGTGCTCTTCGGATGACCAGAAGGCACCACAATTTTCATTACCTCGAAACGCGGGGACCTCCAAAGCCCACGCGAAAACGAAGGCAAGATACCAAAGTGCGCTCAACGGCCAAGCTGCTCGCCTTTCACAACTGTAAAAATACGCCCGACTTCCCTTGCAGTCTGCACTCCCAACAAGTCACCATCAGGTCTTTCCTCGCATAACTGTGGATCCACTCTGTCTCTTCGCTTGTTCTCAACGGCACTATCCACAATTTTTTTTGGCACGATTTCAGGCTGGGCAACATCCCAGCCTACCTACCCATCGTCCCTTTCTGCTGGCCTGGGCCGTGCTATTATCGCTGATCACCTGGCGGGATGACGTTTTCAGTTTGTCTCTAAAACTCGCCCTTCCCTCTCTTCATGCCATGTTTGGACAACTCCTCTTTCTCGATCGCGGACCATCTGTCGAATGTATGCCTTCGTCGTCTAGACTCTTTCTTCAACTGATGCGAACATCTGTCTTCACCACTACCGCCCTTGTCATCTACAATTCCCCAAGACGGCAATCAACCTCCGCCCTGTTTCTAGCTCGTCGGCCTCTACGTCACTCTTAACATTTCACCTCTTGCCACCCATGCTTCGTTTCCCATGTCGGATACCGCAAAGCCACCGGCTGTCTTCCTTTCCACCTTCGACACACTGCAACCACCGCAGTGATGCTTTGGTATTTTCTCTACCCGCTACGGGGGTATGTCCATCGTCATGACAGCTGAGGAGCGTGACCTTTTCCCGCGAAATGTGCCATCCGACTAACCACCTGCTACAGGACGACGAGTGCCCCAGGTCTCGTCCCCAATAATCCTTTACGACATATTCTCTCACGCTACGGTGTATATGTCGCACGGCATATTGCTACGATCCTCCTCATCTTTGTAGCTATCGCTACTGCTCTCATCTACCCGATCCCGTTTCTCTACGCCCCCGACTTCACCAGCGGCGCCTCAGGGCTACCGCACCACGTGTGGACCAATGCACAACCTGTGAAGACCGGCCTCATTGCCACAGAACCCAATGTTTTTATGCGCTCCATATGGGTCCACGGCAGCTACATGAAAGCCCTGGAGCGCAACGTCCTCCTCGGCGCACTGGAGCTCCAAGACGAAATCCTCGGGCCAACGAAAGGTTTTAACCCAAGGGTCTTATCGAACAACGTCACCGTCCGCGATCCCCTTGCGAATCTCTCTGTTCTCGAGCGTGACACTCTCCACGTCGTCAATGGCTTGACCAACCAGTCGTGGTTCTTTCATTCGCCGTTGCTCTACTGGTCGAACGACCACGAATTGATCGCAATCGACCCCAATATCCTCGCCACTGTAAACGAGCACAAGAATCAGCATACATCTCTCAACGTCACTTTGCGACACTCTGTTGTCTTCAGCGGCAAGAGATTTGAGGACCGCGCCCTGGTCGCCGCCGATGCCATTGTCATAACTCTGATTCATCTTCGCGATTCCCCTGTTGGACGGCAATGGGAACGAAAAGTGGCCGAACTTGCCACCCATGTGACTGACAAATGGGACGTCTACCCCCAAGATGCCCGTAACCTGTCCAGCCAGCTCTACGAGTTTCAATTTCTCCCCATCTCAATACAGGACTCGGTCATGCTGACCTTGGCGTACTGTTTGACGTTCGTCTACGTCATCCATAACCTCTCCAAGATTCCAGCAATCAAGTCTCGACCTGGCCTTATGGTGACGTTTGTCACGCAAATATTTGTCTCGATATTGTCGAGCTTCACGGTGTGCGCTATCCTCCAAATCGACCTGTCTCGCATCCCGCGCGCCGCCTACCCGATTGTAATTATCTCCATGAGTCTGGAGAATATGCTTCGGCTTATCAACGCTGTCATCGCAACAAACCCGGAGGAAAGCACCAGTAGCCGAATTGGCACGGCTTTTGGGGAGACTACGCACATTGCTCTTGCTAGTGTTGTGGAGCATCTCGTGCTTCTCTGGGGCATCTCGAAGCTCGTCACAACTGGCCTTTCGGATTTTTGTGCATTTCTCGCCATTGCTATTGTGTTCGACTTCTTCTACTTTTCCACTTTCTTCCTGTCTGTCCTCAGCGTAGAGGTGCGACGTTCAGAACTTTCCGACTTTCTCGAGAAATCGTCATCAACAAAGCGAAACCAGCGGCCGCCTGGCCCGTCAATGTATCCGGATGATTTTGTCTCGCCCCAGAAATCGATTTCGCGGAAAACTTGGATAACAGCCGTTCTCCAGGGCCGCATTGACGCGTCCACGCGCATCGCCGGCACGATCATCCTGCTCGGCTTTGTCATCATTGCCCAGTGGCATTTTTTCGAAAACGAGAGCATATCACACACGTTGAACCGCATGTTCACCTATGGAATAGGTTATGGTGGCAGTAGAAATAATCTGACCGACTGGAGCAGCGCATCTTCTCAGCTCCGGGATCTTCACCAGGCCCGCAGCTTGACATCGTGGCTTCGTCTTCAAGACCACGAGACAGCACGGGAGGTCATCCGTGTCGTGAAGCCAGAGGCACACAGTTATATTGCTCGCGTGTACGAGCCTCTTGTTCTTGTCTTGAAGGGAAGCGACCGCATGCAGTCTGTCACCGAGCGCCCGTTCCTACCAGCTGTGTACGACTTTTTTCGCCACCAGTCGACGCCGTTCCTGGTTGTGATTTTGGTCCTCACAGCAGCCATGCGCATCTTTTTGAATTACCTGCTTTGGGACGAGATGGCTGATAATAGTGGCGACGTCGATGCACCCAACGAGCCAACCCTGTCCGTCAAGACGTTGGACCAAGGCCATGCCCTCGACGTGGCCCTCTTGGCTGCATCGTCCGACGGCCTGGTTGTCTCTGTCGGCCTGGATCGCTGGATCCGTGTCTGGAACTTGCCTCGTGGTGGCGTGAACTACCCTTTGAGAAAACGCGACGCGCTCTCCGACGATCCCTTCCCAGTGCTTCTCGCCATCGACAACGACTCGACATGGCTTGCGATCTTGTCGCACAATAACGTCATGTTGTGGAATCTGGAGACCAAGGAGTGGGGCCTGTCCGTTGCTATCGATTTATCTGGACAGAAGCCGGAAGCCTTCTTCTTCATGCCCCGCCAAAGGACTGATTTGGCTCGCTCACTCGTTGTGGTTCGACGCAATGGCACGCTCACTGAGCTGTGGGTCGATACGGGCGAAACGCTGGACTCCCCCATTTGTAAAACCACGCTCTTGTCCGCGGTCTCCTTCCAACCGCTGCATTCACCAGCGACAGGACCATCCGGTTCCGGCTGCGTGGCTATCATTGCAGTCTCACAGAATGGCTGTGTCCACCGCGCCACTCCCACCTATCGCGGGTGGATCTCCGAGGAAATCAAGCAACAGACTGACAATGAGGAGCACGCCCACTCTGTCGTTGCTCTGCCACTCTTTTCGGCCTGCTTGGTCGTCAGACCACACTCGGTGGACATGGTCGACCTTGCCACGTCTGAGACGCTTCACACCTTTGTGTCCCACTTGCAGATTAAGCCCCGCTCGTTGCGGTGTATTTTTTCGACGAGGAGGCATTCCAAACGAAGCTCCCCAAGGCTGAGCTACTTCAGCCTTATATATACATGTGCCGAGTCAGGGAACTGTGTCATTCAGACCTATTTGCCACAGGACGACGATGGATCCATCTTGTTCTCACAGGACGATCTGTCGGACACGTCGTCGACGGACGGTGCGCCTAGCTGCATGTGGCACGAGACGCGGCAGACCATCGAAGAGGTGCCTAACCCCGGCCTTTGGGAAGCTCTACCTAATGGATGCGTTATTGGTGTCCGACAAACGTCAATCCTTGGTCAGCGCGGCGGAAACCGCAGCGGCGCCACTGGCTCGGAAGCGGTTATAAACAGGTCCAATATTCTCCGACGCCGAGGAGTAAATACATCCACGTACACCAGGTCGGCCACTTCTTCGCCTAGGCCTTCCCAAAGAAAACCTGATTACTCCAGTGGACGGGACAGCTGGGAGGCCTGGTCCATTTGCAGTGTTGTCGACTCGGCCAAAAGCATAATTGACACAGCTCCGGAACGCAGCCACAACGGCGATGCATCGGCTGTTACCAGGACGGCAGCCACGGCCACGGCCACAAGCACCACCAACGCGAGTAGAGACAAGAACTACATGACGCATCCGATGGCCGTGGATGAGGGCGAGCTGCTGGTTACAGAACTTGGGCCAATTGCCTGTGTGGGCGCTGGCACGATTGCTCTGGGACTTGGCGCGGCCATTAAAATCATCACGATAGGCCACGAGCGGTTCGGCAGCCCGGCCGAGATGCTTGAGGCGGCAGCTGGGCAGATGATGGAGACCAGCAGCGTGGCCAACCGACGACGCAAGAACCGGTCGATTCAGAGAGCGACGGTGACATAGGCATGGCTTGGGTGCATTTGGCTGGCGTTTAAAAAGGCGAGGCATTTGGACGGCACGAGAACTGGCAGCGCGACTTTCTTGCATATTGTAACTGTACGATTTGATACCACTGTTTATGATGACGACGCTTAAGCATTATGTTACTTTTTGGATACAGGTCTTGGAAGGCGGGTGTGTTACTGAGTGAACGGCGAGCTTCGATACCGACTGACAATGCACGCAGACACGTTTCGCGACAGAGATGTCGGCATCGCTAGTTCTACAACTAACGAAGATTCTACCAGATTAAGAAGGACAGGACACGAGTCAGAAGACAACGGCCTGTTCGACATTCGATGCCGACCATCGACTGAACCCAAAGTCAGCGCTGACTCGTTTGTCAGGGGTCCAGGTTGTGTCGTGCCGGTCTTTGTGGACCTGGCCAATTAACTTACAGCGGAAGTTGATAACCCAAAGCTCCACCAGTCTCCCACTTCCTGGTTCGACTGCGGGGGACTCGGCACACCAGGAGGACCAGCCAGCAGAGGCGGTGGGCTGTATTTACGTTTTGTGGTGTGAAGAGGGCAGGATCGTCGAGGTACACGGCGACAGGTTCAACTCGAACTCGAGGGACAGAAGACGAGGCGAATATTAAATTGAGGCATCGAGAAATCGAGCAGTCGAGGGACAAAATAAGACGAAACCCAAGTACAACGGCACACCACCACCGCCATGATCTATCAATCGCCGTTTCCGGCGCCGCCGACGCCGCGGGATGTGTCGATTTCGCAGTTTCTGGTGCGCACCAACCCGGATGACGTGCCGGCCGACAAGCCGACCATCTGCGACTTTGAGAACCCGAGCCACAAGTTGACGTATGGCGAACTGCGGACGCGGGCGGCGCAGGGTGCGGCCACACTCCGCACGGCGCACGGCATGAAGGAGGGCGACGTGGTGTGTCTGTTTGGGCACAACTCGGTCAACTGGATGCTGTTGTGCCACTGTGTGCTCTGGGGCGGCGGCTGTTTTGCGGCGATCAACGCACTGGCGACGCCGTACGAGCTGCTGCACTACTTTTCGATTGCCAAGCCGAGCATCATTGCGGTCGACGCGGCACTCCTCCCGAAGGTGCAAAAGGCGCTGGCAGACGCCCCCAAGACGCCGAGCCGTGTGGCGCCCAGGATCATCGTCATTGAAGACGGGCAACACGGTCAGTTGCCGGCACCCTTGGCAGCTCTACCCAAGTTCCCGCGCGACTTCATCCGGTTCCAGCACCAGTCGGTGGCAGCGTACGACCTGGGCGGGCGCGACAACAGCACCGTCATGGCCGGCATGTGCTTCAGCTCGGGCACGTCGGGCAAGCCCAAGGGCGTGATGCTGTCGCACCACACGCTCATCGCGCAGCTGCTGAGCTCGCGCGCGACCAACCCGTTTATCAACAACGCGCACGTCAACGAAGTGTTTTACCCGCCGTTCGGCCACATCTACGGCATGGTAGCGTGCGTGCTGTTCTCGGCGTGGGTCGGGCACTACGTGGTGGCGATGAAACGGTTTGACTTTTTGCCGTACCTGCAGCGGTGCGCCGACATTCGGGCGTCGGTGCTGCGGCTGGTGCCAGCCACGGCGACGCGCATGACCAAGGACCCGGCCGTGCGGGCGCTGGACCTGACGAGCGTGCGCACGGTCATGGTGGCGGGCGCGGCGCTGTCGTCGGACACGGTGCGCACGCTGCAGCGGGACCTGCTGGACCCGCAGGCGGTGGTGCTCAACGGCTACGGCATGACGGAGGTGACCATTGCGATGCTGCGCGAGACGCAGAGCCACCGTGCGGGCAGCCTGGGGCGCGTTGCGGCGGGCACGGAGATGCGGATCGTCGACGACGCCTTCGAGGACGTGCCGCACGGCACGGACGGGCAGTGTCTGGTGCGCGGGCCGACGATGTTCATGGGCTACAAGGACAACGTGGCCGAGACGGAGGGCTCGTTCTACACGGACCCCGCGACGGGCGACCGGTGGTTCTGCACGGGCGACGTGGTGCAGATGGACGACGACGGGTTCCTGTGGATGACAGGCCGCAAGAAGGAGCTGATCAAGTTCCGGGGCAACCAGGTGCCGCCAGCCGAGCTCGAGGCGGTTCTGCTGGAGCACCCGCTGGTGACGGACGCAGGCGTGTGCGGCGTGTTTGACAAGGCGCTGGACACGGAGGTGCCCGTGGGTGCGGTGACGCTCGCCCCGTCGGTGGCGGCCGCGGATCGACCCGCCGTTCTCAAGGAGGTTCGGGCGTTTATGGACGACAGGGTGTCGCCGTACAAGAAGCTGCGGGGTGGCCTGTTCCATCTTGACGTACTGCCCAAGGGCACGACGGGCAAGCTACAACGGCGGGACATTCTGGCTGCTCTTGCGGCGGTGCAAGACAAGGCGAAGTTGTAAGGGGAGGGGTGGTTGAGAACGTGCAGATAGCACCAAATTGTGTGCAAGTGGGTGGAGTGTTTATAGAGAGAGAGCGTATGTCATGTCTGTGTCCGGTTGTGTTTATTTATCTGTTCATTGCCAGTTTACTTGTTTTTTTCTTCTCATGACACCGCATTGGGCCGTTTATGCACTTGTCTGGTGCAGTAGCGGCGGATATACGACTCCGGTTGACGAGGAGGTGCCTGCTCCAAATCGTCGATGCACCCAGCTGACACTCTTCCTTTACACGCAACACAACATACTCCCATCCTTCCGGACACACACGCGCAACCACCACGACGTCGCCACCATGCAGCACGCCACAGACGCGGACATGGCCGCTCGGGCGCGCGCCTTTGTGCAGCAGCAGGCGCATGAAGCAGCCAGCAAAGGCACCACCAAGACATGGTACTGCATCACGGCCTGCGCTTTTGCGGCCTGCAACCAGGGCGGCTTCGTGGGCGACGTGTACAAGGCCGCCATTGCCTCCAGCGACCCGGACGACATCGCCCACCAGCAGCTGGTGCTCCGGCGCATCAAGGAATCCCTGCTCAAGACGAGCGTCATCTTTGGCATCCCGCGCACCATCAACGCCTTTCGCGCGCTCGTCAGCGCCCTGCCATCACCGGCGGCCAATGAGGTCGCGTCCGTCCGCAGCCACATTGCGCGCCCTGCCGATACCGACGCGCGCGGCCTTGCGTACATGCGCAACATTTTCCGGGCGGACCTCGACCCCTTCCTCGACACCATGGACCAGTACTGGCCGGACCTGCGCACGCTCGTGGTGACGACCATCTACGGCTACTACCAGTCGGACACGACGGTGCTGGGCGCCGTGGAGACGAGCCAGCTCAACATTGCGACGCTGGTGCCCATGGACGTGACGGCCGAGGTGGCGTGGCACATGCGCGGCGTGATCCGCAACGGGGGCACCAGGGACGACCTGGACTATGCCTTTGCGACTGCCATGGCGGCATGCGAGATCTGCGATGTGCGCCTCAAAAACACGATGCCACGGCCGGAGGACGTCGTCAACGAGGAGCGGTTGTTTTAGTGGTGGTGCCGTCTTGGACGAACATGGGCAGCATCAAGTACGTACTGTTGAGGTTTAGGTTTATTTGTTATTGTTTTGCACTTCCTTTCTTTCTATTCAAACTATGCATGATCTACGTCCTCCGCCGGCTTAGCAAATCCACCCGCCGTCGACGCAGATGGCCGTGCCCGACACGTACGTCGACTCGTCGCTCAGCAGGTACGCAATCAGGTGGGCCACCTCCTCCGGCCGGCCCGCGCGGCCCAGCGCGTTCTCGTGCGTGCTCGACAGCACGCTCTGCCCCGTGTGGGTGGTCGCGCCGCTGGCCGTGACAATCTCGTGCGCCTTGTGGTTCATGGGCGTGTCGATGGGGCCCGGGCAGATGCAGTTGACGCGCACGCCGCGGTAGCCAAACTCCTTGCAGGCCGATCGCGTCAGGCCGACCACCGCGTGCTTGCTCGCCGCGTACGCCGCGTTCTTGGCCCGGCCCGTCACGCCCGCAATCGACGACGCGTTGACAATGCTGCCGCCGTCGGCGACCACGCGCGTCTGCGCCTTGAGGCAGTGCATGAGCCCCGTGGCGTTGACGCCCAGCACAAAGTCCCACTGCTCGAGGTCCTGGTCCGCCAGCGTGTGGATGCCAATGTCCTTGGGGATCACACCGGCCATGTTGGCGGCGCCGTCGAGCCGGCCAAACGTTTGCGTGGTCGCGTCGATCCACGCCTGCACCTGATCGTACTTGCGCACATCCACGACCCGCGTCAGCACATTGTCGGCGCCCGCGGTGGCGCGCAGCTCCGCGGCGGCCTTGTCGAGGCCGGCCTGCGAGACGTCGGCGAGGGACAGCTTGGCACCCCGGGCGGCGGCAAGCTGGGCAAACGCCAGGCCAATGCCCGAGGCAGCGCCGGTGACGGCAATGACCTTGCCCTGGAGTTGTTGAGGCGACATTTTGTGTATGAGTGTGTGTGTGTGCGTGGGAGTGGTGATGACACGCGACGGGATGGTTTCTAAAATGGGTTGTCGTCAAAACAGAGCAAGGAAACGATCACAGAACAATGACAACAACAGTCACCCACTTGGGGCCGCCGGCACAGCTGAATCATTTATATGACCAACTACCAGTCCATGTTGGAGCCAAGGGACAAAGTGACCAAAGAGAGGGGCAGGCCTAAACGAAGGGCTCATGAGTATCCGGCTAGTCAACACGGCCAGGGAGTTTGGTTTCCGGAGCTCCTGCGCTAGTTGGCGACTTGCAAGGAAGACGGAAGAGGCAGAACTGACTCGCCTTCGGTCCTGACCTACTTAGTGTGCATGTTGGTGTCTGTAGGTGACTTTGCAAACTGGCCAATCGAGTGTTGCTTCGGGGTGAGACATCCGTTGGTAGGCGCTTGGTTTGGACCCAATCACTGCCGTATTTGCTGTATTTGCTATATTTTCTGCATCGTTCAAACAAGCTGTACGCCCTCTCCGCCTACAGGTGACCGTTCTCGATAAACTTCTTGGGCACGGGCACGTACTTGGCCCGCAGATACTCGCACAGGTTCTTGGCCAGCGTGTCCAGCCCGGAGCCCGAGTTGTAGCCCCGGTCCAGGTGGTCCTTGAGCAGAAAGTGCACCGCCCGGATGTTGCCCATCTCGAACCGGTCAATGCGCCCGCCGCCGTACTCCTTGGCGCCCAGCAGCGCCTTGAACGTGTCAATCGTCAGGAACGACCGCAGCCAGTCCCACTGCTCGGCTGTCGGCACGTAGAACCCGACGTTGGCGTCCGACGCCTTGTCGCCCGACCGGCCCAGCGCCACCCAGCCGAGCGGCGCCTCGACGGTCTCGCCAAACGTCGACAGGGCCACCGGGTTGCGCGTGTCGTACGACGCCTGGGCACCGTACGTCTGCATCTGCGGCGGCAGCGCAATGGCCACGGGCGTGCTGCGCGTGGCCGCGTCGCCAAACAGCAGGTGCACGCGGTGGCGGCACGCCGACTGCGGCACGAGGGTGACAAAGTACTCGTAGTAGCTCTTGGCCGTCGACTGCCGCAGGTCGTTGGGCCGCGACACGCCGGGGCACGACTGCAGCACCGTCTCGTAGAGCTTGCGCGCGAACCCGTGCGGCAGGCTGGGGTCGAACAGCGCCGCATCCTTGGTCTGCGCAAAGATGCGCAAGTCCACCGTGGCAATCTCCTGGTTGGCCGGGTTGGCCGGCGACGTGCCGTGCACGTGGAACTTGAGCAGCGAGAACTGGCCGAGGAGCTCCTCGCCGATGGCGTGCCGCGCCTGCTCCTCCATCCAGCGGCACTTTTCCTCAATGTCCAGCCCGACCAGGTAAAAGTGCCACTCGGCCTGGTAGCCGCCGTGTGCCGTCACACCGCAGCGCGTCGTGGGCGGCGGCGGGTGGCCTGTGATGCCGCTGACGTGCACGAGGTCGTCGGCCAGCGGCGCGAGCGAAATGTTGTGCAGGTCCGCCACCACGTCCGAGTTGTAGTAGAGCGGGCCCGCGATCTCGTAGACCAGCTGTGCCGTCACCGTCTCCGTGTTGACCACGCCGTTGGTGTTCTTCTCCTTTGCAATGTCAAACTCGCCGTTGGCGTGCACGCGCGCAATCGGGAAGCCCAGGTTCAGGTGCTTCTGGGCCGCCATCAGCGCCTTGAACCGGCTGTAGTAGCCGCCCGTCACAAATGCCGAGCACTCAATCATGTGGCCCGCGATCAGCGCCCCCGCCAGCTGGTCCAGGTCGCTCGCCGTCCACCCGTGCCACCACGCCGCCACGCCCATCGTCGGCGCCGCGTCCGACACCCGCCCGCAGATCACAATGTCGGCGCCCCGCCGCAGCGCCTCGGCAATGCCCAGGCTGCCCAGATACGCCTGCGCGCAGATCGGCTCGTGGCCCCATTCGGCCAGTGTCTTGCCGTCCGTCAGGCTCCGGATCTCGGACGTGGCGTCCGCGGCCATCGCGAGGAACGCCGCCGTCACGTCGTCGCCCTCGACCCACGCCACCTTGAGATCCAGTCCCGCCTTCTGCACTATGTCCACCACCACCTCGGCGAGCAGCTCCGTGTCGCTGGCACCGGCGTTGACTGCGAGCTTGGTGCCGTTGCGTGCGAGATCGTGCATCGCCGGTGCGAAGCACTGCAGGAATGTGCTGGCGTACTGCGCCGACTTCATGCGTTCTTCGAGGGGCAGCTTTTTCTTGTTGGCGTCGTCGTCGTTGTCGAGCCCGTGTGCATCCTTTTGGCGGGCCTTGCCGGCGCCGTATCCCGTCATGACATTCTCCGAGAGCCAGTCGCCGACCACGGCGTCAACGTCTGGGTCACGGGCCAGCCGGCCAATGGCAGCCACGCGGTCCGTGAAACCGCCCGAGGCGCCGCCGATGCGGACGGGGCGCTTTACTGTTGTTGCCATATTGTCGAGTTGTTGCATAAGAATGGAAAACGAATAATAGTAACGATACGCAAAAGAGCGTGCCTGATAATTAAAAAAAAAAAAAAAAAAAAAAAAAAGACCAATAAACTCGTAATTGTTTTCCTTTGGTCGTTTATAAAAGCGGTTGAACAACAACCGTATTAGCCACCCATGTACTTCATCTTGCCTCGATGCATAATTCTGCTCGTTATCGCTGTCCACACCAGCTAGTGCGCCGTGTCAGCGTGCGGAGGTGTAGTTTATGTTGTATTGTTGACAATGGAAGCGACGCCAGGGGCTTTCCAAGGCTGCCCACAGACAACGCCCTGGTGTCCACTAACACTAACATGCCACTAAAGAAGTGACGACACGCTTGGGGACCAAGAAAACTATTGGGAATTTGGAAAGTGCGGGGGCCCATTCTCCAAAAGGGCCATCCCGGCGATTCCCAGTAGGTCCCAGCGATGAATCAGTTTGAAAGCGGCGATCCAGCTCGTCGGAGAAACAAGTCCGCCCAGGCAAGGACCTCCTCATCCTGTCCCCTGGATTGTCCGGATAGATGAGTCGCTAGAACCGTGCACCCCTCTCCGGCATCCATTCCAAAGCGGCTGTCAAGGACCACGAGCTCTCGCCCATGTGCCGGCAGGAACCGATATTCGGAAAAGGCCACGAGACAGTCACATTCGCGCAAGGTCGCAGAGGGGTTGTCCACTGGCCAGGTACTTGTCCTTGGGGAGCGGCTGACACTCCAAAAACAGACCATACGGAATTGGCTCTACACGATGAGGACAGTGGCATCGGCGGGGAATATGTGGTTGTGCCGGTCTCGTTCGATGGTTGGAGAATATGTTCGCAGGCGCCCAACTGCGTCCGCCTCATGCCATTGGCTCGTTTTTGCCATGGGCATCACGGTCGATGAGGTCGCCAATGTCCGGATAGCGGTCTCGGAATGCCTTGCCGACTTCCCAGTTGCCAAGCTGCCGGATGTGCTCCTCGTAGACGGGGTTGATTGTAACGTCCTTGTCCGGCGGCGCCACCGCTTTGAGCAGCACATGTGTCGGGTCGTACGGCCAGCGGATGCTGAAGCTTGTGCTGTAGACAGCAGCGAAATGGTCCAGTGTAATTTCCGGGTGGGAAATCAGGTAGTTGCGTACGGCGGGCCACGGGATGCGGTCGATCCAGGCGGCGTGGGGCGTGGAGATTTGGGTGCGTGTTGGGCGGAGCCAGGCCGGCAAGAGGTCCCAGCTCGGTTTGTCCAGCAGCACCATCCACTTGAGGAGGGAACACATAATGTAGAAGACGGCTACCTGTTTAGGCAGCGTGTCGATCTCAAAGTAGCTGCGCACAATGTCGCCGACAATGTCGCTGATGGCATCGCAGGTGCGCCTGTCCCTTTCGAGCAGGGAGCACAAGTTGGGCTTCAACCCAAAGGCCAGGGCGCCGTTCACCGACCGCTGGTGCACCTTGGACGTGATAAACCCTTGCAGGATCTGGTCGCTGAGGCACGTGGGCGGGCCGTCGGCCGGCGGGATCTCCCATGGCTTCTTGACGACCTCGGGCAGCGCGGCCGTGACCGCCCCTGACTGCCCTGACGCGGACGTCGTGTCGTCTGGTGGCGACACGCAGCTGCCAATAGAGCTTGACGTGCCCGGCGCACCGCCTGCCAATGCCGAAGCTGCAGCAGCTGCGGCAGCCGCATCGTTGGTCAGGTCAACACTCTGCGGTTGTGAGCCCATCAGGCTGAGCTGCATGGCGGCGTTCTGGGCGCGCAGCTGCGAGTTTTCGGTCTCGAGCATGCGCAGGCGCGAGTTGAGCAGGTGGACATCGCGGGCGCGGTCGCTGAGCATCTGGGTCAAGTAGGCGACCTGCTCGTTGAGGTTAAAGATGGTCCACTTCGTCCGGTCGCGCATGGCCTGCTGGGACTTGCGGTCGCGCGCCCGCTTGCGCTGCAGCTCGATCTCTTTGGCCGACAGTGTCGAGCTGCCGGATGTCGTGCCCGGCACTTGGTCAGAACTGTCGGCGTTGTTTGTGAGGTTGTTGTTGCTGTTGTTGTTGGTAATTTGTGCGGTAGAAGAGTTGCCGGCCGTGGGCGTATCGAGCACCGATGAAACAGACGCTGGCGAGGTTGTGGATGCGACGGAGCCGGGAGAGGTTGCAGCGACAGACGACACACTGGACGGGACGCCCACACCCATGCCCAAGTTTGGCGGTGATGACGCGGTGCCGGCCATGGGCGGTAGCACGGCGTAGCCCACGAGTGAGGCACCTAGGGTGCCGACAGAGGACGTGGCCATGATGCACCGGACCCAGTGCCAGGCAATGGCAGTCTGGACAGCCTGCCTGACTGAGACAAAGGAGGGCGTGGTCAGGGGACGACAGGCTGGTAACCGACGAGTCAGATTGCCCGGGCCGGGTATCTTGGTGTCCTCCAGTGATATGGAGAGCCAACACCCAACCACGCCGCAGACCGAAAGCTGAAATGTTCAACAATGCAATAGCGAGCGGAGGAGCTGACTTAGGGTGGTCAGCCAAAAAGAAGGATACGACGAGCCAGCTCGGTTCTTGGATCGCCCCTAATGATTTATTCTCGGACGAAGATGTCGATATGTGGCCATCGACAGTCGTATCAGTCGTAGCAACGTAGTCTGCGTGGTGTCGTGTGGTGAATCAGTAGAGTCGGTCAGAAGTGGAGATGGGGAAGTTTTGGAATGAAGGGGAGGAAAAAGCTGCAAAAGATAGGGGCATAATGGATCAATCGAGAAAGAGGTGTCGAAGGGAAGGAGCTGGGGGGGAAAGAGATAAAACGAAGCCCATGGCAGCTTCCCAAAATGTTGGATTAAGGTGTTCTTTCCCAAGATTGGTTCGTGCTTCGTTCGTTGGGAAAGCACGATTGAGCCTGGTCAGCTACGAGAAGCAACGAGCTGTGGTTGAGGTGAACCAACAGACTCAAAGCAGTGCTTTTGTTTTCTGGTGTGTTCTGGGCGGATTCCGGGGTTGGTAGCACTTGCCCCAAGGGGAAGCAGGGTTGAAGGAAGGTCTGACCCGTTTGGGGCACAAAAGGCGCTGTCATGTGTGCTGCCTTGGCGCTCGGATGGGCTAAGAGAGATATGTTGGTTCTAAGCTGCACGTTGGTCTTTGGAACCAACATGTCATTCCAGAATTGTATGCAAGAAGTGAAAGCCTTACTCTCCTGCATATTCAAGTGTCTGAAACAGGCCAATTGGCTTTAAAAGCTGTGATGAAAGAGGTCAACGAGGAAGCGGTGGATGGTGAGCTATGATGAAGCTCTTTTTTTGTTAACAGAAGACACAGGGGCAATGTTTGAATTCTGAAAACAACATATCAAAATACCTTCACCAGGAATGATTAAAAAAGTATCTTGTACTACTACTGTCTTTCACTAAATGTTTGTTTCCACTGCTCAATAGTGTCGACCCCAGACCCCAGACTCCAGTGGTTTGTTTTGCCCTTCCCCGGAACCGGATTAGCGCTTTGACAGTGGTAAAAGCCAGCTAGAGCGGGGTAGACGCCCTGACGCCTTTCCAGACGTCCAAACAGTGAGCTTCTGGAGTGCTAAATTGGGGTACTGCGGGGAGCATCCGGGAGATTGGGAGTGAAGGGGGGTGCCATGAGCGAAAGTTTGCGACAGCGGCCAATTGCACCATCGCCAATGCCATATGAGTGGAAATAGAGGGATCATTACAGACTGGGGCCAACAGGCTCATGATGCATTGGTAGGAAAGCCTTTCAGCACAGAAATGCGGTGAGGAGTAGGAGTGAAGAAAGGGGGATGTGAATGCAATAAGCTGCATTGCCAACTTGTGTGTTACGTATAATTTAACTGCTGAACTTATTAGAGCTGAGAATTTAGGATGAAGGGATGGCATTTCACCCACGTGGAGTCCACATGATAACCGGTCTGCCAGGTTGCAGAAGAGAGCGATCTGCACTGGCGCCGTCTTGACGGATTATCACCTTAAACCGACAACGGCGTTCGATGAACCCGTGAGGAGACATGGGATACATCGACCGAGTGGAGGTGGACGACGAACTTGTGAACGTAGCAGCAAAACTTGAATAGTCACCGCCAGAACAGACGCTGCAAATCTACGCCTCCCTGCGTGACTGACGTTGTTGCTCTTCTCCTCTCTCGATGCTCCTCGGTAACACCAAACACACCGCGCTACTGATTTATTTCATCATGAAGAGGCATCTTGCTTTGCTTGCCTTCTGCCGTCTTGGGTTTGCAGAGTATTATTCTATTGGGACTATGTACGGATGCCGTAAGACACGGCTAAACCTGCTGCTCATGCAAGAAATGGTAAGAAAACGTAGATGACAATGGCAAACATAGAAAACGACTTTTTTGTACAGTTTTGGGTTTCGTCCTGGAAGAGGACTGGCAACGAAGAGACAGCGGGCTCCCGTCTACAGCCGGCTCGCCTTCCACCGGGGCGCCCGCTTCTCGCTGAAGGCAGCCAGGCCCTCGAGGATGTTCTCGCCCTTTTGCAGCTCGGCAAACTCGCGCTCCAGGGTAATCTCGACGGCGCGCTCGACGGGCGCCGTCTCCCAGCCCTGGCGGATGCCCGCGCGCGAGCAGATGATGGCGTCCGGGCTGTGCTGGGCAATGGCCTCGGCGTAGCGCACGGCCTCGGCGACGACCTGGTCCTTGGGCACGACCTTGTTGACGACGCCCCAGGCCTGCATCTCCTGGGCCGACACGTTGCGGCCCGTCAGGGCCATTTCGGTGGCGCGCTGCAGGCCGACGGTGCGGAGGAGGCGCGGCAGGGCGCCGCCAATGGCGGCAATGCCGCACTTGACCTCGGGCAGGGCAAAGTAGGCGTCGTCGGCGGCGACCACCAGGTCGCAGTTGACAATGAACTCGCAGCCACCGCCCATGGCCAGGCCGTTGACGGCCGCAATGACGGGCTTCTTGCCGAGACGGCGCGACAGCGGCTTGAAGGCCGGGGCGTTGCCCATGCGCTTGCTGGGGTCGGCATCGGGGGCCATGGAGCGGTTCCACTCCTTGAGATCCGCGCCGGCCGAGAAAGCGCGGCCGGTGCCGGTGATGATGGCGACGCTGAGGTTGGGCTCGTCGTCGAACCACGTCCAGACCTCGTTCATTTCGATCTGCCCAATGGTCGGCATGGCGTTGAGGTCGCGCGGGCGGTCCATGCGGACGAGGAGGACGCGGGGCGCTGGGAAGGAGAGCTTGAGGAAGACGGGCGTCGCCGGCGGTGGCGTGGTTGTGGGATAGGACGCCATTGTGTGAGGTGGTGAGGGAGTGAGGAGGTGAGGTCGTTGAGAGAGGACGATGGTATGCGAAAATGGAAAGAGTAAGAAGAAAAGAGGTTTCGATCGTGAGGGCCGTGCATGCTATGCTATGCTGATGCTGATGTCGCGAGCCCGATCTTGGAAGTAAAGAAGTGAAATGACAAGACAAAAAAAGAAGAAAAAGGCAGCTTTGGTCAAGTCAACCAGGAGCGCACAAGGCGTGGGTGGGAATGATGTAGAGCAAGGAAGAACAACCACCACAATTGACGCTCGGCTTGTGACGATGCGATGTGTGGGCGCTGGCGGGTCGGTTATGGTTGTATTGCGCCGTCTGCGGGAAGGAGCACAGAACGGCGGACGATGAACAGGTTACCCAGAATAGCAAGACCGGCAAGACAGAAGGAAAGAACCCCAATCCCCAAGCCATGGGAGGTGAACCGGCAAGACCCACCTAGCCTGTTCTCTGACCCCGCTGAGTCTCTGGTGGACCAGGTCGCTTCTTTCCTAGGAAAAGCCCCGAAGCCAACTAGCCCAGTCCACTGAGTGGCAGGTGCGGGAAATCGATACACGCGCGGTGATGAATCATTTTCTCGATTACTTTTGGGGATTTGGAGAGCATCAACGGACACTCGGTGCTTGTCAGTTCGATGGTCGATAGCGAGCGGGAAAGGTGCTGACGTCTCGACGTTAGAGGATAGTATGGGCATTGCCAGATGTGGTACGATTCAGTATGTAGATGCTGTTATTACGGATCTGCTACTGGTAAGGATGATCTGCTAAGATGCTGAAATGTCATTGAAAGATCATCTCCTGAATTTCGTCGTCTTTTCAATCGGACTCTACGGTTCCGACCCTGTTGACAGCTGTCTCCGGCACCGCTTTGTTGATGCTGATGTTGGCAACGTGTCATGTGATTTATTGCCGGTTTGCAGCACCCAACAGCTAATTGCCTAATGCGGTAATCGATTCGTTATCGACCGCCAGGGACTGAATAACAGACCATCTTCAACATTGCAACAGGCCGCGTTGTCCGCATGCCACAGCCTGTTTTGTTCTGCGTATTGTATTGCGTGACGTCTCTTACATTGATTTCATCTTGCTTCTTGTCCAACGCAATACGCTGCATTCATATGGTCCTATCTAGTCGCAACGGTACTATGTACATGATTTTTGCTTTTTCTTCTTCTTCTGCCAGCTTGTCTTCGCTTACAGCCGGCTCTTCTCCTGCTTGATCTTGGCGTAGCCGTTGGACAGAGCCACGCGGCCGTCCTCGACAACGACCGTCTCAAAGGCAATGTTGTCGTAGCCGCCCTCGCTGCCCACCACCCACATGCGCGTCTCCAGCTGGTCGCCCGGGTAGACGACGCTCTTGAAGCGGGCGCCAAACGACTTGAAGCGCGCCGGGTCCGAGTTGCCCAGCGCGCGCAGCACGCCGTGCGCGGCAATGTTCCACGTGCCGAGGCCCTGCATGATGGCGCCCTTGAAGCCGCCGCCGCGGCCAAACGCGTCGTCGGCGTGCAGCGGGTTGTAGTCGCCGCAGAGGCGGTAGAGCAGGGCCGTCTCCTTGGTGGTCTGGAAGCGCGCGACGGCGTCGGGTCCGCGGTTCTGGGGCATGGTCACGGGGACCTTGGCCGGGCCGCGGGGGCCGCCGTAGCCGCCCTGCTTGATGCCAAAGGCCATGGACGTCATCTTGACGTACACGGTCCCCGTCTTGGCGTCGAGCAGCGTGTACTCGTTGTCGGCAATCATGTTGCCGCCCTTGTCGTAGACGCCGAGGACCGTTTGGTGGATCTCGAGGTCCAGGCCGTCGGAGCTCACGGGCAGCGGGCGCACAATCTCGATGCCGCGCTCGCCGTCGACCGAGTTCTGGACGTCAAAGGGCGGCACGCCAGGGACGTCCGCGGAGATCATCTTCTTGACAAAGTCAAAGACGTCCTGGTCGGTCTGCTTGAAGCCCAAGTTGATGGGGAACGTCGGGAACGCGGCGAACTTGGGATGCAGCTCGTACAAAAAGTGCAGCTCGTCGGCCTGGACGCCAATGGCGTTGGCAAAGAGCAGGACATCGCGGCGGTTGTAGCTGCACTTGATGACCGGGTACTTGTAGCCAACCGCCTTGCTGAAGTCGACGTTGTCGTAGCGCCCAGAGGCGTTCTTGACGGGCTTGTCAGACATTGTGAGGGTGGACCGGCCGTGGAGGTGAGAGAAAGGGAAGAGGAAGAGGAGTACACAATAATGTTTAGAACATCGGCGTCGATGTCGCCGAAGGCCGCTGTAACGGTACCTCGCTACAGCGACAGGGGCTAACAGACCGGAACTAGGCCTGGCGTCTGGCAAGGCCAGGCCCGCCGCCCATGGCAATGACCGAGGCAGTTGCCACTGAGAAATGTTTTTGGGTCCTCCAGGGGTTCATTACAGGTCTACTAAACACCTAAGAGTCTTTCAGCCATAAGCGAAACGATCAGTCACGATAACTACTGATTATTTACTTTGTTCTTGATTTGCAGCGCAACATACATTATCTCTTCCTCACTTTCTACCCTCTATAGCATAAGTCCTCCCCACCGCAGTATACGCCGCCGTCCGCCGTGCGTCTTCGGCCGCCACCAGCTCAACCGGTATGGCCACGTGACGCAACCGCATAATTCGCCGACGCTCTTGCCGAAGCCGTCGACAATACAGCTGCTGCTTAGGCCGTCCCGTAGCAGGCCGCGCACCAAAATGTGCACGGCCCGCAGCTCGGGAAACTCACAGCGTTCAATCGCGTACTCGGGCCGCCAGTCGTCGCCCAGCAGCGCCTGCGCACGCTCGCTCGTCGAGAACGCCTGAAGCCACGGGTCGGCGGCGTCGTCGCGCATCCAGACGCCAATGTTGGCGTTGCCTCCCTTGTCACTGGACCGAGCAGAGGCGAGGTCGCCAAAGGGGCAGACGACCGTGCCCTTGTAGTCCGGCATGGTGACCGTCGGCCCGTAATCGGGCTGCACGGCAGCCTTGTCGGCGCACAGGGCGGCATCCCTCGCGGGCACGTCAACGACAGTGGCCACGCCGGCAAAGTTGCCGCCCGTCGACATGGGCCCGCACTCAATGACGTGGCCGGCCAGGGCCTGCGGGTGGAGTGCGCCGCCGTCGCCGATGGCGCCGGAGCAGTTGACAATACGAATGGCGCGTTTCATTTTGGGCTATGTGTGCAGGACGAGGTGCTGAATATCCGTAGAGTGTACGGATGTAGAGCTACGTTTCCTGGATCGTTTATACCAACCTCCAGATCGCCTTGTCCCGGCATTCACGGGCGCCCCCGTGCCGGCGACCGGGCTCTGCAAGGGCCACCTGACTCGGTATGGGTGCCATGGGTTTTGCGTTTGGATTGCATTCGAGTACGAGCGAGGCCGGCCTGCCAAGCCGAATTTGCATCACCGGATTGCATCACCAGCGGGGAGAAGGAAGTTGTTCTGAGCAACGACTTGTACCCCCAAAGAGGAAACTGTTGAACAGGAAGACACCTTTGGGCAGCATGGTCTGCATGAGCTTTATGGACTGACAGGGAGGCCACGGGTCTGCCACGGGGACGGTGCGCACAGGGCACATCTACACCACTGGCAACTGCCATAGCTGCCCCCAAGATCGCTGCCAATGAGCCCCAGTGCCGAGGATCTGGATATCGAAATGCACTGACCAAATTGTCCTCTAACAAGCCAATCGAATCACTGCTCCCACTTATACAATTACAACTAACACGAACGGTTCAAGGCTCTTGGCCAGCGACCTAGCCGCAATTCGCCGGTCCTTGGTTATTTATGAGCAGCTTTCGGGGGACCCTTTTCCGGGGCAAAGTCATCAAGGCCAAGGCCAGACTTGCCGTCCGTAAAGCGTCAAGCCACCGAAATGCAAGGGCGGGAAGACAGCGCAAATGGATGCGGAGACGATGGCGATTTGGGGTCCGTAAATGGTATCCAGAACGGCTGCCCAGGACGGGCTCTTTCCCCAAACTGAATCATCACCCAGGAAAAGGTTTATCCGCCCCTCCCTCACAGTACGGACAGGGCTGCCTGCCGCGCTAAGCACTAGCTCTTGCTTGGATTGGTTTTTAATTCTGCTGTTGCTCCCTGGCACAGCACCTTCCCTCTCTCTCCCCATTTTCGCTGTCTCCTCTTTACGGAAGGAGGCCCCTGCTTTCGTCGCTTCTGTTACCCACTGCGGAGAACGATACGACATCACTATTGCTGCATCTGTCTTACGGGATTCGCTGGAATTGATTTAGTGCGTGGCAGCGTGGGTGAGACGGAGAGAGACGGCGGAGGTAAGGACCTCGCCTGCTCGCAAAACGTGCTGCCAACAACGTGCGAGCCTTTGCGAGATGCCTGCCAACAGAAGATGGACTCCGTGTGGCGTCTCTCCACCCGCCGCTCCTGCCCAGAGCGTCGATGCCGGCCGCAACTTCCCTCGCGCCTCTCCACCCTCTTTTTCCCCCCGGCGCCTTCCACCATCGATGCTAACCACCCACTCGCGCCTGCCTACAGTAGTTCCCCTCTGCGCATGCTTCGGAAACGGACAAGTCTTGCGCAAGTACGAAATACAGTCGTAGCCACTTGCCCAGCCGGCGCCCACGCCTTTCCCCGTCGTTTCCCTCTTTTTAGCTTCCCGTCGTTCGCGCCTTCCCATAGCGCCATCTGGGTGGGCATCACGTTTGGGAAAGAACTTGGCCCCTTTGACTTGACCCTTTGTCTCCATTTTGTGGAATCTCTCCTCATCTTGGCTTTCTCATCACCGTCCATCTCTCTTTGTGTACATCCACCACGCGTGTCTTGTTTCCGCTCATCGCATACTCCAAATACCCTGCTCATACTCCGTATCTGCCGACCCACGGAGCGTATCGTCGTCAGCGCCCCGACTAGACCGGGGTTACGAGGATCTCAGCCCCCCGGTTGGCTCTTGTTTTTATTTTTAATTTAATTGCTATTTTCGCACAATTGGGGTCCAGCACGCCGTCGCTTGGGTCCTGTCATTGTGTTGCCTCTCGATCAGAAACTGCTGCGCAAGCGTGCTTATGTGGGTGTACCAGAGGCGACCCTGGCCTTGCCGAGCTTGCCTTGGACCTTGTCGACTTTTTTCGATACTATTTTTTGCTGGCATTTCTCCTCCTTATGTGACGTCTCCAACAAATCGAGACTCGAGACTTGGGACGAATTCGGATTGCAGCTCGCCATCGGGCCATACTTTTTGGAAGTTCCCGTTGCACTCACGTTCGCCTTTTTGGGACGCATTCTCTCCATCTTCCTGGATATCGTCTTTACATCTTTTGGCCCTTTTTCTTGAACTTTTTTTCCCAGTTTTGGAGCGTGCGTGTCTGATGATCACGCCGAGAGAAGTCGAATCACTGTCTTGTTTTTGAGCGACGGAAAGTGCAGCTTTACTTTTGCCTTTTATCTAGGTTGTTGGCATCGTCGATTTTTGCTTGATTCTTTTCTTTTTTCTTGTTCTCTTTTGCTTTGTTCTCTTGCGCTTTTGTCATCTCCCTGCACCAGTCTCCCATCGCCACAATGCGCATCTACTCCTCCGGGACGATCGACGTCCCTTACGATGTCAACCTCACAGAGCTCCTCCACACAACCGGGCGGCCGCTGCCCGAGTCGCATCTGATCGCCGCCGACAATCTGACAAACCGCAGCATATCCCTCGGCGAGCTGCGTGACCGGGCCGGCCGTCTCGCGCGCGGCCTGCACGACAACCTCGTCCCCGAGGATCAGGCCCGGTGGGCCATTATCCTGCCCAACAGCGTCGACTTCCTCGAGCTCTTCCACGCCATTCTGTGGACCGGCGGTATCGTGGCCCCCATCAACTGGGCTCTGAAGGACACCGAGATCGGCCACGGCCTCGCCGTCAGCCGCCCGACCTACATTGTCGCCTACGGCGCCATTCTCGACACCGTCAACCGGGCCATCCGGATCGCCGAGCGCGCGCTTGAGGACGCCGGCACGCCTTGGGCCACGCGGCCCATTGTGCTGACCGCCGTCACGCCCCGGCCCGGTCTGATGCACCTGGACCGCGATTTCCTGGCGCCGGTCGGCCACCGCCTGCCCATCCCGCACCACAAGGACACGTCGTCGCGCGTGGCCACGATCCACCTGTCGTCCGGCACCACGGGCAAGCCCAAGGGCGTCGAGTTGACCCACCGCAACTACGTGGCCAACGTGCTGCAGCTGTTCAAGCACGACCCGGACCAGTTCCACGCAGGCGTGCGCACGGTTGCCATCACGCCGTGGGCGCACATTGGCATGACCACGATGCCGCTCTTCAACGCGCCCTACATGGGCCTGTTCCACCACGCCATGCCCCAGTACGACTTTGACCAATTTGCCGCCATTGTCGACTCGTGCAAGGCCACCACCTTCCAGGGCCCGCCCAGTATCGTGCTGCAGCTGGCGCGCTCCGACATCTACGACCGCTACGACTTTTCGCACGCCGAGACCATGACGGTGGGCGGCGCCAACTTCAAGCCGGACGTTCTGGAGCCGCTGCTCAAGAAGGCCCCCTGGAAGCTCGTGCAGGTCTACGGCATGACCGAGGCCGCGGGCTACGTGGCCTTCCAGAAGCTCAAGGAGGACGTGCCCGACGGCGTCGTGGGCTACCTGCTGCCCGGCATTGAGGCCTGCCTCAAGAAGCCGGGCACCGACGAGGACGTGCCCGAGGGCGGCGCCGGCGAGCTGTGGCTGCGCGGACCCAACATTACGCGCGGCTACCTGTTCAACTCGGACGCCACGCGCTCGGCGTTCCCGGCACCCGGCTGGTACAACACGGGCGACGTGTGCAAGATTGACACGCTGGGCCGCATCAGCATTGTCGGCCGCACCAAGGAGCTCATCAAGTACAAGGGCTTCCAGGTGTCGCCGGCCGAGCTCGAGTCGTACATCAACTCGCACCCGGCCGTGTCCGAGGGCGGCGTGGCGGCGACGTGGGACGAGAGCCAGCTGACGGAGCTGCCGACGGCGTGGGTGGTGCTGACCGAGGAGGCGGCGCGGACGCCGGTCACGGCCAAAGCAGCGCTCAAGGACATCCACGCGAGCATCGACAGCCAGGTCAGCGGCTACAAGAAGCTGCGGGGCGGCGTGTGGCAGATTGCGGCGCTGCCCAAGAACCCGACGGGCAAGATCCTGCGCAAGCAGATGGAGCAGATGCGCGAAGGGCCATGCTCGCTGGACAAGCCGATTTCGAAGCTGTAACTTGTCTGTTTGTCTGTGGCGGCGCCTCCTTGATCATTAACACGAAATTCAGCGTCTTGGATACCTTTGTACATAATCGTAGATTGCTAGCTTTCTTGTCATATTTTATCTTATTTCCTTTCTTTCACCTCCCTCTGATAATGAAACATGTCCTCTGCATCTCGTCGTTCAAATTGAAAAGCCTTTCGTTGTAATGCAAGAGAAAGCCTCTCTCAACGTATCTTGGCGCTTGTGTTTGTTGGACGCCGGGGCAACCCACAAATTCTCCAATTCTCCGCTCAGAGAGACACGCTGTGCCTGAACATGATCAAGCGCAGACTGTGCGAGGTGTGGTGTCCGGCAAAACATCCCCGAATCCACGGACTGGGTGGAGTTTGACCTGGTCTACCCCAGACTCGGCCGCTCCTCTCGTCTCCCCTCTGGCTGTGTTTGTCCTCTCTCATCTCTGAGAAGGCCGTATAAGACTGTCCTTGTCCCTTAGAGGGATTGAATCTCTTTTTTTTGGTTCTTTTTGGCCCTATGGTCCTTGTTCGCATGCGTCACAAAACAATTTCTACACTTACAATCATTTACCGTCATCATGCCGAAGCTTGTGTTTGCCATCCTGCCCACTGTTGGCGGCAAGGTTCGCGATGAGGTACGTTGTCTCGTCTTCCATATCTACGTAATTTTTTTTGTCACAGACCACTCACCTTTCCAGTACATTGCCAAGCTGGCCGCCACGTCGGCCTACGCCAAGGCTCACGAGCCCGGCGTCCTCACGTACGCCGTCTGCCTGCCCCGCGACGAGGCCGACCAAAAGACCATTTACATGATCGAGACCTACGCCGACCAGGGCGCCTTGGACGCCCACATGCAAATCGACCTCGTCAAGGACATGATTGCGTGGATGGGCGGGCCCGCGCCGGTGCTGGAGGGCGCCCCCACCGTCCTCGCGCTCGACGTGGTCGACGACGGCGCTGGCAAGTTTGGCCTCTTTGCGCGGCCCGCGGGCGTGGCGGCCGCCGCCGACCCGTACATTGTTGTCGGCGCGCTCGCGTACAAGGACGCCGCGCTGGCCGACAAGTCGCTGGCGTACTGGGCCGACGTGGCGGCGACGACCAGGGCGGACGAGCCGGGCTCCCTGGTGTACGCGCTGGCACGCAGCGCGGCGGAGCCGGCCAAGCTGTATACGTTGGAGGCGTACGAGAGCGAGGCGTACCTCTGGGAGACGCACGCCAAGAGCGCGGCGGTGCAGAAAAACGTGGCCGACACCAAGGACTGGCGGGCCGGGCTGACGCACTACTTTGTGAAGCAGGTGCATGGCTTCCTGGCGCGGTCCTAGATGTCGGCGTTGCGCTGGCATCATCGTACCGCCTTGTCGACTCGGATTTGTTGACTAGACTTTTGTACGTAGAACACGAGCCAAAGAGCTTGCTGCCTTTATCGTCTTGGTTGGTGTTTCGTACACGACGCATAAAGCACCATGGCTGGCAATAAGCGAGTCAAGACGAGGACTGAATCATTAGACGCTAGGAGAATGATTCACCGGCGTTTGGGATTAGCACTGATACAGTTGTGGCAGGCGTTGTGCAGATGTTGGTGTCAAGCAATTGGAGACTTGCGGGTGTCCTGGTCAATAAACGGCAGCTGCCAGTTGTGTTATTGTCAGCCAAGGGCTGCGGCTGATGGACGAAAAAAATAATGGGAGTATTAATGTTAATAAAAATAAACGACGTCGGCTGACGGGACATGCCGAATCCAATACCCAGCCGTGTCTAGACGAGGCTGTTGTCGCCAGGCTCGCGCGGCTCAAAAGGTCATGATCGGCGGATTTCTGGCTTGGATTGGTCCGCCGTGGGTCTTGAATATGACGTTGGGATATTGGTTCGGTTCGTCATTATGCCGTATCGTCACGTCGCCGGTGCATGGCTGCCTCGTGGCTTGCGGGTCAGGGCAGGAATTGGGATGGTTCGCATAATTGCGTAACGTATGTCGTACACATAAATACTGGCTGTAACCTTCCCCCGGTCACTGAAACGGAAATGATGGTCGAATTGGTGTTTGGAAGAAGAAACCAGAATTCCGGAAAAAAAAAAAAGACGTAAATAAATTAATAAAAGTAACAAAACAAAAACGAAAAGGGAAAATGAGACACGATGCGATATGGAAATCGTTTGCAGCGCCCTTACAATCCGACGCATCTCATAAGTGGAAAATTAGCTGGACTGCAGAACACTGGATGTCGTCTTGAAAAGTGCCGTTGCAAAACGCGCAGAAAGACACGGCAAATTCTCCACCCTTCCTGCCGGCACCGGCCGACGTCATTTAGCGGGGAAGGCCAACCAGCGCGGCAACTGAACAATTACCCGACGCGGCAATCGTGAATTTGCCCTTTTCGGACCGCCACCGCCAGTTCAAAGGCCGATGAAGAAAAGTACGGAAGGAGCAAAGGCCTCACAGGCGCATCACAAGGAAGGCACTTGCGACGTGCTCACAGTTGCACAGAACTGACCACCTAGGAGGACACAACCCAGACGATGCCGGCGGTGACGAAGGCCGATCTATTTGTATCTCGTAGAACAAGCAACCGGCCCAAAGCAGTAAATGTCACTCCAGGCATTAATCGCCCAAATCAACGGCAACCCAGTACGACTTACAGTGGCTCGACTCGTGCCTTCCTCTGAAGTGACGCGAGAGAGAGAGCTCCTCGCGGAAAGAGCCCGTCTAGCGCCAGAATGGGAAAGGGCCAAACACGCCAACTGGACCACTGGACCACCGGCCAATTGCACCTGCCCCGCCTTTCGCGACTGCCTCCTCAACGGCGAATGTCCGGCATCGCTCGATTGGCTCCGATTCGAAAGAGTTGGAACGAGTCTCCTTCAAATAACGACACCATCCAGGTACCCCATCTCGTTCTCTCTTGGTTTCTTTTGTTTCTTGCTGTTTTATTACACGACGCCCCCCATTCTCATGCTTCTAGCTCGCCTTGTCCCCCGGACTTCGAACATTTTCCGTGCATTCCCTTCCGCCCCGGCCATTTCTTCGGCGACGTTCTACCGACGCCTTTTCAGTCCGAGTTTCACTCCTGCAGCAATACGAACAATTCCAGGAGCGAGAGCGTTCTCTTCTACAGTCATTGCCGCCGCCATGAAGCTCCTCTACCCCACCTCCCTCAAGCTCGACGTGCAGAGCCTCGAGGGCTTCTCCGTCGAGCTGTACCCCTACGACGTCGCCAAGCCGTTCCCCGACGAGCATGTCGACGCCGAGATTCTCGTGACGTGGACCAACACGGCCGCCAACTTGAAGGACGGCGCCCAGCGCCTGACCAAGCTGCGCTGGATCCAGTCGCTGGCCGCCGGCCCCAACGACGTGCTCAGCGCCGGCTTTGATGCCTCCAAGATTGCCGTGACGACCGGGTCGGGCCTGCACGACCACACCGTCGCCGAGCACACGCTGGGCCTGCTGCTGGTGGCGGCGCGCCGCTTCGACGAGATGCGCGACTACCAGCTGCAGGGCAAGTGGCCGGGCACCTGGGCGGCGCGCAGCCCGACCGCCCGGCCGGCAAGTTCACGACGCTGCGCGACGCCAACGTTGTTGTGTGGGGCTTTGGCAACATTGCCAAGCGGCTGACGCCGCTGCTGGTGGCGCTGGGTGCGCACGTCAAGGGCGTGGCGCGCTCGGCGGGCGTGCGCGACGGCATCGAGGTCGTCGGCGAGGACCAGCTGCCGGCCGTGCTCCCCACGACGGACGCGCTCGTGATGATCCTGCCCGGCAGCGACGCGACGCGCAACGCGCTGAGCGCCGAGCGCATCAAGCTGCTGCCCGCGCACGCGTGGGTTGTCAACGTGGGCCGCGGCACGAGCGTCGACGAGGCGGCTCTGGCAAAGGCGCTCAACGAGGGCCGGCTGGGCGGTGCGGCGCTGGACGTGTTTGAGACGGAGCCATTGCCCGCGGCGAGCGAGCTGTGGAAGGCCAAGAACCTGGTGGTGTCGCCGCACGCGGCGGGCGGCCGGCCGCAGGGCGCAGAGGCGCTGATTGCCGACAACCTGCGGCGGTTCCGGGCCGGACAGCCGCTGAAGAATGTGATATAGACTGTGGACGGCGTGAGTATATAGACAAAGGAGAAGATGATAAAGATACAATGATAAAATGACAAAATGACAAAATGACAAAACGACAAAACATATACATTACGATTGATATATTACAGACTGCACGGCATGCATTGGCGACGGCCGAGTGGAACACTCAACTATGACAAGCCAACAGCATTCCCGCGACGACAAGCGACCACAACGCACAAGCCCCCTGTGACCTGCTCTTCGACGTGCCCGCCGACGCTGACGTTGACGCCGATGCGGTCCCAGACACAAAGCACCCCGTCGCCGTACCCGCAGGCACTGTGCTCAGCACCTGCAGCGGCACCGACGCCGACGACGCGGACGCCGCCACCACGAGCCAGTCCGACGGGATGGCCACGACACCGTCCACGCCCTCGATGCCCGCGCACGCATTCGCACAGGCGGCCGTGCTCGCGCTCTCGCTCGTCAGGTTGGTCGACTCGCCAAACAGCCGCGAAAAGCAGTTGTCGACGCACGACAGGCTGCCACACGGCACGTACGCGCCCGGAGCGAACACGGTCGAGAACAGCTGGCTGCGGCCGGTGGCGTTGGCCAGGACGAACGCGGGCGACGACGGCGCCGACGACGTCGACGACGACGCGCCGCCGTAGACCGAGCCGTCGGCCTGCAGCACCTGCATGCGCAGGGCGAAGCGACGGCCCGAGCCGTCCACCGACGGCGGCACCGTAAACGGCACGTGCACGTCGGCAAACTGGATGCGGTCGCCGTACACGGTGATGCCGGGGATGTCGCAGAGGGGCGTACTTTGTGTGAGATAGCCTATGTCATGTCAGGAATTGACGCAGCAGAAACGTGTCAAAGGCATGGGCCATGCTCTCGACCCTGTTACGTACACTCGGACGTCGCGTTCGACAAGGACGTGGTGTCGCGGCCGACGACGGCCAGAAACACTTCCAGGGCGCGCACGGCGCTGGTGTCTCCGTGGCCGGAACCACGCAGAGTGCCGGCTGCAATGGTGGCCGTGCTGGGCACGCCGGCCGTGACGGTCGCGGGGACGGCAAAGAAGGCGGATGTGGACGCGGGGGCGGACGACGAGGCAGACAAGGCGGACATGGCGGACACGGCGGACAAGGGGGCCGAGAAAACGGATGCAGGCACGGCGTCAACCATGACTGCGGAGCCCCACCAGTCGGGCCAATACAAATATGGACCGTCGTGAAGCAAAGGAGGCGGGTGTGAAGTCGACCGTGTTCAATTGTGCGCGTTGGGCGATTCGATCACAAACAAGAGATGTTGAAATACAGAACCGCGTCGCAAAGCAGCACGATGTGCAGTGCGTCCCGCGCCTAATTTCCCGTCGAGTCAGGTCAGAGCGTCCGCTTGTAATGGCATCGACCCCAAGACGGCGCAGAGCTGTGATGACCCCCGGTAAAGACGGCATCTCACTGCTCGCCAGTGACAGTAGTCCCCACCTTTCAGTGAGCGTCAATTGTGACCAAAACTGCAGCACCAGTAGTCGTCATCACAGTCGTTGAAAACAAGAGGACGTTAGTTGAAGAGTTTGGCAGTCACGATGTTCATTTTGCGAGAAGTAGGAGTAAGCAATGTTGGGCTCAATTCCGGTCTCAATAGATGGTACTGTTTACCGCCTGTTTTCATTGTTGTCTTATTTTGGAGACTGCTTATCTTGGTTTTATTTATTACTTTTGTTCTCGTCTTCTTCTTTTTCATTGTACTTTTTGTGATTATAGGGATTCTAACTGGGAAGTGTTTGTTTTGTCAAGTGCTGTAATTTTTCTGTTTTATTACGTTTGAACACTGACTCGTGTATTTCTCTTGCTATAAATGTCCACAAAATCCACGTTAATCTCGATGATTTTATTTTTACTCTATTCCAAGCACAAATACAATTTCGAGCAACAGCAGTTCTGTGGCATCTCGAAATAGCACATTGTGAAGCGAGCCTACGCAGCTACTCAGCTTCCTCTGTTGAAACAATTTCATGAATATTTATCCGAGGATTATCTCAAGACAGCCTAGCAAGTCAAGGCAGCGACTGGTAATGCGACTATTGGTACTACCAACGTTGTGAAACTAGTATGACGAAGGGTTCCCTTTTCAAGGTCGACACTGCACGCTCGAAAGGTGGAACGGTTTATGCCCTCTGAAAATGCATAAATCATGTCTTCTCGCGGTGCAACTGCACTTCCACGAATAGCAATGACCGACGCGAAAGGTCCGCCAAAGGTGTCTAAACTTGGCAAACCTCGACCTCGCTACCGATGCCCTCGGATAGCGCTCTGACTGGCAGGGGAGAGACGGGCTGAGAGAAGCTGGTACCTGATAGTTCCCTTAGACGCAACCTCTTCACTTGGAGCAGAAACACGGCATTTGTTAACTGGCGATGCTTGAAATACTTGGCAGGTTTGATTTTACTAGGGGCAGGCTTGCAGGCCGGGAACTTGTGTTGTTGACGAATATTGACGCGTGAAGAACAGCATGATGTGCTCGGTGCGAATTATACGCGGGACGTGTGAAAGAGTAGACGTGTGAAAGAGTAGACATGTGAAAGAGTATTCAAAGGTAACAACGTCAAGGGACGATGAACGGGTACTAGAGAACAGCGGTTCAAATACCCGACAATCTGCAGCAAAATGAATAATAAACAATAACAATAAACAACAATCGACAGCAAAGTCAACAAATCCGAATGCACGTCGATGAATCTCATTTTGCTATTTCATGTCGCTTTACTGAATATTAGTCCCTTTGCACTACTTATTGTCGCTCCTTTGCGTCTGTCGCCAAGAAAGGTGGCCGCCTTACAGACAGGGGTCAGGTCCTGGCCTGGGGATCGTCTTGAGGGTTTCAAGCCGTTTCAGAGCCTCAACAGGACCCCGAAGCCCACACTGCAACCAGGAAAATGGCGTTTCCGACTCCTTTCGCGCCTTTCTCGGGTCCGTCGTTGTCTATTTTGTCCCCTGTCGATCTGCTTCAATGCCTCTTTTTTGTATGTATTTATGTATTTAGCGCATTCGCATTGGCAGTCGATCAAACACCATTCAACCAAAGTTGTGTCTGCGCCGCCTCTGACACCCACGACGCGCGGGCTCCAGTACGACGTCAAATCAGGATGCAACGAGACAGAGGGCGGTCTTCTTTGGGTGCTTGCGATTGGTGTAGCCGGCTTTTCTCTGCGCTTTCGTGCCCAGATGGCATTTTCTCAAACTGTCGACGACGCAGGGAAAAGGGGAGTTATAGCATCTAGAAATCATAAAGATATAACAGAAGAGCAAAGAATTGCAATTGAGATAGAAACAGGGAAATTGGGACAATAAAGAGAGAAAGAACAAGTAAGAGCTCGTACTGAGCAGAAATAGTAAGGAAAGTAAACATGCGTGCGTCGTTCGTAGGCAAATGCACATTTACCAACAGGAGTACCAACAGACTCAAATGCTACCGACGCTGTAACAAACCACGACCTACACAAACCCTGTCGTCATCGTCACTGATGCATCGTAATCGAATGCTGTTCGTAGTCAAGTTTTGAACCTGTCAGCCAACCTGCCCAAAATAGCCAGGTGAGGCAGCCGCCTGCACATTTCTGTACATCTCCTGGCCTCCTGGCCTCCTGGCCTCTCCTCCTGGCCTCCTGGCCTCCTGGCCTCTCCTCCTGGCCTCCTGGTCATGGTCGGCCTCCACCCCAGAGCCGTGGAAAGCACCTGGCCGAACCCTGAGCGACCCTGGTCTGTTTCGAGGAGAGCCGAGACGACCTTCCTGTAGATGCCCTGTTTTTGAGTGTCTGTGTACGACTTACTCCGTCCTGTCGTCTATGCACTTTTGTGGTATGCACGTTGTTTGTGTGCACACTTTATTGAAATAGGCGGTGCTCGCAGTCTCGACACTCTGCACATCTCGTCTCGTCTCTTCTCCCCTCCCCCCTTCTCCCTCTCTCCCTCCTTTCTTTCTCGTCTTTTGATCATTTACCCGACTATCGACATGATACGAACCGTCTAAACAGCTGTTTTTTTGAAAACAGGTTGCCGGTCAACATCTTCTCTTCTTCTTGTCCTCTCTTCCCTTCTCGTCATCTCTGGTAGACTTTTTTCATACGCCTTTTGACCTTCCACTGTTTTCTTTTAATTTTATTTTTCGTTTTTGTTTTTTCTGTTACTTCATTTTTCACTCTCGTTGTTCACCTCTCCGCTTATTCGTTGCTGTCTTATTTCGTTACTCGTTTTTACATGTCCTCATAATGTATGTTCTACGTGATCTTCTCGGCGGCGTGGCGGGCACGCTCGGCGACTTGGGTGCCGGCGCCGGCGCTCTCGTCTCGGGCCTCTTGCCTGGCGATTCAACTGCACCGACGAGTTCAGCAGCGGCTGCCGAGGCTTCAGTGGCTGCACCGACGACCAGCGCTGCGACGGCAGCGCCAACCGAGACCGAAGCCGCTACGACAACTGCTGCGGCAGCGACGACAACGGCCGAGCAACAAACAACGGCGACCGCAGCGGCCCCGGCGACGACTGCTGCATCGGGCTCTTCGGGCACTGACTCTGGCGTCACGGGCAACTCAGCCAGCGGCGGCGACGATACGTCCGACACCGGCAACAGCAACAACGGCAGCGGCTCCAAGGATAACAGCAATGGAAAGGGCGACGGCAACACCAACAACAACAACAACAACAACAGCGGTAACGGTAGCGCCAACGGCAACGGAAACGGCAATGACAACGGTAACGCCAACAACAACGGCAACGCCAATAACAACAACAATGATACCGCCAAAGGCGGCGCGGCTGCGACGACGTCGACTACTAGCACCGCTGCTGCTCCGACTGCCGCGGCAACGACGTCCACGTCCGACACGGCTGCCCTGCCGACTACCAACGGCGGCGCCATTGTTGTGACGCCGACGACAAGGTAGGCCAGGCCTTGACCGCCTCTCGCCGCAACGTAGAAGCCTGTGTGCCTTTTGCTGACAACCATAGCCCTTCTGCCACGCCCACGTCGACGACGACCTCCTTCATTACGAGCAACGCCGTCGTCACCGTGTCTGTCGCCCCCTCGAGCAACGCAGGCACCACCACTCTGGTTGTCGCCACGACGACGACGACACCGACCCTGTCCGGGACCGCCGGGACCGCCGAGACCGCCGCGACCCAGCTCCCCATGTCGGCCATCGCCGCCGCGTCCACCCCGACACTGGGCCTCGCGTCCGACAGCACGTCCTCGGGCGGCGGCATGAGCAAGCCCGCCATGGCCCTGGCCATTACGGCGCCCATTGTCGGCGTGGCGCTGGCCGGCCTGGGCATTATGATGTTCCGGCGGCGTGTGTCGCGGCGGCGCAACCGGGACTCGATGCCGTACGACGAGGAGTTTGAGAGTCTCAAGAAGAAGCACGAGGAGAAGTTTGACGTGGGACACAACTATTAAGGAAGTCGAACAGTAAGAAAATGCGAAGCATTTTTTTACCTTCTCTGTCCTTCCTTTCTTCCATTCTTCTTCCTTTGCCCCTCACCTCCTCACGAATTTATTTGATTTCTCCAATCTGCTAGCGGTTGAATTTGTGCCTTTTTTTGGTTTACTTTCTTTTGTCATTTTCCTAATTTGTTTTGGACGAAAAGATGGTTATACAAATACATCAGAGCCCTCATAGTCATGCTTCTCCTTCATCAAATACACTGTCTCCTGACGGGAGGAGCCATATTGCATCTGCACATACCCAGCGAAATAACGAAATCAACTCTTTTCGTTCAATGCTGTGACTACGACGAGACATGAGCACGGGTAGATCCGCTGAAGAAGTTGACAATCGTAACCATTCTTACCCTGACCCCTCATCGTAACTCTCAGAGCGCATGTTACGCAACCCACGACGCTTTGGCCGCCTTCTCGCCGGCAAAAACTCCTGTCGATCCCTCCGACAAGCAGTTACACTGTGGAGCTTTGCAAAAGGACACTGGTGGCAGACGGCAGATGCAAAGGATGCCCACGAGATAACACAGCCATCGGTCGATCGCCGTCTGAAATAAATTCCATGTGGCATCCTTTGTCGACTCTTTTCCGTCTGTGGCGCAAGGAGTACTCACTTCATAAATCACCCCATTCACCCCGTTCATCCCACAAAACGGCGGCGGCCCGGTTCTGTTAAATGTACAGCAGTACAACATAATGCGCCGTAAAATAACGCGGGTTAAAGCGTCTGAGCTCTGCCGTCTTTTCTTTTCTTTGTCCCGCGTCTGCACGGTTACTTTATTTCTCCGCATTCTTTCATTTCGGACCCGACTGCTCGGAACGGTGGTTTGATAAAGACTGATGAATCACGATGGCAAGCCAAGTATGATCGTATGAGGCTGTGGTCATCAACATAACTCAAACTCAACTTGCAAGTGTGAGGACGCCAACGTCGACACTCTCCTATTTGAGACCTAACTAGCAGCGGTTTCTCCCACTAGCGAAACGCCCGGGTAGCACAGTGGTAGCTGCGCCTGCCTAGTAAGCAGGAGGTCCGCGGTTCGATCCCGCGTCTGGGCAACGTTAGTTTTATTTTTGCGTCTTGAGAAAACGGGAGTTGAAATGTTTCTTCTTTTTCTTTTTCTTTTTCTTTTTCTTTTTCTTTTTCTTTTTCTTTTTCTTTTTCTTTTTCTTTTTCTTTTTCTTTTTTTTGTTCCTTCGACATTCCCCCCCCTAATCCCCGCCACACCGCACCCCCTTCCACCCCCGATCCCATACAAACGCTCGCCGATCTTGAGCGCATTACGCTCGCCCGTGTCGACAGGATCACTCGCGAGTACTGGACCGATGGCGCCGGCGAGAGTGTTACAGTGTGCGTGGGCCGGCCAGCGCTGTGAGGGCTCGCCTGCGGTGGGCAGCGTGGTGTCGAGCGGATGCGGACCATTCTGCGCGAGGAGCTGATGCATGGTATGGGTCTGACTGACCGGGCGTGCCAGGCTCAATGCCATCAAACCCCCGTGTCTACAGCTGGTGGGCGCAGGTGCGAGTGCGAAGATGTAAGGGACTGGCACGGAATATAATGAGCAAGACGATATTGATGACGACAACGGCGTGTTTGTTTCTATCAGATACCGTGGAGGTTTTTGGGACTTTGCACTTGGGATAGGCCACCAAGATCGTCAAAATCGATGCCAAACAAGAAAACGAGCATGGGTGCCACAAGAACGTGAGACACATTCAAGTTGGTGCCTCCCTTTTTAGAGTTCCCCGTGCGTGCATTAATTCTCCAGCAGCTTGATACAGAAGATTGGCCCCTCTTTTGTCCCACTGCGCTTCATTCCCACCTCATTTTCACCCGTCTCACCGTCTCTCGTCAGTCACACAAAGCGGGAACGGGTGAGCACGAGGCGCAATGACATTCCAGCACGGAGTGCAGCGAAGAAGAATCCAATCAATACAGAGTACGACGATCCATAGCATCCGAGGAACAGGACGAGGGCGTGGGTGACACAGGAATAAGACGAACAGTGGACACACGGACATGACTCGCCACTGGGACATGCCAGCCTGCGTGAGCATGCAGGATCTTCAGAACTGCGTCTGTGCACTTCCGCGTGCATTATGCAGCCGTACCATATCCCGATCTAGTGGTTCTTTGTGCTTTGGTGTGTATCCTGCAGCAGATCGAGTCAAGCCATGGCCGTGGGCCAGGTTCGATGCATACGCATACAGCATCCGAGCATGACTCGCCAATGTTTGCCCTTTTGCATCCATAATGCCCACAATTGTAGATGGCTTGAGATTGAGGGCGTCTAGGACATGTCGGCCATCGTAAACGAGTGACCAGGTTGAGCCCGGGCTGTGAGCCGGAGCAGTCGCCGACCTGGACGACCGTCCACACACACCTCGTGGCAAGACAAAGTGGATAACTCTGCTAGCCCACACTCATCCGGCGGAGATTGGATATACACCATCTCGGTGGCACCACGGTACGGGACGAGAGAAACAAACTGGGGATATTTCGGTGGTATTGTAGGTATGTGATATTTGTTTCATCGCTGCTGTTGTTATTGTTCATTTTAGTTGCCGCTTTACCACTCGGCCCGTCTGCTTCTGTACATCTCGGGCGCTTGCCACGTTTTGCGTTCTTGTGGATATGCGCCACTGGGGAAATTATGTGTTTGCAAAAGAAACAAAGCCTCCGTTTCAGTCGCACGGTGGGTAATGGTTCATCGGCACGCACAGAAAGAGAGTGGTGTAGAGTGAAATATGAGTCCAAAGTCCAAGGGAGATGCAAAAGATGAAAAGAATACAAAGTGAAACAGGCAGATATGTAAGGCGACGCGATTGTCGTACTGGCCAAGTCGGCATCATCTCCCTCGCAGCAAAAGTCAGCATCATCTCCCTCGCAGCAACCATGTAATTGCCTCAGTCTGATGATGGCAGCTCTGGCCTCGGCTCGTCCTGGTCGTCGTCTTCGTCAACACGCCTTTACTTATGCCGCCCGTAGTTGTAGCCGACGTTCCTCAACGCTTTCTCTCGTCCTACATTGGCATTGGATACAAGGTCAAGATCTAAGGTAGGTGCGGAAGTCAATGCATCCTTTGCAGGTTTCAACTTTGCTCGTCGCCAGCTCTCGCTGTGTTGCACACCTCCCACATCCCTGGATCTTCCACCCACACAGTCGGTGAATGAGAGACATTGAGAGGGAGAACAAGTGTTCTGCGGTAGTACAAATGTCCGTGTGGAATGAATTGCCGCTCTCGTCGAGACAGTTGACAAACAAATCACCGAGGACAATCGCCAGAGACAAGACGGTTGTTCAATGTCAGCATTCTCTGTTTACTCGTCACAAGCTTCTTCCCAGGACGAGACTTGTTGGTGTCTTCCTTCCACATCCCCAAGTATAAAGTCCGCTCTTGTCGCTCTCTCTCCTTTCACCGTTTTACTTCTCCTCATCAACCTTCCAGCCTCCATCCGCTCAGCATATTCAGTCTATCCTCCATTCATCTACTTATACCCTACTCCATTCACATCCACCCTACTTCCACTCATCAACATGAAGCTCCACGCCCTCGCTCTTGCCGCCCTCTTTGCCACGGCCATTGCCGTCCCCTATGCCGGGTCCTCGGGCGACGGCTCGGGCAGTGACAATGGCGGCGACGGCCGCGACGGCCGCGACGGCAGCGACGGCAGCGACGGCAACGGTGGCAGCGGCGGCAACGGTGGCAGCGGCGGCAACGGTGGCAGCGGCGGCAACGGCGGCAGCATTGCCATCTACGAGGCTTGCCCATCTGGCCTCATTGGCTCCTACCCGCAGTGCTGCACGGTTGATATCCTCGACGTCCTGAGCCTCGATTGCAAGCCTGGTACGAAACGAGGGAGGCAAACCAGAACGAGGCAAAACAAAACGAGAACACATGACTGACAAGAATAGTCCCTCGCACCCCGACATCCGCTCTCGACTTCAAAGAGGCCTGTGCTTTGGTCGGCGGCTCGCCCGAGTGCTGCACCGTTCCCATTGTATGTCTTTCTATCATTTCCTTCTGATATTGTTCACGTGCCTCGTTTTGTCTTTCGCACCTATATTTCGTTACTTCTTTTCTAACAGAACAGGCCACTCTTGGTCTCCTCTGCGAGGCTCCTCCGGGCACTTTGTAAGTGGTGTCTTTAGAAGACATCATCGACTGTCGATACGGACAGTCCTCAGCCCAAGAACAGGCGGTCAGTCAACATGGAGAATAGCGCACAATTGGTTCGGGGTGCAATGCAATGATCTAATGATCTGGAGATCTGGATGGCATTCCTCCTCAAAAGCTGGCTGTGTGAGCGTTTCTCGCTAAAGCACTCGAAACTCATCGTCTTTATGCCCCATTTTACTTTTCTTCTCGCGTTCAATTTCACAAGTACACGATTGCCTACAAATCTAAATTGTCTCCTGCGCGAATCCTTTTGTATTTATATACACTTCTTTTCCAGGCAGAGCTGCCATAATTTAAATGTGATAAATCTACCCAGAATCTCAGTAACAGCAAGAGCCATTGGCCTCGCAACGTGCCTGCCTCATTCGTCGCTGTAAGTGAGTGGGTCCGGTATGACGCAACAGGTCCCAACAGGGCCAGACAGCGCGGGGCTGCCCCAAGCTGAACGATCAGGACCCCTTTTTTAGCATCAGGCACCAGGAACAAGATCTCGCACCTTTAAAGCATCGCCCCAGATCACAACATCACAACCATCACAACCATCACAACCACAATCGCAGCTCCTGAGCAATCACCACCCATCTCATTGCTCGCCATGGCCCCCCACAATGGCCTCGTGCACGCCAAGGAGTACGACATCAAGGACAGCAACGTCGAGCTGATTGGCTCCGACATTGACCACCGCGTCAAGTACGCCTCGGCCGCCACGGAGCCCGCCTGGAACAACGGCGTCGTCGGCGTGCAGCCGGGCCTCTTTGTCTGGCGCATCGAGGACTTCCAGGTGGTGCCGGTGCCCGCGCACGGCGTCGGTCTCTTCTACGACGGCGACAGCTACATTGTGCTGCACTCGTACAAAGTCGGCCGCGACACGCGCGCCCCTGCGCTCGGCCACGAAATCTTCTTCTGGCTCGGCAGCTACACGTCCCAGGACGAGGCCGGCACCGCCGCGTACAAGACGGTCGAGCTCGACGAGTTTCTGCACGGCGCCGCCACGCAGCACCGCGAGCTGCAGGCGAGCCCGTCCGCCGCCTTCCTGGCGCTCTTCCCGCAGCGCCTGACCATCCGCCGCGGCGGCGTGGCCACGGGCTTCACCCACGTCGAGGGACCTGCTGAGGCCGCGGCCGCGGCCGCTGCCTCCAAGAAGACGATGCTGCTGCGCGTCTTCAAGCAGCCGGGCGCCCGCACCGACGGCGGCATTGTCGTGCACGAGGTGCCCGCGCAGCCGACCAGCCTCGACGACGACGACGTCTTTGTCCTCGACGCCGCCGGCAGCGACGCCCTCTACGTGTGGCAGGGCCGCCGCTGCAGCCCCATGGAAAAGGCCAAGGCCGCCGAGGTCGCCCAGGACCTGCTGACGCCCGCGCACACGGGCGGCGTGCAGGTGCTCGCCCAGGACGAGGGCCGGGCCGGCGTGGTGCTCCGTCTCCTCGCACAGGAGGCACAGGGCGGCGGCAGCCTCGAGTCGAGCGCCCGTGCGGCGACGTCGTTCCGGTCCGACCGGCCGGTGGCCTCGACGCGGGCGCCGCCGCGCGACGGCGTCCCATCGCACCAGCGCCCGCGGCCCCAAACGCTGTGGCGCCTCAGCGACGCCTCGGGCCAGCTCTCGTTTGACCTCGTGCGCGACGGCGCCGCGTCGCTGCGCGACTTTGACGGCCGCGACGTCTTCTTGTGGGACGACGCCGGCCGCGAGGTGTGGGTCTGGGAAGGCCGCGGCGCGAGCGCGGCCGAGCGCGCCCAGTGGCTGCGTGTGGCCCAGGCGTACGTGCGGCAGCTGGCGGCGGGGGGCGACGAGGGGTACCTGACGCCCGTCGCCAAGGTGCGCGAGGGCTACGAGAGCCCAGCGTTCCTGCAGTCGCTGCAGGCCGCGGCGTAGATGGAGAGAACAAGGGGGGGGTTACGAGAATCACACATTGTGGACAGGCTTGTATTGGGAACATTGATCGTTGTGAAAGAACAAAAATTTATTTATAGGAAGCTCTTGCAGGTGACAAACACCCGCCCGGAATACATCAACAAATGGCCAGCATTTGCACTACGTCTTACATGTTGCAACAGTCACACTCGTCGCTGTGGCAGACGTCCGCTGTCTGCTCATTGTCCATAAACAAAGACGGATAACGGTAATTGATCACAAAGACGACGGCAAGGAACACGAGAAAAATCGGCGGGTTCATGATTAGGACCAGCACCGTGCCCAGGCCAAGGAGAGTCATGACCACGCAGAATGTGAGCAGCACCCAAATCCACCACAGGAGGAGGCAGAGGGAGACACAGCACAAAATGGCCGAGGCAAGGAACTGGAACATGGCTCTGGATGGTGGAAAGGGGGTGTGAGTGTTTGTCTGCTGCTGTTTGTTCCTTGAACGTGGCTGATAACAATGCAGTAATGGGTAAAAGCGATATTGGGCAGTGCTGTCAGAGATTCAAGGAACGGCTGTCGTCGTGGTTGTTTTTGAGAAAGAGAATGGGAAACGTTTGTGGTATTTTGGAGCGGCGGCCGATATTTATACCTTCGCCCTAAGCGCCATGCTCGTTTTTGCTGTTCAAGGACAAAGGTGGTGGACAATGGATTATTTGTCGCGAACAAGATGCTCGTGCTTGTTGTCTTTGTCCGCAGCTAAGATTGCTCAATCTATGTCCACAACTTAGACAGTGAACAACATTCATGTCATGGATGAACGGCTGTGGCAATTCCCTGAGTTGTGTCAATGGCAATTGTGAACAGCTGTTGTATAAAAGCCGCCCATATTTCATGATCATGAGGCGTGGATATGAACAACATTTACGTCGCATATTCCAGCAACGAGAATCGAAACACACACACACATACACACACACATCCCAGGCGCATCTCTTACTTCAACACAATGCAAAGGGGATCCGTCAATATAGCGATTCGTGCAGACCACCTGCAGATCATAACCGGTCGTTCTTCCCATAAATACGGTAACACCCGCGGCGACGAGAGCGCATGGATGAGGGAGGCTGCCTCGGATGGTGACGCTCCTAAGCGATCCTATCCTGACACTGGCATCGATGCCAGCAGCAGACAGTCGCAGGGAAACGGCATCGTAGGACGCATAGCCGATGTACCCGAAACTTCATCTACTTCGGAAGCTTCGTATGTGGCTCAATCCGAGGCCCAAAGCCCCGAGGCTGAGTACGACGACCAGTACGACCAGTACGACGGCCAGTACGGTGACCAGAATCCATTTCAAGCCGAACCAGGGCCGCAGGTCCACAGCCCGACCTTAGATCGGACTCAAATGTGGGAAGAGAAAGACGGCCACCACTCCGGCCGACACGCCGGCCACCCTCCTAACCGACGGTACAGCCAAATCCCGTACCCACTACAGGACCAACGCCAGCCATACAGACACCATGGCGCCGCGTGCGAGGTTCCCAATGAACATCGGGATGCATACGGAAATTACAGGTCGCCATTTTCCGGCCAACCGGCTATGACAAACTTCCATGGAAACTTTGTCCGTGGAGGCACGTATACGTCTCCGCTGACACAGCCTCTACGCATACGCGACGATCCTCGCTCCATCATAGAAATGGATGATTCCATGCTGGGCATTGATAGACAACTCGCCTCCTTAGGCCTGTCAGACGACATACGCTGCGATCAGCGACCCAGCCGAGGCCGTTTCCATCGCCGTACCCCGCTAGGCCTCTCTTCCGGCGACGACGTCTATCCCGCGCCGCAAACATTGCATCGTGAGCCGGAACCGACTGGCCTATATAGCGGCGATACGCCTATTCCGGTCAAGAGCGACGATGGGACCGATAGTGACACTATACAGTGCGACGACTCCATCTCCTGCGTTGGCAGACATCGCCGTGAGCCACGGGTGCGCTCGGCACATCGCAAGAGCTCGAGTAAGTCCAAGCCAAAGCCCCATAATAAGGTTCCCGATCGCACTTCAGGCCCCACTGCTCGACCACGTTCAAGACAGCGACGCGTACACCGTCCGGCTCCGGCAGAAGAATGCAACCTTCCGCGTGCTCCGACGCCACCTCCTTTCGAAGACCCGGAATCCGCAGCGGCCGAACGGACGTACTACGGCCAGCAAGCACATCTCGCCAGCCACCACTATTGACGTGGGAGATGTATGTACTTATCGTAGATGCTCGAGCCTAGGCAATCGATGTAGTCAGCTGTTGTTATCAGTTACTGGTATCTGTGCAGCTTCTGTGCAGCTTCTCTCCTCTCTTTTGTTTTCTTTGTTGTTTCTTATTTGCTTTTGGATATAAATATAAAAATAAGCCACACTGTCATCTTTAGGGACCACCGTACTATCATGCAAGTGACTGTAGCATCCAGCTAGTAAAATGTGCGCCGGCCATTTCTCTCTTTGGCCCTTGCACGCCTCACAACGCAGATTGAGCAATTGTCTCTTCCCCACGACTGCCAAGTCGCGTCTGGTCGCCAAGAACGCCGTGGAGTGATCGACATCGCGTTCCGCGACTGTATTCTTGTTGCATTGCCGTATGCCTTACCCAGCGAAATCGAGCGAAGACTGCTCCGTACTTTCTGGGAGCCAACCCCGTCGAGCGTCCGCTGTCCGTCGTACAGCGCCCAGCATCTCGCAGGATGACGAACGCCTCACACAGCGTCTGTCTTGGACGTGTCTCTTCGTTTCAAACGTCAGGTGTCTGTAAAACTCGGTGTTATCAACACAGCGGCTTGGCCTCTGCCCAGCAGTGTCGTTGTCTGTGGGAAGTTGACTGTTTCTTTCTGCTCTTGGCACGCCAACTGCCACAGCGGCGCACAAACACCCCGCGTCATGTGCGCGTGTCCACCTGCTTCAAGACGGTCCAGAGTGGCCCGAGATATCGAGTCAGTCGTGTAAGCCGACGTGCTTGACCGAGTTTGTGTGTATTGCAGAGTATGTATTCTGTATGTCGTAGAAAGCGACGGAAGCACTAGAACGTCGTCGACGAGACCCGGCCTCTTTTGTGCCAGGTCATTGTAATCCCAGCCGCTCCCCGGCCTCACTTGAGACGCTGTCGAGTTTGAGTTGCGTTTGACATGCAGCTAAAACCCACTAAATCTGAGGCACAATCCGTGCGGCTGGGTGGGGCCCACTTTTCTCCTTAAGGTTTTCCACTAAGAGGCCCGAACCCCTGGCGGGCCTGGCCAGGCCTAAATGTTAGCCAGACAGAAGGAGCGAACTGCCAAAAAGGCCCCTCAACTTAGCCATTCTCCGTTGCTTTATTTTCCCTCCCACGACGACACCTTGCATCGCACTCCACGGACAGCCAACATGCCGTAATTGCACAGGGCGGCTCTGAAGGCGCGCAGCCTCAACCGGGCCAGAACTCGCTTCCACTGCCGATATTGACGGGGCGTTTGTTCTCCACGCTAGATCTTGTCTATTTTAGTTTTGTTTTATTCTATTGTCGTGCCATTCTTCAGGCGATTGCTCTGTCGTCAGCCACTCTTCAGTCCATTGCTTGTTTCTGGTAGTGCCTCTCTTCTTTCCGCTCTTTTAACGTCTTTGTAGAGACAGCTAGTCGCCGATAGTGACATCTGGAAGAACTCGTACGTAAGCCGACACGTCAGAAGGGAGAGCCGTAGACGAAAACAAACCAAAGTAGAAGAACGGTACAGACACAGGCTACGATGGATCGGCTGCCACAAACAAACAAACACGGCCAACTCCGCGGACCAGCCTTGTGTCTTTGGAGCAGTCTTTGTCCCTCTGTCCTCCTGGCTTGGCATCTGAACAAATCTCACGATCCCATCCAGACGTTGTCAAGGCTCCAGGTCATCCCTTTCAATTAAAAGTCTCCTCGTTCCTTGTTTGAAAATGTTTCTCCTTTATTTTGCGTTTCTCTTTCGTCCCCTTGCTCTTGGCTCACGCGCAATGGACTGTCGCCACGACACAGGTCGGTCGACGAAAGAGTGTAAAGGCCAAGGAAGGAGTCGAGCTAACATGTTTCCAAACGTTTCTTGTGAACGTGACAGTAAAAAGGAGGTCGTGGTCGAGATGGGGCTGCGACTCATGGCTTGGTGGTGGTCATAAACACACGAAAAAAGAAAAAAAGAAAAGACAAAAAGAAAAAAAATTAGACGCCGAGAAAACGCCTTAGCCACACGGTCATGTTTCGTCCGGGGAAGGGGTCCATGAGGCCTCACCATTTCCTCTTTTTTCTATTTCCCTTCACAATTCCAAGTGAGTGGTCGGAAGGGGCTCTCAGCGCGGGCTTGTCATCTCGTTTCAAAGTCCCCACCCACGGGCGACCCCGTAACGTGCACAAACACGGCTGCGTCGAACAGAGGTTGGCGAAGACGTCGTAAGATAGCAACGCCCAGAAACCCCTGCTGGCCGCTTCAGACATCAGACAAGGGCCACCGGTTTGCGATGCCCGGTCTTTTGCAGGTGTCCCTTTGCTGGTGAAGTCCCCCTCTCTGAACCGGCAGATCCGCTCAATTCATCCGCCTTTCTGTTGCTTTGCAGGGGTGGCCCTTTTTATGTGTCGGATTGTTTCTTTATATTTATGCCGTTTCCCATCCCACTGACCTGTGTCCTTTCTCTCTTTTTTTCCTCTTCCTTCTGTAGGTCCATCTCAGGTTTCTTATTGTTGTGTACTTTTTCTCTCCCTTGTACTTTCTTCTTTTTCTTTTTTTTTTTTCCCATTTCACTTCGTTTTTCAAGAGGCTAGTCCTTTTAATATCCATCATCACCAACTTGCAGCGCGAGTCGCCTTTCAATCTTTACACAACTCTTTCTTTCGTTCTCTCAATTCTTTTTTTTCTTCTTTTTTTTCCCTCAAAAACTTCAGCCTTTTTCCATATCCAAAATGCAGTTCTCTACGCTCGCCCTTTCTGCCCTTCTGGGTCTGGTCTCTGCCCAGCAGACGTCCGTCACGGTTGTTGAGGTCTCCGCCAAGAACAACTCCCTTACTTACTCGCCCGACAACATCAAGGTCGCCGCCGGCTCCATGGTCCAGTTCCAATTCCTCGCGGGCAACCACACCGTCACGCAGTCCACGTTCGACCAGCCGTGCCAGCCCATCGCGTCCTTCAGCAACGTCACCGGCTTCCACTCGGGCTTCGTCCCCGTCGCCGCCAGCGCCAACACGGGCAACATCCCGACCTACACCATCATGGTCAACGACACCAAGCCCATCTGGATCTACTGTGGCCAGGCCAAGCACTGCGAGGGCGGCATGAGCATGGTCATCAACGAGAAGTAGGTTCCCGCCCGTTCCCCCCCTTTTCCATGCCGACGTCTTGCTAACAAAAATAGCACTGCCGACTCGACCAAATCGCTCGCGGTGTACCGCACGAATGCCATGAAGGCCACAACGGTCGTTCCTGGAGGCGCCAACAGCGGCAGCTCCGGCACCACGTCGTCCTCGGGCACGTCCTCCAGCGGCGTCACCACCAGCGCCGCCAACCTGGTCTCTGTTCCCCAGTTCGCCGCCGGCCTCGTCGCCGTTGCCGGCACCTTCTTCCTGCTGTAAAGCAGTGGTGGACGGCAAAAACTGGGTTGCGGATGCAGGTTGTGCGTGTGTCCATAATGATGGTTTCTTGACTTCTTCTTCGGGTCCCCTGGCTTGGTGTACTATGATTTTCTTTTTTCCTCCCCATCTTAGACTTTTTTGGTGTGATTAAGGGGAGCTGGGGTCCGTACCAGAAAGGAGGAGGACGAGCTTTCCTTTTGTCTCCTTTTTTTCGTTTCGTTCGGTGTACAAGGGAGACGTTCACGACGTGTAGTTTACATACCTCTTTTTAACTGCATTTTATTTATTTAAAAAAATATTGAAGTTTTGGAATAAGAGCTCATCGAAAAGCATTGCAACGAAACGTGTGATTTCGCAACGAAAACGGAACCTGTACGAAACGAGGAATCGGGCTTCCCAACGTTCACTTCCCTTCTTTCGTAGGCACTTCGCGGTAGGCCCGGCCTTCCTGTGCAGCCTTGCACAGCGGCTTCAGTTCGCCCTCCCAGCCCGGCTCCCGCTTCAGCTTGCCCACGTAGTGGTACTTGTGGCTCTTGGTGAAGAAATCCACCCAGTGCTGCACCGCGTCGTGCACCCGCTTCACGGCGTCCTTGCGCTCCTGGACCTTCTTCGCCGCCAGCTCCGCCGGTGTCCAGTGGCTGTCCACCTCGGGGTTGTCCAGCGGCAAGAACATGTCCTCGACGCCGCGCAAGTCGCCCGTGCGATCGTCGGCAAAGCAGCCCGTGACAAACCCACGGCTGGCGTCGACGCCCGCAAAGTAGTGGTACGACCCGCCGGGGCCGTAGATGTGGCGGCCGGCCGAGACGTCAAAGACGTTGCCGTCGATCGAGAGGTACACGGGCTTTTCGACAACCGAGCCGTCGTATTCGGCGAGTTCCTCGAGCGTAAAGTACCGTGGGCCGCTCTGCACAAAGAACAAATGGACACGCCATGGTTAGCATCGTTTGCAAGGCAAGACAGAACGGCGCTCCCGGAGTAGGGATGCACACCGAGTAAGGACCGTGGTCGCCTCCTACATATTGCATCTTCCACCACGAGAGCTTGAGATAGTTGGGTCTGTGCTGCATGCCCCACAAGAAGGACTCGCCGCCGGACACGAGGTAGCTGAGGCCGCACGACGCCAGCAGCAAAAAAGTCAGCACGCGGAAGATGTCGAGGTACGGGCTGTACTCGTCCTCTTCTTCCACGCGCGGCCGCTTCTTGCCCTTGGTCTTGCGCTTCGGCTGCGTCGTCGGCGTCGTCGTCGTCGATGGCGGCGTGACTGGTTTGCCGTTGTTTCCGTCGTCGTCCTCGTCCGTCAGGTCGGTCACGTCGACCACGCGCGGCTCAAGCGGAAACCTCCGCTGGCGAGCAGCGTTGTCGGACATTGTGTATTGAAGGCGAGACTCGATTGGGCACGTACAAATCGAAAGTTGATCAGATGCAAAACGGCGAATATAATATTGGCGATAACCACTAGGACGATGCAAGTCGAGAAAGAGACGATGTCGAAAAGGAAGCCGGAAAGGCAGTCGAAGATCTAACAATGGCCCAGGTCCATGAACATCCGGAGCTCAGTGCGTGGGGTGATTCTTGTTGCCAGATTTCACGCGGCTGGATCGGACAGGCTGCGACACGAGATATAGTAAAAGTCTACGACAAACGGCAGCGAGCATAAAGAAAAGGCAACTTTGGCCAGAAATAGAGTGCTTGCTGCCTCTGGACCAATGCGGGACCGCATTACGAGCTCCGACGGCACCAAAGGCAAGCGCGACCCTGATGGAGCTTTCCCCAACTGCAGTTCCGTGTTCCAAAAGCAATCAGGGCCCACAAATGCACTAGCCACGATGCAGCCACAACAATGCAGCTGCTCCACTTTTATCCAAGGCTGTCACCTTAGCCCATCGCGTCGCCAGAGCAACAAACCACCAAAAAACGCGACCCGTAATAAACACAACGCACAACTATGCCAAAAGCACAGAGCAAGTGCCACAACGGCTGGGACAAATTAATATCGCGGAGACAGAGCGACAGAGCGTGTGTATCCCGGATCTTACATCACGAATGCCCATTTGCATTCTTCACGCCTTCGAAGAACGGCACATCGACAACGCCGTCGACATCGACAGTTGACAAAAAAAAAATCAACAAACAAGACGAACACGACACACTCAAGATCAACAGCCTCCGAACTGCCACGCATCGGCAGCACACACAATGGACTTCCACGGGAGCCGGTCCGGCTCACCAACACCGCTCCAGGTGATATCGCCTGAGCGCGTCAACAACCAACAACCAGGAGGCCACAACAACAGCCATCCGTTCGACTCCAGCGTCGCCTCCGTCACCGACAAAATCAGCCAGTTCAACTCGCTCGCGATGCAGTCCAAGCACCTCGAACGCAAGACGGCCGACGCGGCCCTGAAGCGTGCCATGGTCGGGCGGGAAGAGGCCGAGACGGACATGCGGCGGTACCGCGACGAGGCACGGCAGCTGCGCAAGCAGGTGGACGAGGGCCGCCAGCGCGAGCAGCGCGTGAGCGAGCGGCTGGAGGCGGTGATGGAGAACTACGGGCGGGCCAAGGAGACGCACGCACACACGCAGGCGCTGTGGGAAAAGGAAATCCGGCGGGCGCGCAAGGAGACGTTCAAGTCGCAGAGCGCCATTGTCAAGCTGCAGGAAGAGCTCAAGGCGGCCCGGGCCAGCAGCAAGGCGGCCGAGGAGGCGCTGGTGCACGAAAAGGAGCGCAGCAAGGCCCGCGAGCAGGAGGCGTTCCAGGCGCGCTACGAGCTGGTGGGGTGCCAGGAGGCGCTGGAGCAGACGCTGCAAAAGGTCAAGATGCTGGAGCAGGAGCGAGACGCGTTCCGCAGCCTGGCCACGTCCGATGAGGATGTGGCACGGATTGCCTCGGAGGGTCGCCTGCCGCTGCCGCCACCCGATGCGGAGGAGGAGGCTGAGGAGGCTGGGGAGGCGGCAGAGGAGGCTGAAGAGGAGGCCAACGAAGACACCAACGACGACAGCATGGACGAAACCGAGGACGGCCTGACGATGACGAAGCAGCGGTCGAGCCGGCCCAAGACAAAGAGCAAGAAGGCGGCCCGTGCGTCGTCCGTCACACTGCTGGACATCCGGTCGTCCGCCACCAGCGAAGCCGAGATCGGCGAACTGACGCGGCTGTGGCAGTGGGAGAAGCAGCGTGCCGACCGTTCCGCAGAGCTCGTGGAGTACCTCGAGGCCGAGTGCCATCTGCGCGCGTGCTCGTGCATGAAGAAGCGCCCGCGCGCCAGCATCCTCGACTCTGCGCGCAAGCGGCCCAACCTCGACATTGGCGACGCTGGCGATCGCATCATTCTTAGCGAGAAGGCTGCCATCGCCTCGCCGACCGCCAAGATCCGGGCCGCCATGAAGCCTTCGCCGACAAAGACGCTGCAGAGCGGCCTCCACATCAACCTCAGCCCCGAACGCCGCGGCGGTGGGGAGGCGAATGCGATGACGGACGACAACGAAGACAGCACAGACAGCCACGGCCCGTCTCCGAAGGGGAAGACGGCCGCGCGGCTGGGCACGACCACCTTCGTGCCCGAAGAGGGCGCGTTCCGTACCGTCTCGCAGCAGATTGCCGAGGAGATGGAGGAGGCCGTTGCAGCAGCGGCAGTGGCCACGATGGCTGCGATGCCAGAGGTGCCGGGCGCCGAGGAGGTGGCGCGGCAGGAAGCCGAACAGGAGGCTGAGCAGGAGACTGAGCAGGAGACTGAGCAGGAGACCGCCCATGAGGCGGTGCAAGAGACGGTGCAGGAGGAGCCAGAGGCTGCACCGACAGTCGCAGCTGAGGAAGTCGCCGTGCCGACACAAGCCATCACGCAAGAGAACCGCCACCCCTTTCACGACATGCTCGACGCCGATGTCCAGGACGCCGACACCACACTGGGCGACGTGACGACCGACTCGGCCGACTACACCGTCGAAACGACCACAGAGCAGTCCATGTACGCGCGCACGCCCTCTGTGGAGCCGCCCTCGTATGCCCAACAGCGCACCTCGCTTCTGTCTCTGCTCGACGCACCGCACCGCCAAGAAGCCGAGCAGCCGGTCAACTTTCACGTGCCCACCACGCCGGGGCCTTTGCCGACGGAGGCTCCCGCACACAATGCGAATGTGGATGTCCACAGGGATGTCCATATGGATGTCCATATGGATGACGCCCAAGAGGCACCCCGTGCTGCCACTTCGCTGCTGGTTGCGAGCACCTCGATGCGCGTTGTCGAAACGGACATGAACGATGCGGCACCGCCGCCTGTGAGAGCCGTCAGCGAAGAGTCGCCTGTGGTCGAGGAAGAGCGGGACGACGCGCGCGTCTCGGACGTGACCGAAGTGGCCTATGCCCGGAGCCACAGCAGCCAATCCAGCCGCTCCGACAGCTCCAATCTCTCTAATCACTCCCATCACTCCCATCACTCCCATCAATCCAGTCAATCTGGGGGGTCCCGGCAACGGCGCCCAGCATCGGCACAGCTGCAGTACGAAGACCGCGACGCGACACCTGTCGCACAGCCGCAGCGGTATGCGACGCCGGCCATGGATGAGTCGCTCAACAGCCGCTCGGTGCGCCCGCACACAGTGGCTGCGACCAACGTGTTCACGCACAAGACGACAACCACCAAGGTGCCGCTGCGCGAGGAGACGACCGACCCCAGCCTGGCCCAGCGCATCATGGCGGCCCAGCGCACGCCCACCAGCAAGATCCTGCCCGCGTCGTCCTCGTCCTCGGCCGTCTACAGCGACGGCGAGGCCACCGCGACGGCAGGGGGCCCGAGCTTCGACATCAACAACCCGGCGCTGACGCCCACGATGTCGCGCGAGGAGTGCCTGGCCCAGATTCGAGAGCGCCGCGGACGGGCCCGCAGTGCCGCCGGGGGCTCGTCGTCGTCGGCCTCGTCCACACGCACCACGTCGTCTTCGTCGGCCGCAGCGACGACAACGACGACCACGACGAACACGACGACGATGACGACGGCAGCCCCAGGTGGCATCCGCCGTCCGATTACGCCCGGTAAGGAGCGCCGTGAAGTCAGTGCGCCCGTCCGGCGCGTGGCCAGTGTGCGCCGGGTGCGGCCATAGAGGGCCGGCCTACCGCAAGAGCAAAGATGAAGCGTGGTGGATTGTGGGCGTGTCATGTCATTTTCGGCGCTGCATTTCCTCAACGGTATTCACGTTTTGGCCAGGCGTTTTGCAGCATTGTTCGGCGTTTCTTCAGTTTGTTTTTTACGTTTTTAGTTGGATTGTATTCATGCGCCTGCGTTTTATGCCCAGACGTTTTCACGACAAACGTATTGCTCTAATATTTGACATTGCGATTTTTGTTCATTTTTCTGTCTACGTCTGCTCGTTTACCGATCGATTTTGAGAGACTCCGTGAGCCTCACAAATCCCATTCCTAGACAGCCATCCCATTACATGGAAAGGTTTTTCAGTGTCCAATTCTTATTTACATAATACGCCTTTCAAGACCATTCAAATCGAAGGGCATTGCCATGATTCGCGAAACGACCGGAACAGGGCAACCTGATTTTCAAACAAACCCCAAGAACTCCTTTTGTTTTTACTTCTCCCTTGCTTGCTTATGACACGCAAGTTTGTTAAATATAGAAATTGTGGTGATGCTCCATCGGCTTGTTTGATGGCCAGCGCATCGATCTATGCCTTCTGGGGGCCAGGGTTGGATGGCCCTTGCATGTTTCTTGTTGGCGTCTTGTCGCCCTGACTGTCGTCAAGTTTGGACAACACAGAAAAAGGGTATCTTGCGACAATGGAGACCAATTCTATTTACAGTTTGGTCGTCCAACTTTTCTTTTTTTTTTTTTCTGTTCCATGTATTTGGGTGCCCTCGCCCAGGGCCATCCCTCGCGATCGCCCTGCTTCCCCGCGGCATCATCATGCGTTTCTGCATTTTGTGAGCGATGCGGGGGGCCGAGGGGGCCATCCGTAAGGGATTTCTCAAACAAGGGCGTTCCTCGTTCGATCAGTGAGCGACTCGGGGGCCAATACGTTACTTTTTGGCTCTTTGAGGATGGTTTCTTTTTTGATTCTCGGATCGCCTCCAGCGCGTTTTGCTGTCAAGCCCGCCTCCAACGGACATCACAGAGCATCCATCCCTGGGTCAAACACAAAAGCCACAACGACAACAGGACCGTGTCGGATGTTTCCCCCAAAAAGCAAAAGTTGTCTTTGAAACAGATCCCCATCGGTTGTTTCCCCCCTTGTCGGCCTGCGCCCTTTCATCGCCCCCGTCTGGATGGCATATGTCGCTCGTGTTTGTTTCTATGTTTGTCAGAGAACGGCATGTGGGAGCGGCGAAACGGGCCTCTCCGCCGCTGCGTCTTACTTGGTC